TTTTTTAAATATTTAATTTATATTTTATAAATTTAAAATTAAAAGTAATTTATAATATTAAAACCTATTTTTAAAAAATTATAATAAATAATTTATTTTTAATTTTATAATTTTAAAACTTTATTAATTATTAATTATTAATTTATAAAGTTTTAATAAATTTTAATTTAATTATTTTATTTTATTTTATTTATTAAAATATAAATTAATATTTATAATTTATAATTTATATTTAATTTAATTTATTTATTAAAAACCGTAAAGTAAAGTTATAAATTTAATTATATTTAAATTTATATTTAAAAAAAATTATATATATATTATTATAAATTAATTAATATAAATAATTATTATAATAAAAAACAAAGGGTAACTTATTTTATTTATATATAATAAACGTTATAATTTAAAAAAACTCTTTTTTCCTTTCTTTTTAAACTTTAAATTTTTCGTAATATTATAAGATTTATAATATAACCTCGATTACTTTTATAATACTTAAATATATATATTTATATATATATATATATATTTATATATATTTAAACGTTAATATTAAATAAAAATTAATTTTATATTTTAATATTAAATAATAAATATTATATATTAATTTTATAATTTTAATTAATATATAATTAACTTATAATATAAAAGTAAAGGTTATAATATTTATTATAAATATTATATTTAACCTTAATTGGTGTGAATACACTCCCGAAGTGGAATCCAAATCGTTACTGACATCGGAATGGCCCGATTCTGTGGCTGACGGAGATCCTGACTCGATAGACTCGTCGCCAGGGTTATAGAATGAGAAACCGTCCGTGGCGTCGGTTAAGCCCAAGACTCCCCCGGTGGAGTTCAAGGCCTTACCACGGACATATGCAGGCAGGTCGGAGCCGGTGAGATGCACAGCTGTCTCGAATCCTGCCTTGGTCGCAGACGCTATCTTGGTCCAATTGGTGCTGTTGGCTTGGTCTGCCATGTATACATCCCAGGAGTCAACCTCCGTTGCCCCGTTCCAAGAAAGGTAGACGTCGCTGGTGCCGTTATCCCAAGAGATGTTGGGATTCGTATTCGGCTTGCCAACCCAGCTAGCCAGGGGGTATTTGTATGCGCGGTACGAGTTGATGGCATTCTGCACAGCAAACTGGACATCCAGGACAATGGTGCCATCGGCGGAGAACTCGGTAAAGTACGGCTGGTTACCGTAGCCCTGGAACCAATTCGTCGAAGACAAATCGCTACAGTTCAGACACTGCAGGTTACCCTCGTATCTGGAATAGGTCGAGTCGCCGTTGTGGAAATCCTGCTCCAAGGAAACCGTCATGGCTTCTTGATCGACCGCGAGGAGCATTCCCCGAGACCTTGTATTGTCGTCATCACCCTGGTTGTCGAAGATGCTGATATGTGTCTGGGCCGTGGCGTCGGTCCATCGAGCATTGTGTTGCCAGTGGAAGTCAGCCCCGTCGTCCACAGTGAAGTCGGAATGCCGACCATTGAGTCGCCAGATGATGTCGCCTGTTGTACCATCGATCTTGAAGAGCGCCCAGGTGGTACGCGATGAGATGAGATAGTTTCCATCAGGATCCTTGGTAACCGAGTTGATGTGGAAGAAGTCAAACGGCGAGGACTCATCACCGGCGCTACCAAGTTCATTATATGTCTCATTCAGTGCGACATGGTCGGTTGCGTTCCACATGAAGACCAGTTCTCCAGTTTCGATATTGATTTCCTGAAATGCGCACTCGTAGATATACCCGTCCTTGGTGCCGTTAACCGACGTCAGATCAGCCTGCTTGACGATGTACAGAGTCACTAGTGCGGTGTCATCATCCGTGATGCGGAACTCGTGGATGTCTCCAAGATTGGGGTAGCCGATAGGGGAGAAATGTTTAATTTCGGTGTATGTTTGGTCTAGCATATAGTAAGATCCGTGTCCGAAGCCATCCAGGAGGGTGCCGTTGTAGAAGGTAATGACTGGCTCCCCTTTGTATGTCTGCAGGCTAACATCGAATGTCTTGTTCCATTCAAGACCAGTCCAAACGAGCGATCCCATGTTGTCACCAGGGCTCATGTCGTAGATGCAAGGCGCCGTCTGCTTTGAGTCGGAGGTGCCATCCACGCCGACGAATACATAGCCACTTGTCATGGCCGAAGAAGTGTTGGAGTGAATCAACAGCTCCGGTGGCGTAATCCCGGGACTCGAGGCATATGTCTGGTAGGGGGTTTCTTCGGTACCATATGTGCCAGGATCGAAGCTGACACTATCCATGGCATACACGGCGCTGAGCAGCGGCAGGAGGCTCCCAGCTACAACAGCCGTAAAGTGGTCCTTGGCGAGGACCATGATCAATACGATTTCGTATTTTTAAGCGAGCGTGAAGTCTGCGATAACGGGCGGTAGGTTCATACAAAAGACAGAATGAAAGAAGGGGTTAGATGTGTGAGTGAGGGCCAGGACCACCGAGAGAGTAACGAAGGAAGCTTCTGATATAGCGCCGCGTTGCCCAATTCTGCTACTGGGTTTCAATCTCGTTTAATGCCTGGATTGCGAATGCGTCGGGGGGGTGCTCGGCCATACTCAACAGGCGCGATGTGGATAGAGTCCAGTAGATCGCGATTGAGACTGAGCACCGTCTTCCGAGGCGACCGACGATGACATGGCAAAAACGTTCAAGGCAGTGGGCTAGGGGCTTTCCTTTTTTTCTTTTTCGCTTTCTTTGGGGGGGTAGATATTCGCTGACTCGTGCTGGGTGCTTCTTCCTCGACCAGTTCGAGACTTCACCTAGGCGGCCAAGCTACGGTTTGGTGTACCGCGGATCTGGATGCAGGTGTCCCGGAAGCTTGCATACATATGCAGGACAAGCTTTCAGATTAGCGAGCCTAAAGCAGTGAGCTACTTCATTCGCTTGGATTACTTGTAGAAAATTTCCGGTCTGAACCGGCCTGATCCACAGCGGGAACATCCATCCATTCACCCTGGCTCCACACGACAGATTGCACTGCGCCGTCGAGCGGTAGGCTTGCTTGCTTGCTTGCTTGCACGCCCAGGCCGTTGGAAAGGGCTGGGAAAGGGCTGGAACGGATGTGGCTGAGGACTGTCACAATTTCCATGTGTGACTTTGACAATGCACAAGTTGACCAACTATTCGGTGGGGGCAACATCCCACGTCATTGCTCGTACACACGCCCGTCATGCTAGGGTGAGAGATGTGCCTGGCATCCCCCACGTGGCAGGCCCAAAGTACCAAACCCAATCTATCATTAAGAATATCGCCTCCGCACGGAATCAGACCTGGCCACCGACTAAGCGTGGCGTAGACAGTGCCAGTGTTACTGCCGTGCCACGGGTTACTATGCCAGTAGGCTTGTTAGATGACTTATTCCAACCACGCCAGGTCTCCGGCGACCATATCTTCAAGTTTTCAATCCCAACCTCGTTCAAGAATGGCATGTGTGACGGGTATAATGGGGTTTTGTTTGTGTAAGTAGTTCGAGGTACTTCCCCGGAAACTTTTTTTTTTTTTTTTTTAATTATGGCCAAGTGATAGCCAACGGAGAGGAGCGTTGTGACGCGGTGTGAATATATCAAACTGCCGATATACTAAAGTAGACGGCATTAATATCTATACTAGGTGTGTTCTCCAACGATGCCGGGATATAGCCACGCTGCTACCGGTCAAGTGATGAATAGTGTTGTCCCCCACATGAAGCGTACCATTGATTCAGAACCTAGACACAGGCTCTCACGTTACCTAGACCTGTACATGACAGAATATGCGGCTAGATATTCTGTGATATGTCGTAATACGGGTTCATCTTGCTGTCGACTCCGCTGCACATCAATGACATTGAGAGCAACAATCTGGGTATATGCACAGGGTGATGGGAGCTTCGGTCCTGCGCGTGAAGCGTGTAACAATCGGGGGAACGCGGTACGCGCACAGAGCCATTGATATGTACCCGGACTGCTAATTCAATTGTTTGTCCCGTGGGTGGCTCCCAGGCTAGCTGCCAGATTTTCTTGCACGACGGGGCACGATTTGAAACCTGTATGCAGATAACGGAATCATAATAGACACTCGGTAATATAAGATGTGTGTGGTTAGATGTCGCCGCTCTTATTAATGCCGATCCTTGTCTACTCAACTTGGCACCGTTCACAGGCACCTGTTAGAGTTATTACCCGTCTATTCGACCTTTTTTGTAAGGCTGTGAATAAATGAGGCATAGGGACGGGTAGTTTAGCTTGTTATTAAAATCAACACACACGGTGTTTCAGAACTGAATAGCTTATATAGTGAGGAGATTAAGACACGGGCCGGTTGAATCTATATCGAAGTTATATAATAAAACCTCGTTCACTTCGTTCGCCGCGTTTGTTTATAAAAAACTACGTTAATAAAAGTATTTATTTAAAAATTATTATAAAAGTGTATTATAATTATAAATATCTCGTGTTTTATATTTTATTTACCGCGAGTGTTTATTTTAAAATATAAAGGAAAGTTTAACGAGGATTATAATTATTAAACTTAATTAATAATAAAGGCGGTAGTTAAAAACCGGTATGTTAACAGACTCACTAAATGTTCGTCTATAGACTGTCCCACACAACGCAACATCCTCCACATATAACAAATGGATTGACGCGCACTCCTCATCGGAACGAGCACCTCACGGCCATGAGGTATCAGAATCCCTCGTAAGGTTAGACGCCACAACACCCGCGACAGCGCATCACCGCCAAGGCACATACCCAGCCATCCCGCGTCCAAATTTAACAAAGCAAGACACAAAGTAGGATTCGACAGAAAAACGTAACTATCAAACATACCACGCGCACGAACATTAGAAAAACAGACTACAAGAACTGGACATGTGGCCGAATGTTATATTGTGGGTGAATCCACACATGTTGTTGCAAAGGAATGGGAACCCAAGGTTTGTTTCAGGAGAAAATAGTATTGAACCCTTGATCTATTAGGACGCCCATCATGCACCGTATCTGTATTGTACACTATGGACAAGTTCTGTTGACCCGAGCCGTTCCCGCGCTCAGGCCCTCCACCGCTTCGCTTCCAATCGCAACCCCCCCAATATATCACAAATTACAAGAGCATACGTCTGGGATCCTCAATGTACTCCTTGACCTTGACCAAGAACTGGACAGCCTCCCTGCCGTCGAGCAGGCGGTGGTCGTAGGTCAGGGCGAGGTACATCATGGGGCGGATCTCGATCTTGCCGTTGACGGCGACGGGCTTGTCCTTGATGGCGTGGAGGCCAAGCACGGCGCTCTGGGGCAGGTTGATGATCGGGGTTCCCATGAGGGAACCGAAGACACCTCCGTTGCTGATGGTGAAACTACCGCCAGCCATATCCTCAATGGTCAGTTTGCCGTCACGGGCCTGCAGGAAGAGGGAAAAAAACGGTCAAGTTAGCAAGCGTCCAAGATGGGGATATGACAAGCAGCAAGAAAGAACGGCAGGACGGGCACATACCTTCTTGCCCAGATCGGCAATGGACTTCTCAATCGTCACCATGTCCATGGTCTCGACGTTGCGGACAACAGGTGTCACCAGGCCCTTCTCGGTGGCGACGGCGACGCTGATGTCGACGTAGTCGCGGTAGACGATGGTGTCACCACCGTTCTCGCCCTCGATGGAGGCGTTGACGGCAGGGATGTCGCGCATGGCCAGGACACAGGCGCGGGAGAAGGCGCTCATGAAGCCGAGCTTGACGCCGGTCTTCTTGAGGACCTCATCCTTGTAGAGCTTGCGGAACTCCATCAGGGAGGACATGTCGACCTCGTTGAAGGTGGTGAGGGAGGCGGCGGTGTTCTGGGACTGCTTGAGGCGCTCGGCGATTCGCAGACGCATGCGGTTCATCTTGACCTGCAGCAAGGGGGGGTCAGCAAAGAAGGAGGGCGGGCGCAACGGAGGCCCGGGCGATGGCGACGCGATGCCCCGAGGGACGGTGGGGAGGACAACATACACGGCGCTCCTCACGGCTGCCCAAGACGGGACCGGCATCCTTGGCGGGCTGGGAGGGCTGCTTCTGGGGAGTGTCCTTCTTGGGCGCCGGGGCAGGTTTCGACTCCTGCTTGGGCTCTGGTTTCGACTCTTGCTTGGGCTCCGGCTTGTTCTCCTCCTTGGGCTCGGCGGGCTTGGCCTCGGTGGAAGCAGACTCCTCCTTCGGGGCCTCCTTGGACTCGGACTTGGGGGCCTCGGCAGGCGCGCCGCCGGCCTCGATCTTGGCAATCTCCTGGCCGACGGTAACGGTGTCCTCCTCGTTGGCGAGGAGCTCCTTCAGGGTACCAGCCTCGGGGGCGTTGACGGCGACGTCGATCTGCGGGTTGCGGGAAGACAGCAAGTCAGCAAACACGAGCGCAGACGGAGAGACGGACAAAAGCAGAGAGAAGACACAAGGTCGGGGGGGGGGTGGTGTGGAGGCGCGTATGGCAGCATGTGCTCACCTTGTCGGTCTCAATGGTGGCGATCTCCTCGTCCTGCTCGACGTAGTCGCCCACCTGCTTGTTCCACTGCTTCAAGGTGCCCTCGGAGATGGACTCGGCCATCTGCGGGACTTTGACGACGGTGTCGGCGTAGGTGCGGACCTGGTTCATGAGGGCGGGCAGGGGCACGCCGCGCATGGGCTGCAGCGGTCGGCGCAGCTGTGCCATGCGGGCGGCAGTGAGTAGACTCCTTCTGGACAGCATCTTGGGGTGTTTTCTCTTCCCTGGCGCAGGCAAAGAGAGAGAGGGCGAGAGAGGGCGAGAGCGAGGGAGAGTAGCCCGAGTGAGCCAGCAATGGGGCAGAGAGCAGCAAAGAGAGGGAGAGAGGAGGCGGTCTCGATGTTGTTGAGAACAACGGAGAAGGAGCGGGAGCGGGAGCGGGCGAGGGAGAGGATGTCACGGGTAGCGTATTCCTTTTATTGACTCAATTGGAAATGGATGCAAGCGTCGGGCTGGCTGGCGATGGCCTCTCAGAGACGGCAGACTGGGGCAGAGCTTCTCCAAACAAAAAAATGCACCAGGGCGGCCAGCACGGCCAGCACGGCCAGGACCCGGGGCGGCCCATTGGATGTCACCGGGCCCCCCGTCCAGGACGAGTTAGAAGCTGTCGTTTCAAGCCATAGGCCCATCCCACAGCTGCGTGCTACAGGCCCACAGGCCTACAGGCCTACAGGCCTACCTACCGGCAACTTAGGGGCGCTAGGTACGGTGTGACAACGGGACCTCTGCAGGCTCGCGCACAAACCCGCACAGTACGGGCGGGCCCACCCAGCCTGCCAGCCCGGCAAAATGGCCAGCCCAGCCAGCCCAGCCAGTCCGCTCGCCGATTTCACCCGCTGCGCCCGGCTGAAGAGCAGAAGAGCAGTGGAAAGCCTGCCCCATCTACCCGTGCTTTCGCTGCTGGGACGGGACAGCCCCGACAGCCGACAGGCCACTGGCTGGCCCCAGCCAAGAACGAATGAGTTACACAGTTGTCATCGTTAGGTAGCAAACCTGGAACGGATCCACGGGTCCTTGGAACACCACACCATGACGTCGAGTGTCGGGCGTGGGAGAAGATCCGCTCCGCTGCATCCGTGAGCGCTGCCACCACCACCACTTGGGCGCCAGCTGACGAGAGGCCCTGCACGGCGCCGGCAAATCAGCTTGCACCTTGAAGTCATCAATTCCTGTTGGGCTGCCGTCCATGCACAGCAGTACCGGTACAGCATTTGCATTTTGACCTTAACTACGGTAGGCTAGGTGCAGAGTCAGCTGCAGTACATGGTTGAATTGCTCCCACACCCAACGCTCAAGTTATGCTTAGAATGGCTGCCTGAGGCCACCACGGAGTAGAAAAAGGCACGCACGGACCACACGGCAGCTAGAGGAGCAGCCACACTCTCGATGGTCGTCAATCACCACCGCGAGCACCACCACGTCCACCACCACGAGCACCACCACCTCCATCTATCACGAGCTGTGCCCTTCCGCTCCGCCGTCTACCCCGAGTCCATCCGGCACACCGAAGCCCCGGCAGGCCAATTGACTGCATCCCGTCGGCGGGGGATACGCGCGCGCGCAGGATACCCGACCCCGGACGAGAACGCACCGAAAGGGCTCAGGATAAGAACACCACCCATCATGTCGACACGACAGGCTGCACTGTGAGCCCCTCCATTGCGTTCGGCAACTCCCCTTCCTCCCAACTAGCTCTGACCAAGCTGTGTCCCAGGTCGCTGTACCGCCGCTCACTGAAGCTGTCCCTCGACTGGGCCGTCCACCGGCACCTATGGCGCGGCCAGGCCCTCTACATCCGATCCCTCTTTGAGGCCAACCGAAGCGTCACAGATCCCCGAAAGCAGAGGGTATGTTACGTTACGCTCCCCCCTCCCCCCCTCATCCCATCCACCACACGTGCCCACGCGCACAAGAGACATGGATGCACATAGAAGCATCGACGACTGACTTGGCCCTTTCCTGGCAGGCATTACTGGCCGAGACGGAAAAGCTGCTCGAGACGTGGAAGCACCCCGACCCGTATTGCCACCCGACAGCTCCAGGAGGTATGTTGTTGTGTCGCCACGCCGCCCGCGTTCCCTTCGCTCTTCTCCAGCCTCCCTGGTCGCTGGACCGGCTTGGAGAGCGGAACGAACACCGAGTGCTGACATCCCTACCCACAGGTTCCAAGTACGAGAGAAACCTGCCCGCGCATACAACGGCTCGTAAGTCTATGCTCCCCCCCCCCTTGCCTCGTCCCTTCTGGCCTGTCCTGCTTGTCCATCATCACATGCTGACCTGCATCTCCCCTGCCAGCACCCCCGGATCTCAAGTTCTAGACATGGTTGCTTCAGGGCTGGGTGGCGTCAAACTGTACATAGAATCTGTAATCTGCGCATAGATATCGATGACCAGAGGGGAAAAGAAAACACTGAAGACCAAGTTGTCAACCACATATCCGATCATTGTCCGTATCCCATCTTCTCCCTTGTCCGTGTTCAACGCATGATAGATAGCGCTGCCGCTACCATTCTATCCGCCCGCGGTACTCTGCCGATAGCGAGGGGCTTGGGAAAGACTGGTGCGCCCTTCGACCGCGGCCCAAAACGGGATTGGTATTGGCACGCCACTGAGTTGCACTCGGGAGTCGGGACGCGTTATTATCGCAGATGGGTATCTGTCGTCCATATCCGCGGTCCATCTGGGATAGCTACGAGTGACCACTGGCCTTTCCTCTCCCTCAACCATCTACATGACGATACAGATATACCAACTCGGGACGAATTTCGTTGCGGCAATGCTTGGTTCGAGAAACGTGCGCAAGGCCGATCGTCGAACACTGAGCCATAGCAGAAACAAACTCCCCCAAGTTCACCAATTGCCACCGCGACGCCTACAAGCCTGTTGATTTCAAGAGATGCAGAACATCATGAGCCGAAACCAGTGATTCCAGAATGCATTGCCAACTTCAATTTGCAGATGTAGGTCACCGAGACGGAGAAGGGGGGGAACATGTGTTTGTTCAGAAGTTCTCATTCATTATCCGTTTCCCATTACCGTGGGCGGATCATGTGTAATGTACAACCCAAAATTCGCATATCGCGAAGCAAAAGCATTGCCGTGCCCAACCGTGACCCCTAGTTCATAAAGACGTGCCAAACAACCAGAAAAATCAAATGCAGCACACACCCCGTCTACAACTCCTGCGAGCCGGCGTTCTTGCCAGGCTTGCCGGTCTTCTTGGGCAGGAGGTCTGAGAGAAAAGAGACACGTTAGCGGGTGATGGGGCGGGTGGGGCGGGGGACAGGGGGCAAGGAAACTCACTCTGGTGAATGTTGGGGAGGACACCACCCTGTGCGATGGTGACGTGGCCCAGGAGCTTGTTCAACTCCTCATCGTTGCGGATGGCGAGCTGCAGATGTCTGGGGATGATACGGGTCTTCTTGTTGTCACGGGCAGCGTTACCGGCCAACTCGAGGATCTCAGCAGCGAGGTACTCGAGGACGGCGGCCAGGTAGACGGGAGCACCGGCACCGACACGCTGGGCGTAGTTGCCCTTGCGGAGCAGACGGTGGACACGACCAACGGGGAAGGCCAGACCGGCCTTGCTGGAACGACTGTGGAGAGGAGACGCGTTAGCCGGCGTGGACGAGGCGAGAGGGCTGCCGGGCTGGCACGGTGGTGTATGTGAACTTACGATTGCGCGTTCTTGGAACCGCTGGCCTTGCCGCCGGACTTGCCGCCTCCAGTCATTTTGGTGGATTGGTTTGGGGGGGTTGGTTGGGAAAAGGTGAGAGAGCTGGAGTCGAGGACGACTTGGAGATGATGATGATGCTCGAAAGCGTGTGGAGGTGGCGGATGCTGGTGGTTGGTGAAGATGAATGATGAACGGGATGGGAGTTGTGGTGTTGATGGTGGGGGACAGCAGCTTAAGTAGTAGTCGCGTCGAGCTGCAGCTCCAAGTGACTGATTTGGCGCTGATTTCGGGGGGCTCTGAGGGGCTAAGCCTGTTTCGGCCGGAAAACTGGAAGCAGCTTCTTAGCTTGTCGCGGGCGGGCGCGCCCCACTTCTGCGTCCTGCCTTTTACTATGGTACTGTCTGCTGTGTATGTAGGACCGCCTAGGTAGGGGCCTAGGGGCCTAGGGGCCCAGGTGCCTTGGGACGGAAATTGGGCCTGCGCCGGGGGTGCCCCCAAGGCCGACCGACAGGGCCGGACGGCAACAAGAAGGGCCACCACGGATCACTGATCCCACCCGTGTCCTGGGCGTGCCACCCCCCCCTCTCCCCTCTCCCCTCCTCCCCTCTCCTCAGGGCTCCCCCCAAACGCGCCCCGGCCGCGCACGCCAGGGCTCCAATCCAGCACGGCTCACTGCATCAGTGGCCCTTCGAGATTGCGCCCAGCCAATCACGGATTTTATTTACTTTATTTTGCGCTGCGCCCCCCCGTTCTTGTCACGCTTGCGCTTGATCTGATCCCAATTATTTTTTTTGTTTTGGTTATTAGACCCGGCACCCACTCTGCCCTCGATTTCTCTGATCCTGCCTCCTTCCCCCTTCCCTTACCTGTTGTGCTGCCAGATCACTCGACGCGGGTCCTGCTGCGTCGCTTTGTCTGCTCGCCCACCACCGCCCGCTCCCTCCCTCCCCGAGCCTGTTCCCTCCGGCCTTTGTTGACTGATCTCTCTCGCCCAGACATGTTGGACTTTGATCCAGATCCAAATCGAATCCAAGTCGAGTTACTCTGGCACGTCTGATAGTTGGGCCTTGTTTTTCGATTTTTCACTCGATGGACTTTGGGTCCCAAAAGTCTTTGGACTCTGGACTCTGGACTCGATTTGTTTGATCTGGATCCGAGGCTTGTTGGGTCAGTTCAGTTGAGCTCAGGTTGGGTTGGGTTGGGTTTGGATTCGGCTTTGTTGGTCAGTCCGATCCAAAAGCTGATCCATCCAAAGGGTCGTTCTGGTCCAACTTGCATACTGGGTTGGAGGTTCACTGGGTTCTGACAGGTCCATCTGGACTTGTTGGGCTTGGGTGAAGCCAAGTCTGGTTTATTTTGGTCTTGACATGAAGTACATATGGTCTTGGGGATTGTTGGGTTTTGGGTCTCGAACCTCAAGTTCCATCCACTTTGAGGTAACGTATGGCTTTCTAGGGTCAGATATAGCCACTTTTCCCAGCCAAATTATATAGTTATATATATATTTTTGGGAGGTAAATAGGTACATAATGTCAAGCATAGTCCAAGTACATGGAATAATCCTGGTGCCCTGTCAAGTAAAGCTCAAATTCCGTGGTCCCTCAAGTGATACACGGGCTCCAAGGACCCATCTACTCGGCACTGGGCCGTTCCAACGGCAATCCGGGGTGGCAGTCTGGGGTACGACAGCTCCAATGCTCGGGCCGGCAGGTGCGGGAGGACGGAAGACGGAAGACGGTGGCGATAGCCTCATCTGCAGGCCAAATCGGGAAATCTACGCAGCACACGGGGGTCTCTGGAGCAGGGCGTCGGGGATGGACACATGGCAGTGGGGGGTGGATGATGGGCTCCATGGCCACCTGGGCATGTACTGTGGGCGTGGTCCTCTCAGGCCTCGGGCTTCAGCCTTCAGGCTTTCAGCCTTCCAGCGCCCGGATGACCCTGCCCTGCCTCCCTAGACGCGTCCGTCCCAAACAAGGCTGGGCTGGGAAAAATTGGAGAATGCGGCGCCAGAGATCAGAATCAACGGGCAGCATCAGGCCACCCGGGCCCAGAGTACAGAGTAATAATTGTGCCAGCGAGGGAATCTGAATTATTTGATTGGTTGGCGGGGGCGGGCGATTTTGTTTTGGTATGCATCCAAGTCGCTGGGGTGGGCACAGAAGCCCGTGCAGTTTTGACGCGCGCCGTGGCCTTGCGCAAGTCGCGTGTTTATCTCTCGGGGAGGGGGGGGGGGGGGGGCGTGTAGTTTGCAGTTCAGGGTGGGTTGGGAGGGCCGGGGGAGGATTGGCTGCAGCTCGTTGGTGGTTGGCGGTGCAAGGCCCCCCCCCCTCCCCTCCCCGTCCCGTACTGATTTTGGGGGCGTGCCTCAGCAGTCGCGCCGCCCGCAAATCGAGGTGTCAAATCAGTAAACGGCGCTAGCGTCTGCCGCGTCCAGCTACAAAAGGACCTCACCACCCACTGTCCATCTTCACCTCATCAACTCCCGACTTCATTCTCTCCATCCACAACCGCTATCCACGCAAACATCAATCAGATCTCTCCGATCTCATCCATCCGCCTTTTTCAACCCACACCCCAAACCCTTCAAATCCCAATCTTTCAAAATGCCCCCCAAGGCCGCTGACAAGAAGCCCGCCTCCAAGGCCCCGGCTACTGCCTCCAAGGCTCCCGAGAAGAAGGATGCCGGCAAGAAGACCGCCGCCACCGGTGACAAGAAGAAGCGCACCAAGGCACGAAAGGAGACCTACTCCAGCTACATCTACAAGGGTGAGTTCATTCCTCCTGCACCGCCAAGCGAGATCAGACGCGTCTCTTTCTCGCGAATGGGGGGGAAAACAACTGTGGCTGACCCTTCTTGCCTTATCTAGTCCTCAAGCAGGTCCACCCTGACACCGGTATCTCCAACCGTGCCATGTCCATCCTGAACTCCTTCGTCAACGGTAAGTCGCGCCTGCTTCGTCCTCCCACTCCCTCGCTCCATGAGCCAGTGTCTAATATCCACCCCCGCGTCTAGACATCTTTGAGCGCGTCGCCACTGAGGCTTCCAAGCTCGCTGCCTACAACAAGAAGTCCACCATCTCCTCCCGCGAGATCCAGACCTCGGTCCGCCTCATCCTGCCCGGTGAGCTGGCCAAGCACGCCGTGTCGGAGGGTACCAAGGCCGTCACCAAGTACTCTTCGTCCACGAAATAAGTGCTCGGTTAGTTTGCGCGGGGTTGTGGCATGGTTTCTTTTGGGCATGGGATCCTTTCTGGCTTGCTTTGGCATCATGATGAGGCTTGGCCACTGCACATTGCCGATGCGGATCTCCTTGATATTGGAGTCTCAATAATGCGTTACGGAATGGTTTCTGATTTTAGGGGGCAATTGTCTGTCTCTGCACAACACGGTCTGGGGTTCGCGGTTGTACTATACATTTTGCCGATAGGTTTTCGGAAATGACACCTGAACATGAACAAAAACAACCTAATCTGCCTCTCTTCTCTTGCAACGTGTGATTCAGCCCGTCTACTCAAAGCAATACAGGGTAGCGTTTCCCACGCCCTCGTCGCCTTGCTAACTCTTCATCTAACCGCGGGCCCAAGTCGCTCGCCCGGTACCCTGTCTTCCGCGACTATTCGACCCGCATTTCGGAGCGGTGGGATTGGGAATCGCGGGTGCGAGTTTCGCCGTCAACAAAACGGCGAGATCGTTGAGAGGAGCCTCTCAATTCGCGCGTGGAACGAGGATAGGAATATCCAAGATGGTCATACCCCAAACCAGGGCGAAGCGGGCAGCGGTAGGCGAGACTTGATAGTATTGGCCCTGGTCGTTTTCCTCTTGAGCGCGTGCAAAGTGGACGCGGCCGCTGGGATCTGGTCGTCGATGCTAGCAAAAAGCAAAACGCTTTGTCCGTGTGGCTCTTATGCCTGCATATTCTACGAGTCTCCTATGGAGGGGCGACCGCGGTACATAGCAGTCGCTGCAGCGAGTAAAATGCAATTGCAAATAAATGTACACTCATCGCCCTATGCCAACTCTTGTGATCTATGCTCCTGCCATGCCCGGATCCGTCGCCTGCAGGATGGAGAGGGAGCTCAATCCCCTGCCTTGTACTACAACCGCACTGCTAGACAGACAGCGCACGAGGGAGAAGACTTGGGTAGCAGTGGTGTGGTGGCCTACTTCACGTCGCCCAGGCCAACCTTGCTCCTCTTCATCACATGGGCGACAGGCACCATAATACCCTTGTTCTCCTCCGTCCCCAGCGCCTGGCCCTTGGTCCAACCCATCTTCTCGAGCAGGAGCCGGCCCTTGTTCTCCGACGAGAGCTCAGAGGCATGGTGGCCCACGACCTCGCCTTCACGGTAGCTGATAGCATTGTGGGCTCGGGGCAGGTTGCTGCTCTTGCGCGGGCCAGACCGGTATGCCTTGGCCGTCTCGGTGTCGACGTCGACACGCGTGAAGAAGGATCGCTTGAGGACGCGGTTGACGATGGCGTCGAGTTGCCCTTCGTCGTAGGAGACGGTGCGTGCGGTGCGGAACAGGACCGGATGTCGGCTATCGCCAGAACCAGAGGACTGCGACTTGATTTTGAGGTGGCTTGCGACAGTGTGAAGCAGCTTGCGCGCATGTTTGTCAAGCGGTGGGAAGGCAATCCTGCGGGAGCACGTCAGCACGGGGGCCACAACGACAAGTAAGGGACGGCAATCTGAAGCCGTGACGCAGCCAGAGGGGCGGGATTACTAACTGTTCGACTGTGCCAACGAGGAACTGTTCCAGCTCGAACGCCATGTCGTCCTTGGACATTCCTACCGGGTACTTGACACGAAGGTCATTAGGATTGACGTTCTTTCCAAGCAGTCCCTGAGCGCGAAGGGCCTCCCGCTGCTTCTTTTTCTCGGCCTTTTTGAGGCGGTCCTTCTGGAAAGATAAGTTCATTGCTTCCTCCAGGTCAGAATCGTCATGCGTGAATGTAGATGCACGCTTGGCGGCCTGGTTGAAAGTGTCGAGCGCGGCCCGGTGCCAGTCCATGAGGTCCAAGTCATCGAAGGCCTCGGCCATGGCGGTCGCGCTTGGGTATTGGCCCTTCTTTTGCACGATCTTGGCCTTCTTGGACGCCCCCTTCTTCTTGCGACGGGGCGTCGCCCTCGGGGCTATCTGCCACTCGCCCTGGTCGTCATCCTCGCCCACGTCGTCGTACAACATGAGGTCGTCGCCGCCAAAGCCGAGCTCCTGCTGTTTTGCTAGCAGACGTGCCATACGTTCGTCCTCGAGCTCCATTCGGCGTCGTTGGGCTTCAGCCGATTCGGGTTCCTCGTCTTCCCCTTCGTCCGACTTCTCTTCGCCGCTCTCGTCTTCTGAACTGTCCTCGGGAACAGCGTCGCTATCGGTGCCCCCAATATCTCTGAGCAGATGGAAGGCATGTGAGCCGAGCCCCGGGTGGTTGTCTGACTCGTCCCCATCCTCACCTGCCTCGTCGCTGTCCATGTTTGCGATGTAGTCGGCAATAAGTGCAGCCTCTTCATCTGAGTGGGTGTTATCCAAGAGCACATCCAAGCGGGAAGGCTCGTTGTCTCGAGGCGTGGCCATATCAGCAGCGGCGGTTGCCTCCTCGGCTAACAGTCGCTCACTCGGTCGATGCATCGACTCCTCTACGACAGGCCGCTGCTCAAGCTCGATACTCTTCTCAACTACCTTGATCTCCACATCCATTTCGCGAAGCTGTATCGAATCGGTATAATTCCCAGGGGTGGACGGTGCTCTGGACTGCGACTGTGACTGTACTGCCTGCCGCAGAGCAGGGTCGCGACCCTTGAATAGGATGACCTCGTCGCTTGAGTCGCTCTCCATGTCCGAGTCGTGATCAGGGACAATAACGGGCTGCTGCTTCCCAGGCCGTAGTGCCTTGTCTCCAGCTGTGTCCACGACAAATGGCTGGGCTGCTGAGGCGGGTGGCTCTGTCACTTGTACAGCCGCAGGCATTTCCTCCTCCGCGGGTACGTGAGTGGCCTCAGGAGGGACAGCCTCGGGATCGACCACGACCTCCTCCTCCGCGGGCACCGGTGCTGGTTTGACCGGCTCGTTTTCCGTTGCCTCTGGCTGGACCTCCAGCTCCTTCAGAGGATGCATCAGACCAGCGCTGACAAAGGTCACGGGCTTGTGTCGCAGCCTGCCATCCAAATTGCCAAAGGCGCGAGGCCGCTTGGAGGTATTTCTCGCCTCATCAGCGAGAGAGTGACCTGAAGAGTGAAGTTTAGCGCCAAGAGTATGTAGGACGGCCGCGGGATACTGTACCAGGGGCTCCCGACCTCAAGAAGGGAGAGATGGGACGGAAAGAGGCTAGGATATCGAGCCCGGCATTTGGGCCGCCGACGCCGCCACCACCTCGTCCGCCTCCTCGTCCTCTTCCTCCTCCGCCTCGAGAGCGACCGGCAGGCGGCCCCCCGCCACGCTTCCCTTTGGGTGTGTTCTTTCGTGCCATGGTGAGCTTGTGGTTCAAGTAGAAATGGAATCCCCCAAATCACCGTGACTATGCTAGGGTGAAAGACGGCCTTTGTCTGAAAGAGTATGCAATCGAGACTCCACCAAACTGATCATGGTTTTGCGGCCGGTAGAGGAAACCAGGTTGGAAGGCTGCAGTGCAGGCTTGGCGTCACCAGGGATTTACTGTAGGATGTACCCAAGACGGGACTGATGATTGTCCCAGCGGTGACCTAGATCAAGTCTCAAGAGGCGGCGGGCGGAGGAGATGCGGATCCTAGCCAGAAGCCAGCAGGACCAGCGTGGATCTCTGCTTGCTCTTGAGTTGATTGTGCCGGGCAAATTCCGCAGGTGCTGGGTTCTTCTGTCTCTCTCTCTCTCTCTCTCTCTCTCTCTCCCTCTCTCTCTCTTTCTATTCTCGGTTCAGTTGTCTTGGATCAGGCAAGAGGGGCCCCCAACGTGAAAAAAAGAAACGATATCGACGGCGAGTGTGCACGCCCGGGTCTGACTCTGAGTCGTTGTTCTGTAGCTTTATCGATAACGCAGGACTCATCATCGGTCGGGCCTCGCCCTACGAAAACGCATACATCCAATAGGAGTGGATGGTGATGCATGTTGCCTGTGGATTTAGGAGGGGTCCCTGGGCCCCTGGGTCCCCCTGCGGGAGCCTCTGAGGGGCAAAAGGCCCACCCAACCACCGATGACACAGACTCCCCCGTTGCCCGAGTCCCTCAACCCGTCCGTACTCAGTACCTAGGTAGTGAGTTACTCGTCCTCCGTCTCCAGGCTTCCAAGCAGCCAAGGCGCGCCACGAAACCCCGCTGAGTTACCATGCCATCCATGGTAGGATTTACCCGAGTTAGGTACCCAAGTAAGTTAGGTATGCAAGTACCTGCTGTAGACTCCTTCCGATACCGATAAGCAGCCACCGAGTTGTGCATCATCACTGTTGCGTTGCACCTGGGCAGCTCGCGCAGAGTACCGCACCGCATAGCATGTAGTGAAGCCCAAGCGCTATACTACTTCAAGCAACAAAGACAGCTGATGAAAGGATAACCGAAAGGATAACACATGCTCAAACCAGCTTAGCCCGGCCTCAAGCTACGGGCTACGTGCAGTACGTCGCCTCTCACGTTATCCAGGGATTGCTTGACGGTGACTATGGTGCCCCGTACCCTGGCCCTTGGCTTTGGTGCTGGACGTCTGGCGTCACAAGGCATCGCCCTCACCTGCCGGCCGCCGAGCAAACCAGATGACTGGCCCCGGACTAGATCGAACAGCACGCATTTCTGACTTTCCTCCCTGGGCATCCCATCATCCTCTTGACCTCCCCAGCAGCCGGCTCTTATCGACCGTAGCCAACTCACTCCTTGCTCCTCTTGATCGGTAGCTTGCCCGCAGAGCATCCGCCCATGCCTTGCCCTTGATCATCTCCAGTCCCGCGCCCCCCCGAGCTTACCCCCCGAATCTCTCGTCGGCTTGCTGGGCCTGGCCTGGCTGTCTGCTGGTTGGCACCTAGAACCACCTCTCGACCCTCCCGCCCTCCATCCCCCGCCCCCCGCGAGACTCGAGCACCGACAAACCTCCCGACAACAATGGATTCTACCCTCGACATAGGCCGCCGGGTTCTCCAGATGATCTGGGACCCCGAACCCACCAACGACATGGTCCGAGACCAGCCCGTCTGGTGCCTGGGCTCCTCCTACAGACTCAGCACCCCTTCCAGTTCCCGAGTCGACCGAACAAGCACGGCCAAGACAACAGTTCCGACTCCCGCCTCCTCAGCCACAGACACATCTTCCCCGACCACGGACGGGCCCGCAACCACGACGCCCGCGCCCGCCAGACTACCCGAGACGCCGCCCGACTCGATATCGAGCAGCTTCGATTCGTCGCTGGCCTACGAGGAGGCCCCCAAGGACGGCGGCTGGCCCCCTGCCTTCCTCGACGACTTTGAGTCGCGCATATGGATGACATACCGCTCCGAGTTCGAGCCCATTCCCAAGTCACAGGACCCCAAGGCCCTGGCCTCCCTGTCCTTCTCCATGCGGCTCAAGACCCAGCTGTCAGACCAGCCGGGCTTCGCCTCGGATAGCGGCTGGGGATGCATGATACGATCCGGCCAGAGTCTGCTGGCCAACGCCATGCTCATGCAACGGCTGGGGAGAGGTATGTAGTCCCACCGAGCCGACGGCCCGTCCCGCATGACCTGCTGACAGCGCGCCCCGTCCAGGCTGGCGCAGGAGGACGCAGGAGGTGGAGGAGAAGAAACTGCTCGCCATGTTCGCAGACGACCCTAGGGCCCCCTATTCGATTCACAAGTTTGTCCAGCACGGCGCAACAGCTTGCGGCAAGTACCCCGGCGAGTGGTTCGGGCCCTCTGCCACGGCCCGGTGCATACAGTAAGTTGGAGGCCATAATTCCATCCATCCATCCATCCATCTCTTCTGCTATACTGGTCTCGTTGCTGGTGACTTAAACGAGTTGCTCCCAGGGCTTTGACGAACAAGAACGAATCAAATTTGCGAGTATACTCGACCGGAGATGGGCCCGACGTGTACGAGGACAACTTCATGAAGATCGCCAGGCCCGACGGGAAAGACTTCCAACCAACCGTCATCTTGGTGAGCACGAGGCTGGGCATCGACAAGATCACGCCGGTCTACTGGGAGGCCCTCGTTGCATCTTTGCAGATGCCGCAGTCTATTGGTATTGCGGGGTGAGTCTTCACCCTTCTTCCTCTATGATTCTATGTTTTCTATGCCTACGATGCTGAACAACCGCTCTAGTGGCCGGCCCTCATCATCACACTACTTCATCGGCGTCCAGGGGTTGCACTTCTTCTACCTTGACCCACACTTTACCCGACCGGCTCTACCGTATCATGAGGATGTGATGGAGTACACCCCAGACGAGGTGGACTCGTGCCATACTCGTAAGCTGCGGCGCCTCCACGTCAAGGAGATGGACCCCAGCATGCTGATCGGCTTTCTGATTCGCGATATGGACGACTGGGAAGAGTGGAGACGGAGCGTAAAGCACGTCCAGGGCAAGTCCATCATCCACGTCTCGGATCACGACCCCGTAGCCCAATGCGAGGCTCAGGGCAGCAGCTTCTTGGACCAGGTGGAAGCGATGAGTGACGATGAGGATGACGGTGACACCGTCCTTGACGAGTAACAATCGGGCCTCGGTGCATGTTTGGTGGGATTTGTCCTTTTTCTTTTTGGCGTATACCATTCAAGGGTGCATTGGCGTTTGGGGGAGGGGCCAGGGGTCTCGAGGTACGGACCGATTCAGGATCATGTAGATATCATTGTGAACCCTCAGCTGGATGCCGAAATCCGCATACGATTGACATTTACTCCTCGTCTCCCTCTGGGTGGTCAGATCTGGCCTTCCGGTGGCGCGGAATTAACACGCAACGCGGCTTTAGCCATGAGTTTCGCATTGTAAAGGCCAATCATGGTGGAGTGACTTGAGTGACTTGCCACGTTCGGGGCCTTCAATACTCGTCTTCTTCCAGAGGGAAAGAAGGCTGATAGGCCGTTACCGTTTCTTCTTGCCCGCCTTGGCAGACTTGCCCTTCGTGTGGCTCACCGGGGCTGCGTGCCCGGGGTTGGACTTGAGATGACCAAACAGCTTGGTTTTCGAGTCAAAAGGCTCGCTGCAGACGGCACAGCTGATCTGTCTCCAATGTCAGAAAAAGGGACTGTTGATGCCTGTGGTCAGGATATGCCATGCTACGTACCGGTGCCCCCTGTTGCTCCAACTCGGCTTGCTTGGCCGCCTTCTTCTCCCGCTTTGCCTTTGCCTTCCCGATCTTTTTCGCTGCGGCGGCGGCGGCGCCGTTGTCGAGCGACAGATCATCGGCCTGGCTTGAGAGCCCGTCGAGGTCGTCATTCACTCCCACCTGTAGAGGATTCGGCCTTTCGGCCATCAGGCGCTCCTCGACGGCCGACCGAGGGGCATAATCGTCATCATCGCTTTCTTCCCCGGAGTCAGCCTTTGCTATCTTTGCGTCGGTAGCATCCACGTCCTCGGGCTCGAGCTCGGCCCCGGCATCGGAGCGAGCGTCCGTAGCTACATCATTCTCCAGTGTGTCCAGCACTTCCGGACTCTCGCCTTCTGCCTCCGATGCAGGGGCTGCAGGGGTATCTGGGGCCGATGATTCTTCGAGGTCGAGGCCGGCGTTCTCCTTCTTCATCTGGCGCTTGAGCTGCTGCACCGCCTTGACGTGCTTCTTGCTCTTCTCGTGGGCCTCGTACTGCTTCTCGGTCTTGAAAGTCTTGTTGCAGACGACACACTCTAGAACCTCAACCTCGGACTCTTCTTCCGTCTCGGAGAACTCGCCCTCGAGCCCCTGGTCATCGCCGCGGGACTGCGCCCACTCCGGGACGACGTATTCCTCCATCATCTTCTGGTGGGCAGCGCGGGACCGGGCCGCCTGTGCGGCCGCGGCATCCCGGAGGATCTTCTGGCGCTCTGCCTCGGACTGCGTGTTGGGCACGTAGCGCGGGTCACGCTTGCGCACAAAGGCGACCAGGGACCGCACGGCGTCGTTGAACTCGCGCCTAGCCTCCTCGCGCAGCTGCTTGTTCTCCTTCTCCATGAGGCGGCGCACCCGGCGGTCCGGGGCGTCGGACAGGCGCCACTTGTCCTCCCAGGCAAAGCTCTTCTTGGTGGCAAAGTTGGCCCAGGCGGCGTAGAAGGGCTTCGCGACCCTGTCGTAGTCGTCGGTGGCGGAGCCGAACGAGGGGTACTCGACGATGGGCTGGCCGTCCCAGTCGCAGGCGGCGATCTCCTGCTGGGCCAGCGAGTCGAAAGTCTCCTGCAGGATGCCGAAGAAGCCGTTGGGGGCGTCGGTGAAGGGCACGGTCGAGTTGAAGCGGCCGATGAGGGTGAAGAGCTCGCTGGCATTGGTCATGCGGACGTTGTAGTACTCGGCCGGGCCGTGGTCCTCGTTGGGGTCGTCGCCGCGCAGGATGGCCTCGCGGTGGGAGTCGTACCAGGCGCGCTCCTGGGCGTCCGAGAGCACCTCGTAGGCGGCCTGGACCTCGGCGAACTTCCTGGTCGCGTTCTCGACGTCGCCATAGTTGCGGTCGGGGTGAAGCTCGAGGGCCTTCCTGCGGTATGCTTTCTTGATCCTGTACGGCAGGGGCAGGGTGATGTCAGCCAGTCACAAGCGGGTGGCGGGAGGCGGGAGGCGGGAGGCGGGAGGCGGGAGGCGGGCTGGGAGGACGTACTCATCATCGGTGGCCTGCCGCTCTATGCCGAGAAGCTCGTAGTAGTCAGCTTTCTTGGGCGCGTCGTTCTGGTTCGGCCCACGGTTGGTGGACTGTTCGGCACCCATGGCGCCCAGCCGCTGTTGTTGCCGTCTGGCTATATGTAGCTACCCTTGCGCTGCCTCGACCAGGACCGGATCCGACCTGAGGCTGGGCTGGGCGCTTGTCTGGCTGCCGGGAGTTCGGGTTGCGGGTTTGGGCAGTGTTCCTGCTATATATATGCCTACATAAGGTATGAATCAACATTTCTTTTCGGTTGTTTCCCAGGTTGGGGGGAAAATCTATACCCCACCCCCCACCATAAGCCACCCCGCCAACCTGGAACTCGGCGAATGACACATAACAGGGGGGACCTTCCACACTGGACCGAAGGGGGGGGGGCGGCTTGGCGAGCAGGGCTGAGGTCTACTATCTATACAGTAACTTACTGTAGGTACCATCTATCTGGCTTTCGACCGGGAAGAATGGACTCTGGCCGTTGCACTGGCGGGCCGGTCCGGGAACGAACCCTTTCAGGTACTCATCAAAGTATTTGTCTGCTGGAATATGTCTGTGTCTTGCTTTTAGACGCTGGCTGGGGGGTGGGAGGGGGGGGGCAGAGATATCCCATGTCCCTTCCGCGGCTAAGGTACAGTCGTGGCATGGAACTCTAGGTGCTGATGAAGTCGCCCTTGGAAAAAAGGGATTCGCAAGTTATACCTACATGCTGTGTGCCCTGGGCTGACAGACACGACTCCAGACCAGTGTGGAACTACGCATGGCTTCATGGCTTGCCCATTGTGTGTGTAGACAGCTGCTCCAGCGTTCGATCCGTGCAACAGACACCTCTTTGAAGTAACGAATAGCATGAGCTGTTAGAAGCTCCGTCGTGCACTAGCAACCAGCGGGTGTTGGACGAAGAGATTTGAGATGACAAACCGCAGACTGGACCGGTTCCTGTCCCCTATTTGCTTCCGTCTCGGAACGCTAGGGCAACGGAGTCAGCTTTTTGCCTGATGCTAACAACAGCAGCCCATGCCGCCGTGGTGCCGTGGATAACCTGCTGGCTTGCACGTGGCCGGCTGCGGGTGCTGTGATTGATGGCCCCGTCTTCGAAACCTCACCACCCATCCGCAGTCTGCGACCGGTGCCCACCTAGGGAGGGCCGGGCTAAAAAGTTGGCGACAGACGCTTCCAGTTCTGGCCTCTGCTGGACAGCGATTGATATCACCATCAGGACGGTAACAACAGACGGGCACCGACACTCTGAAAACGGATACGACCGGCCAAAGGGCGAAGACAGGTCGGAACCTACATCTGCAAGCAAGGAAGACGACGTTTGGCAGGTGGTCGCGTGCTCCATCACGCAGCTGAGCTGGGCGCGGTAGCATACCACGACTTGATTGGCCCCAAGCCGCCGGTTCCTTTCTGTCAGAAATGCCCGACCCGATCCATGGATCTGTACTAGGGTGTAGCAGCACCGGCTAGACCAGGGTTCGTCGCCTTCTGAATAAAATCTAGACTCGCCCCCGTCTACGCTGCGTGCGCCATGGGGAACCCGATCTCTGATCTTACTGGCCTGAGTTACTCCGAAGAGCGCGGGCCCTTTGGCGTTCATCAAGACTCATAACTCGTTCATGCTGGCGTGTTTCTTTTTCCTTCAGAAACACGGACCGTTCGTGATACCACGCTCTCATTGCCTCGACTAGTCCGTCGCCCCTCGTCTCTTCTTATTCCTCATTCTGCAGACACATATAGCTCGTTTGGATGGCCCCGCCATCCTGCCAATGTGTGATTTGTTCGTGACATCGGCCCATCGGTGAAGACTCGGATAGACAGGCAGCGGGACGCAACACGAGATTTCTGCCCACGTTCATCCGGGGCGTGGTCTGTCTGGGAGAGACGGCATGAAATTCGCACAAGAGTTCAAGAAGCAGCTTCAACAAGAAGGTGATTTGCCCATGGATGGTCGCCCCATAGTCACGGAACATTCTCCCCGCTGACCCGTCCGTCCATCGCAGGCTTCCCACAGAAATGGGTCGACTCGGCCATTCCCTACGGCCAACTCAAGAAATGCCTGAAGAGGGTCACCAATGAGTTACAGGAGCTAGGCCTCGACAAGGACACTCTGGCCCAGCTCGCTGCCGCCCAGTCCTCCGCTAGCGCCGCCTCTGAGAGTCAGCATGGTTTCCTATACCTTTTGGACGAGGAGCCTAGTAAGACGCGGCACTTGAGGCCGAGGCTGACTGTCTTCGTCCACCTCGAGGACGGCGTCGCCGTCGATGCAACCCTTTCACCAGCAACCAGGGACTTTCTGGGCAAGATTGCCTCTAGGGGATCTAGCGGCTCGCCTACGTTTTCCAACGCGTCCTCGGCCGAGGAGGGTGCGCCCTCGGACCTTGCCGCCCCCAGCCAGGACAACTTCCACGAGAAGTCGGGTCGCATCCAGGCACCGGAATCTGTCAGTCATTTCTCTTCTGTCCAGAAAATCGAGGTCCCGTTGGTGTTCGATGGGGAGTTCTTCGATATTCTGCAGACAGATGTGTCCAACCTGGATGTGCTCCAAGACGAGGAGCAGCAGCGGATGAAGAGGGACGTCGTCGCCCTGGGCCAAGAAATCTCCAAGGCTACGAAGCCCTCCGCCGGCAAGAAGGCGAAAGACGATCTGACAAAGTGGCGGGACATATTCGAACTATACCTCGATGCAAGGGTCTTCTTTTCGACCCGGGAGAGTGACCACGGTGCACGAAGTAGCGCACAAGCACTCAAGCAGCTCCAATGGTTCCAGCAGGAAGTTTTGAAGCGCAGACTCGTTCAGGGATTGAAGCTGAAAGAGAGCCGAGAGGCCTTCAATAGATTCATCAATGTCAATGCCGTTCTCTTGCAGAACCTCAAGTTCCAGGAGATAAATCAGATTGCCGTCAGGAAGATCCTCAAAAGTAAGCGCCCCCTCCTCTTGTTTCCGTATTCTCTTTGGGTTAACACCGGCAGAATTCGACAAAAGAACCTCGTTGGGGGTAGCCAAGACCTTTCCGGTGGCAGTCCACTCCCAGAGGCTCCTGGCTGGGAGCATTGCCAAAGATCTTTGTGCTCAGGTATCCAGCGAAGTCATCGCCACGATCCCGCAACTCGACGACTACCTGTGCCCAATCTGCTTCGCCATCGCCTACTGGCCGATTCGGCTGCATTGTGAGCACGTCTTCTGCAGTCGCTGCCTGGTCAAGATGCAGCGAAAGGGGGAGAGATTCTGTCCTCTGTGCCGCGGCGACGTAATCATGAAAGCTGGGTCGGAAAATTTTGACACTGCCCATGCCGAGTTCCTCAAGGAGTACTTCCCCAAGGAGGTGAAAGAGAAAATCCGTGCCAACGAGCTGGAACGTGGCAAGGAGATCTTTGGTCCGGACTACACAGACAGGCCTTGCTGCGTTATGTGATGGCAGCTGACTGCAGTCTACAGGGGACTGGAAACTGACGACGGGAGAGGTCAGCGCAGGGGTATCCTGTGGGAGTGGATGTAACCCATGGGATGATTGCAAGAGAAAGCGAGTCGTTTAAGTTAGATGATACCCCAGTTTTCAAGTTCACAATGCATTTTACGCCGGTATTCTTTCTCCGTTGCACCATTTGTGTGCTTGTGTTGGGTCATTCTCCCTCGTGCTTCTATTGAATGACATACACCGCAATATTTTCTCCCACAGCAATGTGGTTCCATGCTAGCTTGAATCGTCTGGCACACCCTCTGTGGCCTTGAGGGCCGCAGTGAATACCGACTTGAGTACTTCCGGATCCTCCAACCCGACGCTGATACGGACCAAGTTAGGGTCAACACCAAGTTCGCGAGCCCACTCCAACTCCTGGTAGTGCGCCAGTAGTACGTATGGGGACGTGAGGGTGAAGTTCGTCCCCAGACTTGGGCCCTTGGCCGTGTCCAATGCGTCAAAGAATGCAATCGCCTGTGCCTTATTCTTGAGCGTACACGAGATCAGGCCGCTGTACCCACCGTTGGGCAGTTTGCAAGCGTCGTAGTTGGCCTTCGTGTTGCTGTATTTGGGGTAGTAGACGTTCGTTACGTTGGGGTGCGCTAGGAGGACTTCGCAGATGGACTCTGAATTCATGTTGACCCTGCTTGTTCTCGTAATGAAATCTCGGCTGTTTCGCTCCAAGAAAATGGCATCTTCGGCCCAGTATGTGTCCTCGAACTCCCGGCTGAGGACCTCCTTGAGCGATTTGTAGTACTGCCCGTTGGGATTCAAGACGAGACCACCACCCATGACATTGCTTTCGCCAGAGAACATTTTTGTGAGACTGCTGACGACAATGTCTGCATACGGAAGTACGTTGACGTTCACAAAGGTGCCAATAGTCTCGTCCACGACGACGGCAAAGTCATACTCATCTGCTAACCGACGAATCCGAACCAGGTCTGGGCACGTCAGGAGAGGATTGCCAGGGAATTCGCAGAAAAGCCCAAGAAATCTCTCTCCGCCCTTCAATCGAGCCTCGAGGTCGTCCAGGTCGGCCGCAGATGCTCGGCCAAAGAACAGGCACCCAGGCCCAAACTTTTGAAGGATCTTCAGCGTATCGACGTATGGGAAGCCAAAGTTGATGCTTTTCCGGGGCTCACGCGTCTTCAGCAGCGTCTGGTGGGCAGTGAAAATGGCGTTCATGCCACAAGGGGCGAGATAGACGTCGTCTTCTCGAAAGTTGGAGACTCCACGTGCATCCGATTCCATGGACGGGAACGTGGAAGTCAAATCAATGTCCTCGGTGAGAACACCGGCAATGCGGCGTCGAACGGCCGACTTTGCGTTCTCGACCAGAGAAATGTCGAGGTTTCTCCCAAATCGTTCCTCAAGGAAGCGTGAGCTCTCCAGTGCCTCCGCCTCCTCATCGCTCGATCCATTCTTGGCCGAGTCAATGCCAGTTTGTGATGTAGAGGTGTTGACGCCATCAATGGACATGGGCCGTTGGTACCGTCTCGGGCCGCGAGACATTTTCTGGTACGAAGGCCGAGGCGACTGAGGAGACGACTCGAGAACCAGAAGGCTATCCCTGAACAGGCCATGGCAGAACTCGGCCCGGCGGCTCGACACGCCATCGCCGGAGTGTTGCCAGTATTGCTTGGCAATTGGGAAGGCCTCCTGCTGGAACAGTACTGCCGAAACTGCAGGCCGAACCAACTGAAGGGCCTCTGAGTGCTTCTTCGTCGAATCCAAGACCAGGTTCAAGACTTCAAGCTGCGCCAGGTCATCCTGGGATGCCTTGTCGCGAATGAACTGGGTACACCGCTGGGCCGCCTTCCTGGTTGGGAACAACATTGCACGCTGACCAGGCTTGCCGAACTTGGCCGTGATGTCCTGGGCGAAAGCTTCAATGCTCTTATGGATGAAGAATCTGCGTACCCGGTCAATATCATGGATCGGGCCACTTTCTTGGTGGAGGGTGCTCACCTCGGGTAACCCGTGGTCATCTTGTCAACCACGGCCTTCTCCCCTTCCTCATACCCCACGTTTGCCTTCCATGTTGGTAAGGAGACGCTCACTGCCTGTGAACATGTCAGCTTTCAACACCCTTATGCAGCTCTTGTAAGGGTCAACACCCACGTGCGCAGTATGGGCGGGAATCGACTCTCCCACGGCAAAAGAAGGCATGTTGGCTCCAAAAGGTAGAGTCGGTTAGGTGAGTTCAACCTTGGGTGTCTGCAGTTTGGGTGCCAAGATACACCATGCGCCCGGGTAATGCAGTGGCGATGGCTTTGAACAGGAGTGCCCTCGAAACACGGGGAGTATGTGATCTGACTTAATTGGCTCCGATGTGGTGAACTGGATCCTGAATGACTCCGTGTGACATCCGCCCCAAGCTCAAGCTAGGGGGCCAAGTGCCGGGATCGGACTTCGAAATTTTTAGATGGGCGTTGCCGCCCGCATTCCGGGGTACCCCCGATGATGTCAACGGGTTGCCGGAACTGTTACTGCCTTCGCAGGTACGGCAGATAAGTTAAGCTACTAGAGAAACAGCGTTGGAATCACAATGCCACTGATGCGGACCGAGGCTTTATATTTGTCTGGGTTACCATGTACCCAAGGTAACCATCGGCGCATAGACCGTATAGGCAAGTTAGCAATCCAGATATGGATATTGGTAGTGTAAGTTAGCCAGTTGATGACCTGCATACGGCCGTGCGCACCTTGGCCAGCTACAACCCCAGCTCAGGGCTGATGGCATCTTATACCCGTACTCGACACCCAGTATTTCAATCAAATCACTCGACTTTGGGTCAGACTTCGAGCCATAGGAGGTTACAGGGGGTGTCAAGTCGTAGGATTGTGCATCATCTCCGTTAACATCTCACCTCGAGAAGGATTCTGCTTGATCCCCAACGACTGCTAATACCCCGCCCCGGCCATGAAGATCGAGGGCGTCATATTGCCCACCAGAGGGCATAACGCTTCCTGGAATCTTGAGGTGTCAAATGGTATCATACGAACTATGGAACCGGTCACGCATCAACATGCGGACGCAGCTGCCACCCCCAGCCTGCTGTTACCTGCTCTCTGCCATCCCCACATACACCTCGACAAGCCCTATATCTTGACCTGCAACCATGGGACGTCGCCAGATCATCCCGATTACTCTGATCTGGCGCCGCGGACTGGCTCCTTCGGTGAAGCTCTCTCCAACACATCCAAAGCCAAAGAGCGCTATACTGCGGAAGACCTCTATCTCCGTGGGTCGCAACTCCTGGCAACGGGCCACAGGCAGGGCGTGACTTCGCTTCGGGCTTTCGTGGAACTGGATCATGTTACCGGCATCCAGCCATTGACTACAGCAATCAAGCTGAAGGACGATTTCTCACATCTCGTAGAAATCCAGATCTGCGCATTCGCCCAGGATCCTATTTTCTCCACCCAGCATGGCGAGGAGAATCGAGCAATGATAAGCGCTGCGCTTGCGGATTACAGCGCACACATCAGCGCTCTCGGTACGACACCTTATGTAGAAGACTCCGTTGATGCCTCGTTGCGTAACATCGAGTGGGCTGTAGCTACCGCAATCCACCATGACCTGCACCTTGACTTTCACCTGGACTACAACCTCACGGCCCCGGATACCACCAAGCCCCTGACCTACTCGGTGATTGACGCGCTGGAGAGGCAGGAGTGGGCTGATAAGGCAAACCGATCGAATACCATCGTCATCGGCCACTGTACACAGCTTTCCAACCTGGCAGCTGCCGATCTGGCCAATCTCGCAGACAGGATCAAGTCCAGCAAACTTCCAGTATTCTTCGTTGGCCTACCGACGAGCGATCTGTTCATGATGGGTCGTCCAGACCCCAGTAGTCCCCAGCATCGGCCGCATCATCGGCCTAGAGGGACTTTGCATGTGCCGTCATTGATTAAGGACTACTCCATGTCTGCTTGCCTCGGAGTCAACAACGTCGGGAATGCTTTTACCCCCTACGGCACGGGCGATCCTCTGCAGCTCGCCTCCTGGGGCGTGGGGATATACCAAGCCGGCACGGTGGAAGACGCACAACTTCTCTTCTCCTGCGTAAGCTGGGGGGCGAGGAGGGCCATTGGGCTCGAAGTCACCAGCGACAATGGTGATATAAAGGTGGGTGACAGATGGCAGGCGATGCTGCGGGTTGAGAATGAGCAATGTTGGAGTCTGGAGGGTCGTTCGGGGAGGGCCATGGATGTGCCAGCTAGGCAGAGGATGAGTTTCAGAGACGTCGTGTGGGATCCGCCAGATGTACATTTGAGGTCTATTATAAGGTGATTGCTTGGGGGAGCAAACCCATCCTCGAGCAGAACACATTGTGAATAATGCACCGATACAAACATGGTGTATTAGTATACCAATTAGGGTAAATCTACCTAATTCAACACGCCGTCCGTTCCCAGTACTCCGGACTAGCACACCTCGGTGTCAAGCTAGACTTTTTTTTTTTTTTTTTTTTTTTTTTTTTTTTTTTTTTTGTGAATCTTCGTGGGATGTAACATGTGAGTAGCTCAGGAGGCCATCGATACATCTGCGACTAGAAACGGATAGTGTATAGCCTGTTACGTACGTTGTCATGTCCTCAAGGGGGCATACTGAACTCGCTCACCTCGGCAAGCCCAAGGCACAAACAGAATATGGCCCAGATTCCGGCTAGACAATACACAACACACGTCACCCGAGATACGCTGATACACAGGTAGCCACAGAAACGTGTATGGGGAGAAACCTGGAATCGAAACCGAGCCCTAAATGTGAGCCGTGCTTCCAAGTATTCCGGTCATGGATAGGATCCGGTGTCAACCGTGGGAACTACAATTCGCTGTATCCCTGTGACAGGCAGGGTCGACATCGATCACGCACCCACAAGGAAAGAGTTCGCTTGTTTCTGAGCCCTGGGACAACGACAGAGCCGATGGCTCGAACTGGGCAGTGATGCTTGAGGGTAACGTCCGTCTGCCTTGATCGAGTGGTTTGCCGTCATCGTCATGGTCACAGTCAAGCAGATTACCATGGGATAGGACGCCAACATGGGGCTTATCCAACCTAACCTTTGTGCTATCCAATCCGCCATGGAAATGGCTCTCGCCCACCGCCCGAGTTTTTGAGTGGTCAACCTCCATTTGCGCAACGCGTCAAGGCGACCCTGCGTGCCCGCCCGAGTCGAAGAAAGCCCTCATAGCAAAGTCCAAGTCACGGCCGCAGGAACCCGTGGTCAGACGTGTTCAAAGAATGATACTGCCCCCTCAAGGCTGACCCCGGCCATTGCTAGAGACACCATCGCCAAGCAGCACTCCCCGGATGATGGGTTGGTTGTCTCTTTGTCGGCGAACATGATCACGAGAAAGCTTCTCGCCAAAGAGACTGCCGCACACGCGGCTCCTTACATTGGCTCGAGAAGACGGCTGAACCCCGCCCAAAGCCCTCACATCGCCAGCAGGCTATTCTGAGGCAATGACACTGCAGTCCAACCGCGCTGCTGGTCTCTTGGTCTAGCCGTTCCCGGCTTCTGTCATGTTTGCTCGCGAGCAGGCGTCGGTCGTGGCGACAGATGGGCATTAGAATGCCTTGACCTGGGCCTGGAGCCTGGTTCACATTTCACTACAGCCTTGGGCTATTGGTGACGCACAGCGCCAACGCCTTGTGGGTGTATTCGTGACCACCAACCAACCAACCAACCGGCTTCACATGGAGGCAGACAATGGGCACACTGTCAGAGGTTCCCTGGGCGGGATCTGGCTGGCCACGCACCCCGTGCAGTTGGCGGCCGAGTGTGCTCTGCCTCATAAAAGTGGCTATGTCTGCAGGTGCAACAAAGATTGTTACCTGCAAGTGTTGGGAAGGACACTTCGCAGTGCTGTTGGTTCTTTTCCTGAGTTGCTTGCCTGCGCCGAACATATGCATGAATTTGGGCATACTGCCGCATTTCATCGTCTTTACTGTGGACTACGAAGTCTCTCGAGTTCTCAATGACAGCACAATACCATGAAAAGGGGTATCATGTGGTGCTACCAGATTGTTCACCCGTGGGCACACGAGAATAATCCGCGGACCCGAAGCAGAAAACGCAAATAGCGGGCCTCTCTCGCAGATTTGCCAGATTGAGGGAATGAGACAGGCGTCGGACCCTTGTCCAAGGGTAATCAGATGCGGATCCAGTGCGGATCAGATAACCAGCTGGCATTGCAGGCCAAGGAATTAGAGTCCGAAAACATTTGATCTGATAAAAAGCCAGCCAGTGGATCCGGAAGCGACGGGGCCCAAACAGTCAGCACGGTTGCACGGTGCACGGGATCCAGGATCCAGGATCCCTATCCGGGGATTGGATTGGCGATTACAGAGAGTGGGCGGACGAAGGCGCAGAGTGCCGAGAGATTTGGCGTTGGCAATGCGAAGGAAATACCGTATGCAGAGCTTTCGGCATAGTCATTGAGCTGACAGTGCTGGCTGATAACTCGGGGTGAGACAGAGGGAACAGGAGATGCAGCCCTGCCCGGTCGAGTTCGACGACGCCAGCCCAACACGCCAGGCACACCGAATCCGCAGCGGGAGAAGAGATATTAGGTCATCCATACAGTGCACTGCTACCGTCCGTCAGCATGCCGATGCACGCACACCACAAAGAACGCATACATCAGTGTGATCCATTAACTCTGTGTTTCTGACAGAAGTACCAAATGAAAGGCCCCCCTGCCTGGGGTACTTGTTTAACGACGACAAGACGACGACACTAGGGCAGCAAGGACGGGCGGCCTTGGCGGCAGTTGGGTCATTTCATCTAGTTGCAGCTCTGGTACGGGTGCTCCGTACATACAGTAGTCTCGAGACCTCCCAGGATGGCCGAGGGAAAAGAAGAAGAAAAAAGGGAGATTTCCGGCCGCCGCTGGGTGCATATCCCTGGGGCCAACGCAACCCCACAATTGGTTAGCACCACCTGGGCAGTCGGTCAGTTAGGTAGGGGCTAGCGGGCTAGCGGGCTAGCTGGGAAGCCTGGCAGCCTGGGAAGCCTGGGATGGGGGTGGACAGCCACCTGGGCAGCCCGCCAGCCCGCCAGCCCGCCCGCGGTGCGAATGAAGTGGTTCGTCGCTGGCAGTGGTGGCAGTGGTGGCAGTGGGAGCGCCAGATCCCTGCCGACCGACCTCCGAGTTGCGCTGGGTCGAAAAGTTATCTGACCTCCGTCCTCGACGTCCAAGATTTTCCCAATACTCCGGCCCTCAGTATCGCAGTCTTCGGCCCACGCTCGACGACAATCGCCCTGCACCCGGGACACACGCCTCCCCCAAGCTCCAGGAAGCTCTGGCTGACGCCCACTCGCCCCCTTCTGAGAACGACGACGCCCAAGCCTTGGCCCGTTTCTCCGACCGCCGCTCCGCTCGGGGGGGAATTTTTTCCCTTCAACTCGTCGTCTCAAATCAGCTTCGCGTCTGAAGCTCGCATCGCAGCCTCTGCCCCTTCACCAGCACCGGCACCGGCACCAGCACCAGCACCGGCACCGGCACCGGCACCCGGCCCATCTCCCGCTCTCCAGCGCGACGAGACTCCCTGGAGTTCGCAGCAGACGTAAACCTGGCGCTTCAATCCCAACCCTTCGGCGCAGGCCCTGAAGCTGTGGCCAAGATGGCCCAGCCCAATGCCGAGCCGGTAGAGGACTACGAGTAGGTCGTGCCCGCCGTATCTCTGCTCACATTCGGGTGCCCCGGTGCTGATATCGCCCCCTAACGCAGCTATGAGGCCTTGCCGCCCAACTTCTCTCTGGCCCAGAATATGGCCGCCGGCGCCTTTGCCGGCATAGCAGTACGTTGGGATCCAAGTACCGCTCTCCAAAGAGCCGCGAGCTGACGTTTGCTTCAGGAGCACACCGTCATGTACCCCATTGACGCGATCAAGGTACGCGACCTCGACCTTGCCACTCATTCACCGCAAGCACAGCCCAGCTGACCCCTCTTTTACAGACGCGCATGCAACTCCTGAACTCGGGCGCCGCCTACAAGGGCATGATCGAAGGTACAGTCAAGATCGCGTCGGGAGAGGGTATCCTCAAGCTATGGCGAGGCATGTCCAGTGTGGTTGTCGGAGCAGGTATGTACTCTCCACGATGCGCCCTCTTGGTTCCCGACTCGGTCATGAGCTAACCGGAACTCTCCCAGGACCGGCACATGCTGTGTACTTCGCGACCTACGAAGCAGTCAAGCACGCCATGGGCGGCAACAAGCAAGGCGTCCACCACCCGCTTGCTGCCGGTGAGTTTTGCTGTCCTTGTACCCACGGCCTGGGGACCGTTGTGACTAACGTCAGCGCCAGCTACCAGTGGTGCTGCTGCGACCATCGCCAGCGACGCCTTTATGAACCCCTTCGACGGTAAGCTCTTGCCCGGCCCCCGTCGTCTGTTTGGCGGTGACTAACTCTCTCGCAGTCATCAAGCAGCGCATGCAGATCAAGAACTCGAGCAAGATGTATAGATCCATGCTGGACTGCGCACGCTACGTCTACAGAAACGAGGGTCTCTCTGCCTTCTACGTGTCCTATCCGACAACGCTCTCCATGACGGTCCCCTTCACCGCCTTGCAGTTCCTGGCGTACGAGTCGATATCTACTGCGATGAACCCCGACAAGTCGTACGATCCCTTTACGCATTGCACCGCGGGTGCCGTCGCCGGTGGTTTTGCTGCCGCCCTCACAACCCCCATGGATGTCATCAAGACCATGTTGCAGACCCGAGGATCTGCCACCGACCCCGAGCTACGTTCGGTCAACGGCTTCATGGCTGGCTGCAGACTGATGTACCAGAGAGAAGGCTTCCGGGGCTTTTTCAAGGGTGTCAAGCCTCGTATCGTAACCACGATGCCCAGCACGGCAATCTGCTGGTCGGCTTATGAGGCTTCCAAGTACGTAGATCGATCACCCCGAGTGTTCCGGCGTTTCCGAGACTAACATTCTGTCAGGGCTTACTTCATCCGAAGAAACACCTCATAAGAAAAGCCATTTGATTCCCGGCACTTTCGCTGTGACGACGAAGCACACTACTGCTCTCGGACTCTGCCTCACCACTTCCCGATCTCTTGCATAGCCCCGAGGCCATCAACCGAGATGGAGATATGGGACCGCGGCTATCCTCTTTCTTCGCAGCCATAACGACTCAACCTTCGTCACTTTTCATGAATCATCTGGATTGGCTTTCTTGGAAGGCCCTCACCTCCGGAACAACGAGACACCCTAGGCGTTTTTCCTTGCCATCTGGAGCCTGGATCTGTCCTGAGCATCTATCCACCACCCTCTCGCGCACACATCTTCCACCGGATGAGAACAACTCGAGGAAAGTCACGTCATCCGACCTTAGGTGGTCGGCTCGGTGGAAAACGAAGACACCCTTTTACTGTACATAGTCTTGATTTTGGCATGGACCCCACGAGGGTTCAAGGCGTCGCGAAGGGATGCCCACCGGATGTTGATGTTAGAGGGCGTCGATTCATTTTCCTCCTTTGATGATACCGTGAAACTGGGAAGTGCAGCGGCGTAGTGACTGGCACGTGGTGATCTGGCGACGGCAAAAACTTGTACACTATTGCATCTGGAATGATGATAATAAAATTACTGGCTAGACACCGGCATCTCCCCCCAACCTTGAGGTTGGTGTGACCACCCGGAGGCACGACGCTGTCCTGGCCGTACTAAGGGGCGCAATGATGTAGAGCATCGCCGGGCGGCAGCACCGCAAACACAGATCTGGGAGACTCTGGCCAACCAAGGATAAAAAGGCCACGACCCCGTACCCCGCTCCCCATGAACACGGTAGAAGCCGGGCGCCGGTGTCTGTGAGAAACTGAACCAGAGATCCGTCATTACCCTGCCCCAATAAAAGCACCTCTCTATGAACCCCTGCTAGGGAGATGTGATTACGATGGCGGAGTGTAGGCTATCAGCTCGACGTTGACCATGGCAGTCTTGTCCTTGGACGAAACAGCGGCTAGCACGCCCTCCCTCCACCGGACGAGGTAGGTGCCGGGGGTGCCGGGGACCTCGTCGAGGTGGAAGTAGTTCTGGATGCTGTTGTCCTGCAAGATGGGGAACAGCACATTGCCATAGCGGAACCAGAACAGCCGGTCATCCTCCGTCAGGTCCGCCGCGCTGTGCGCGAAGAAGACAGGGTCCGACGCCCCTGGCGCATTGTTGACCACCAGGAACGTGGGGTTCGGCAGCCTCGCGCCCGGCGTCGTGGGCTCCACGTAGAGCAGGTCGGCGCGGATGTTGGGAACTATGCCAGGGGTCAGACGGGTTTGTAAGAACCACCCCTCCACCACCCTTTGTTTCCCCTTTAAAAAGAAAAAAAAAGGGGGGAGGGGGGCTGCTGGATCAGTGCTTCCAGCGGAGTTTGGAAGAGACGACGCACCGGTAAAGTCAAAGACGGTCTTGATGCTGGGAGGGACGTTCGGCCCGACGTACAGGTTGCCGTCTCCGTACCATGCTTGGAGATAGTAGTCTTTTGCGTTCTGCTGGTAGGCGATGGATACGTTGTACGGCAGCCCGGCAAGAGCTGCGCCTGCAAGCGCGATGCAGGGGGCGGCTAAGCGCGCAGCGAGGGACCGCATGATGTATATACCGACGAAAGAGAGGAAACAAGAAACCCCGAGCTTGGGTCAAAGGTGGTCCTAGCGAGGCGTATGAAGCCGTGTACTCTCGGTAAGGTTGGAGACAAGATAGAGAGAGAGAGGGAGAAGGGATCGACACGGAGTGGTCTCAAGGGTGCTTGGTTGCAACGAGACAAGACATCCGGACAATTAAGTGGGTATTTGCTGTCTATATATCCTCATATTACGAAACCACCCCAGCCGCATAGCAAGCCTTGGGAAAGAAAGATATCTCCTGTTCGATCCAGAAAGGGCGGGGAAAAACAATCAGGTCTCACTTCTGGGGATGAGATGCCACAGCGAGCGAGCAACCCGATACCATGTGACTGATGGGGAAATTGATCTCCAGCAGTGTCCAGATGCGGCCCAGAAGGCTACGTGCATTTGTCAACTTTAGTCAGGGTGGCCCCGAGCTGTCACTTGGACCTGCGGTTAATATAGGAAGGAGAGGGATAGAGGGGCAGTATATAGAGTCGTCTGGGGGTTTCCATGGCTCAGGCGGCGCGATTGCGGGGTTGACGAATAGGATGACAGGACCCGAGAGAGCCCCGAGAGCACAGGTATCAAAGATGGTACGAGGCGAACGACGACGTAGTCACGTCACTGCAAAGTCCTACGCTATGTGAAGTCCGGATCGCCAGCGGGGTAGCATGGGCAGGCCGCGAAGGTGCGCGGTTGAGCTGCACCGAGAGAGGTTATTACTGAAATGGGATAACGACCAGGGTAGCTCCCGGAAGAGAGCGAGTTGAGAGCTGATGACCGGAATGGGAGGCGGTGGGAGGCTGCATATCCAGCGATCAAGGTTGGCACTGCTTCCAATGCAACTATACCCCCCCGAGGTCAATAACGGGACGATATGCACGCAGTCGCCATAGGGGCAGGCTGACAGCTCATGGCTAGCTAGCTAGCTTATCGAGTTCCGATCCCTTTGAATCGACGGACTGGCTGACGTGTGAAGGCCGCTGAGGGCTCTTGATGAGGTAAGTTGCTTATTGAGACCCGCGTCAGAGCACCGTAGCTTACTATTGGCGGACTTATAGTATCTAATTAACCCTAGAGACATGATTGGGGAGGGCTTGATTGCGCGACAGTATCAAGGGAATCGTCGATACGATTAATGTCAAGGAGCAACTGCGGTCATGGAGAGCTTCCTTGAGCAGTTAGGTCCTGCGCATCCTTCGAGCACTGCGGCGCGTGACACGGGCGTGACGTGACGGCATTGTAGGCCATCAATGCGCTTGTCAAACCCCGTGTGATGATTTGCAGATTTCCCCCCAGCACTCCCTCGTGTCTGCCGTCTAACTTTGGACGGGTAGGAAGTAGATGCCAAGAGTCGATGTCGGGAGCCGAGCAGGCGAGACTCTGTTCCACGGGCACGGGCGCCCGCCTTCCAAACGATCAGGTCATGAAGAGCCACAAAACCCCCGGCCCCAGCCCATTGATGCTGACCACGGGTCATGGAGACCCCCAAACTGAGGTCCGCGTGAGGACCGAAAGTGTCGATGCGTTGTAGTCCCGTCGGATCGAAGTGATCAAGGGCGTCTCCGGGGTTTGAAAGGGCTCTCGCGCTCGACCAGCCCCTCGAACTGGCTATCTCTCCTCTCGGTGGTGTGCCTTAGCTCGGTTCGAAGGGCCTCGAGCTCTGCCCTGGCTGCTTCGATGTCGGGCGGAAGATCAGCGAACGCCTTAACCTGGGCATCGAGACCCTTTTTCTTGGCCAGCAGCTCCATATAATTCGCCTCGTCCTCCCTGACCGCCTCGACGGTAAGGGTGGGCAGCGGAACCGACTTCTCCAGTGAGATGACCCGCTGGGCGAGCTCGGGTAGCTTGGCGGACATCAGCTTGACCTGACGCTGGAGGTCGAGGTTCTGCTTTGAAAGGTCCGAGGGAGGCCTGTACTCTTCGCCCTGCAGGTCCTCGACAAAGACGTCCATGGCGGCCGACTCGCGGTCCAGGTAGCGCTGCAGCAAGGCGACGCGCTCGATGGTGTGCTCCAGCTCGTAGACCTTGGCCTGCAACTCGACGAACTTGCAGCCCAGCTCGTCGGGGGTAGGGCGGGCCATGCCGAGCTCAACGGCCATGCCGGCCATGGACTCCAGAGCTGTCCTGCCCTCTCTCGTCAAGCCGTTCTCGACAGCTTCAAGCACGTCGGCCGCGACGTGCTCCCCATCCGGGGGAGGCGGCTGCTCCGTGGCTTTGGCGCCGGCAGCTTGTCTCGCTGTGGCGTTGTCGGCACGGGCGGCCTTGACCTCGTCGAGCGCAGCAGCCTCCATGCGCGCCAGCTGATCGCGGTCCTCGTCGGCAGCCTCGTTGTGGGCTGCCAGGGCAAGCAGGGCCTTGAGGGTATCTGCATTGCGCTCAAAGGACGGCACGGGGCGGCCCTGGTACTTGGACTTCAGCCATCCGTCAACGTAGGACCAGTCCTTGGCCGTGGAGGCAGCGGCGCGGGCGACCGAGGGCGAGAAGATGGCTGTCTGTGGTGCTTGGGCTGGCATGGCGTGCCTGGCTGTATCACGCACGAAGGCCACAGCCGTCTTCCGGCCAACGGCCAAGGTTCCACAAGGCGAAAGCTTGGAGGGAGGTAAGTTAATTCAGCAGCAGCGTCGACACGTGATATTCGGCGTGGAATGTTGACGATGCAATGACTCGGGACGGGAACCTTGAGGAGCTGTAGACAAAGGCAAGAGAGTACCCGTCCATGCGATGGTACCATGTCGTGGGCTGCATGGCATCTTGTTAGTTGGTGGGGCATACCATTAATGCACAGTAGTGTAACTAGACGGGTATGGAGAAGCCAAGGTACCGTGCCCAGGTCCTACGGGCAGGCACCAGGTTATGTACTGAATACCGAATTCTGATAGGCTCCCGAGGTCGTCACTTGCATGCTATGTACTATGGTAGGCTGCATAGGTATCGATAGCGGCGTCTTGCGTGGGGGAAGGGAGAGCAAGGCCCCTGGGCCCAGGCCGGAATTTCTTCTGGGAACATGGAACACCGGACCCCAGACCGGATTGGGAGCCGCGAAGTGGCCAGCTTTCAATGCGCGACCGCGACTGTTAGTGAGTACATGGCTCACAGAGGGTCCTTGAACCCAACCTTGGTGAATGAAGGCCATGTCCTCGTACCAGTCCTAGACCTAGCACAGTGATTCTTACAGTCTGATAAGGGACTGGATACCAGATGCAGTGGTCCTGCATACCGCGTCTACAGCTGAACAGGTGAATACAATGAGAGGTTTCTTGGAGAGCAGCGGTGTGCTGCGAGTCGCGCAGGTTCCAGGTTGTAAGCTGCCTACTCTAGGTACTTGACTAGGTACTCCCTTAACAGCCCAAGTCTTGGCCCATCCCGCCGTCTGCCTCTCCCTCCAGGACACTTGTTAGTTCGTGACGTTTCCTGTTCCCAGACGACAGGTTTTTTTTTTTTTCTTCTTGTTGTTCGCAAACCTGGCCTCATTGCTCATTCACTCTCTTATTTCGAACTGCCTGCCCATGCTTGACCACCTGGCTGTGTAGTCCTCCCCTGGTCCCTCCCATCGTGTCCCGTCCGTGACCATGCTGGTTCCATTACCGGCGCTGGCACTGGCTGCCGCCAGCATCCTGTCGACATCGGGGCTGGTCGCAGGCCTCGACATACCCGCCGACACCCCCGTCTCGTCCTTGCTCTCCTCGGCCCAAGCCCACCTGATCCGGGGCGAGATGAGCGATGCCCTCGCCTACTACGACGCCGCCGTGGCCCGAGACCCCCGCGACTACCTCACCTACTTCAAGCGCGCGACCACCTACCTATCGCTCGGCCGCACCTCGCAGGCCTCGGACGACTTCAACAAGGTCCTGGCCCTGAAGCCCGGCTTCGAGGGCGCCCACGTGCAGCTGGCCAAGATCAGGGCGAGGAGCGCCGACTGGGCAGGCGCCAAGGAGCAGTACGCACTCGCCAAGAAGACCCAGGGGACGCCCGACTTTGACAAGTTGGTCGAGGCCCAGGGCGCTGCCGCGCTCGCCGAGGACGCCGCCAGCAGCGGGAGCTGGGACGAATGCATCGCCCAGGCCGGCGAGGCCATCCTCACGGCCAACCGGGCCCCGGCCCTGCGAGAGCTGCGCGCGAGGTGTCGCTTCGCCAAGGGCGAGGTCGAGGAAGGCATGGGCGATCTGCACCACATCCTCCAGATGAACCCCGGCGACACCACCCCCCACGTCACCATATCCGCCACCACGTTCTACGGCCTGGGCGACACGGAGCAGGGCCTGGGCCAGATCCGCAAGTGTCTGCAGTCCGACCCTGACTCCAAGGTCTGCAGGAAGGTCATGAAGCAGGAAAAGAGCATCGAAAAGACTCTCGGCAGGGTCGCCAAGGCGTTTGAGAAGAGCCAGTACATGTCTGCCGTCAAGCTGCTGGTCGCGTCCGGCGACGACAAGGGTCTGATCGACGACGTCAGGGACCAGGTCGGCGAGCTCCAGAAGGACGGGCTCATGCCCGAGAAGACGCCCACGCTCCTCCTCAACAGGATTGTCGAACTGGCTTGCCAGGCCTACTACGAGTCCAACGGCAAGAAGGCGAGCACCTACTGCGCCGAGTCCCTCCAGATGGACGAGGATTCCTTCTACGGCCTGCTCTACCGGGCCAAGACACAGCTGGACGCCGAGGACTTTGAGCCCTGCATCAACACCCTGAACAGGGCCGCCGAGGTCAAGCCGGACAAGAAGAATATTGTGAACCCGCTGCTGCAGAAGGCGCAGGTCGCGCTCAAGCGCAGCAAGACCAAGGACTACTACAAGGTGCTGGGAGTGGCCAACGACGCAGACGAGAGGCAGATCAAGTCGGCATACCGCAAGCTATCGAAGCAGTTCCACCCCGACAAGGCCGTCAGGCAGGGAATCACCAAGGAGGAGGCAGAGAAGAAGATGGGTCAAATCAACGAGGCGTACGAAGTGCTGAGCGACCCCGAGCTCAGGGCCAGGTTCGACAGGGGCGATGATCCCAACTCCCACGAGCAGCAGGGCAACCCTTTCCAACAAGGCGGGCCATTTGGAGGGGGCTCGCCCTTCATGTTCCAGCAGGGTGGCGGCGGCCAGCAGTTCCAGTTCAAATTCGGCTCAGGGGGCGGCGGCGGCGGTTTCCCAGGCGGCTTCCCCTTTGGTTAATAGTCGCGCTGCACACAGGATCAGGATGACGGAGTTTGCGGTGTTTTGGGACAAGACCTCGAGATTATATGATCATAGTCAATAAGAAGAAATAAATAAACAACACCCGGCAAAGGTCCTGCATCCCCCTTGGCGTGAGATCTCCCAATGCGAAAGATGAGTTGACCAGCTCCAACAGCATGTCTGGCACCAAGCAGTGGCAGCACCGCGAGCACCGGACGATGGCTGTGAGACGAAGGCCGTATTGTGCGTCTACCACGCCAAATCATTGGGTTCCTCGATAGTTATCATTTGATGGATTTCCAACGCGGCTAGATGGGCGGCTCAACCAGTTCTCGCGAGAGACCGCCGCATATAGCGGCACTTAGCTGCGAATCAGGATTCGTTCACCAGTGGTCAATGGCCCGAACCCTGTACGTGCCAGCTACCTACTCTTGCTGGTGGCATGCTGGATATCTGTGGGCATAGGCATGCGAGAAATTCCCGGGGAGGGGGCTACTATATGGATGAGATATGCTTGAGTTCGTTGCTGCTGCATAGCCGTCGCTGTGTCTGATCTCGAGTACGGGTTGGTGATGGAAGGCTCTAATTCGAGCGTATGCCGTGAGGCTGTTTCCGCTTCGTACATACCAGTTAGATGTCGGCTTGTTCACCTACGAATACTCTTCCCCCCACCCACCCACAAAGCTGTGTTCGGAGCCCTGGGGTGCAAGGGGGTCTCTATAATCGTATGACATGGGCAGCTTTACTCAGGCGAGCCTAGATAGCTCTGACGCGTGGTCCAGTTATTGTCGATGCAGACAAATATGAACAGAAATTCAATACGAGTAGAAGAGAGAAGAAAAGAATCAAAGCAATCAACCGCCTTTCAACGGGTTCCTTAATCAATTACTACCTACTATCCCATATCTAGACAGTAACCTTGGTAACTTAAGTCAGATCTTTACTTTAAGCCTATGTACGGGCATGTACAGTGGTACTATCCAGTAACTAGGCTGTACCACTGCGGGGCCGACCCGTGTGGCCAGCTAGGTAGCCCTGCCCCCTCCCCGGCAGCCCTGTCCCCTGTCCCCTGTCCCCTTTTCCGTTTTCTCGTGGTTGGTTCGATAAACTCAATTGGCCCATTATTATCATCAGGGCCCTCTATTCTAGCGCCGTCTCCAGGATCGCATCCTGGCGATGTTTCAACGGGACGAGCGGCCACCGCCACTCTCTTCTGTCAGTCTCTCTCTCATGACTTTTGATACTTGACGGAATCGACAGCGACGCACACCTCCCTTCCCTTCTCTCCATTCTCACCAGGGCCGCCAGGGCCTTCATAGACTGGCCACTATAAATTTTCCACCCGCCAACAGTCTGAGGGTTGCTGAGATTCGACTTCCTCCACCCAATGGATAGATAGGCGTAGACGCAGACGCAGACGGCCTGTACTACCCCCAAGCTACACCAGCACACCTCGGTACACTCGGATTCCCTGGCCGACGGCCAAGAGACAGCAGCATGGCCGAGAGAACATACCCGCTCCTCTCGAGGAGACAGATAGAGGGCATGATTGCCGAGGGCAAGTGCATCTTTATCCTGAACCAATATGTCGTCAAGGCCGACCCTTGGCTGCCCTACCACCCGGGCGGCGACAAGGCTCTCAGGCACATGATCGGTCGAGATGCCACCGATGAGATTACCGTGTAAGTCCTCCGCTGGCTCCGACCGCCGTGCCGTGTGCACCCGTGTTCCTGACATCCTTGGTTTTACGCAGTCTACATTCCCCCGAGGCGAGACAGCAGATGAACCGATACCGCATAGGAAGGATAGAGGGAAGGTGGACAAACTTCATACCTCCTATCCAGGGCGGCAATTTCAGAGCCCTCTGCGCTGGCGTCGACGACACCGAGCAGGAAGATACGCCCGGGTCACCTCTCGAGTCAGCCGTTACCTCAAGCCACACCAGCTCTCGCGATCAGTCGCCAGTCTTCGACGACAGCGATGAGGCCACTCTGCGACGCCGTCGCGTCCCACGGCCGCCCTCAGTCTCTTCCGTATCCTCCGCCGACGAGGACGACGGCATGACCTACCTAGACTCTCAGACCAAGGAGAAGATCAGCCTCGACCTGGATAAGTACCCGCCCCTGGACCCTTGCACCCAGGATGCCATTGTACAAAAGTACCGCGCCTTGAACGAGAGAATCAAGGCTGAGGGCCTCTATCAGTGCGACTACAAGTCATACGCCATCGAGATCTCACGCTACAGCCTGCTCTTTGGCCTGACCTTTCTGTTTCTGCGCTGGGGCTGGTATGTCTGTAGCGCCCTTTGCTTGGGTGCTTTCTGGCATCAGCTCGTCTTCTCTGCCCACGACGCTGGTCACATGGGTATCACGCACGACTTCCACACCGACACGGTCATTGGCATCGTCATTGCCGACTTTCTTGGCGGCTTGTCCATTGGCTGGTGGAAGAGGAACCACAATGTACATCACGTTGTGACCAACTCGCCCGTGCACGACCCGGATATCCAGCACATGCCCTTCTTCGCCATCTCTCACCGCCTGCTCGGGAGCCTGCGTTCCACATACTACGACCGCATCATGGCGTACGATGCCGCGGCCAGGTTCTTCATCCCCATCCAGCAGTATTCGTACTACTTCATCCTGCTCTTTGGCAGGTTCAACCTCTACCGACTCTCCTGGGAGTTTCTCATCCTGGGGCTCGGACCACGCAAGGGCCCTGCATGGTGGCACCGCTGGCTCGAGATCGTCGGCAACATCTTCTTCTGGACCTGGTTCGGCTACGGCGTCGTTTACAAGTCGATCCCCACCGGCTGGGACCGTTTTGTCTTCGTCATGGTCAGCCACATGGTAACTGCGCCTCTCCATTGCCAGATCACGCTCTCTCATTTTGCCATGAGCACGGCAGATTTGGGACCAAAGGAGTCTTTCCCGCAAAAGATGCTTCGCACCACTATGGACGTCGACTGCCCCCAGTGGCTGGACTTCTTCCATGGCGGTCTGCAGTTCCAAGCCATACACCACCTTTACCCGCGAATCCCCCGCCATAACCTCCGTCGTACACAGAAGCTCGTGCAGGAGTTCTGCAACGACGTCGACATACCGTACGCACTCTACGGCTTTGTAGGTGGGAATCAAGAGGTCATCAGCCGCCTCGCTGAGGTTTCCCGACAAGCCGCCATTCTGGCCAAGTGTCAGAAGGTTGTCGCAAGCAGCGACGACCCCCTCAGTCATGGCCATTGATTCTTGACGAGGTACCATGATACATCTGCGTACTGTGTCCGTAGCGTCTTCATAGACCGTGTTAGAGTTAATTGGGAACAAATGGATCTTTCCGTAGCCGGATATCTCTGAAGAATTTCCACCCCCCTAGAATTGATCCCCGCCACATTGGACCACCTAGATCAGGATTTATTGCGCATCCCGAAGCCGTTCGCAAGATTACCGATGCAAAAGATGCATCAAACCAACGTGGCCGCGCGAGCTTGCCATCCTCGGCAAGGACCAGAGTTGGCAGGGTGTGCTGCAGCCTACTATGGAGACCGTTCATGCATCTTGGTTGGTAGGCAATGATTGGTTGCATGAGCACGGGCAACACAAGGATTCTGGCGCCCCAGCTACAATACTGGTGGTAGTCCATTCACCCAAATCCATGTCAGCAACTGACTTCCCAACATCAAAACCGCCTCAGTAACATCGAGTTTGCCAGGCACGCCCCTGTGTAGCGTGACCACTTCTCTTCCATCAAGATGCCGGAGGCGAGAGATGAAACATGGCTTCGGGCTACTCGAACCCTGATTCTCCCTCGACCCGGGGCCAAATCCGACATCCACTTAGGATATGGTATTCTGCGGTGCCCCCAGCTTGCTAAGCAACCCCTTCGTGATCCGGATGCTGTTCCAACCCCGTAAAGACCTTTAGAACGCTTGTCAGGGCTGGAAACATTCCAAATCGGTGCAACGGACGTGCCAAACTCCACTTGGGAGTTGGGGCAACCTCACAGGGATGGACGAAACCAGCTTTGCCTGTTCCAAGATGCACACCCACCACGTGACGGTTGTCATGATGACTGGAAGTACCAACCCAATCTCTAGCTACATGTCGAACTACCTGGATCTGGATCTTGTCGTAAACCCACTAACGCCCCCCCCCCCCTCCCCCACGGTTGTAAGCATTCGGTAGTCACATGTGGATCTCGTGTAGTTCTTTACCATTCCAAGCGCAAACGGTCGTGGTAAACGGAGCGCATATGTAGACCATTCATTCCTTAGCTTGATTATCGATAGTTTTTTCTCTCTGTTATACCGAAGTCGTCGCGTCACACACGGCGCGCAGTACTTCTCCTTGCTGTCGTATAACAGGTGGTGGTCTGCAAAGCTCCTTGGCGAGCCCTTCTCTAATCTTTCTGATCCAGTGACGATGCCCAGAAGGAGACCACGTCCGCCCGGGGCCCCATTTTCCAGGGCCGGGATCCTGGTTCGTTCGGAGACGTAGTCTCAGGACGACCGGGGCGCTCTTCGGCATCTGCCCGTCATCACATCTTGTTTGGCAACCAGGGCGATGTACAGCATTAGCCACCACCGTACTCACGGGGTTATGGTGACCTCTTTGCGTTGCCGGAGAATGCGAGACTGCCGTCGGAAAAGTCAATCGGAGCCGCAGAGGGGCAACTGTTAGAAAAAACGTCGATAAATCCGTGAATCGCAAGTCAGCTACATCGGTGCATCGCCTATAAGAGCAATCTCGACTATATAATGTCCTCAAGCGCATGCTAAGCCCAGATCCATATATCAAAGTCTGAAAACTCGAAGACTATCATCCCCCCGAGCTAGGTGTACAGAGCTCACTCGACCTGCTGGCCAGCATCTGTGAATTCTGTCTAGTTTGACGAGTTCCCTGACATATTCGGTGCCCAACTTCGTCTGCCATGCCACCACGGGATATGGACGCCAAGGCAGCTGAGAGAATCGCTCGTGCTCGTGGCAAGAACGTACGTCGAAACGTCCCAGTTGGATGACCATGACATAGTGACAATCTCAGGACCCCTTTGCTAAGCGTGCCGTCATGACCGCTCAAAGCCACAGAAACCAGGCAACAGAGAGTAGCCCGCAAGGTTCGTGGAGGAATGCCGACTCCAAGCAGAGTAGCAGTGACGCACAGAAGAAGTGATGGGAGGACCCAAGGAGACTGGCGAACCGCACTGGTCAGAAAGGTGACACAGCAGATATCAATCTGGTTGGCGCTTGTTTCGAGAGCTTGAAAGACGGGCCAGCGGAAGGGTTACTTTGCTGCACCAGTCTACTACTGTGTTGGAATATTCTTGAGTATATCGAGTTTTTCATCTAATAGATTGATCTCACGATACTCCCTAGACCTCAAGAACTTGGATCCTCGGAAATGTCCAAAAACAGACAGGTTACTTATGCAGAGCTGGCCAAGAATGAACATACCCATGACAGGATCATCGTCATGGGCACCCTGGACGCCACCCCCATGAACAGCACTGGCTGCCTGGCGACGGCCTCCGACTCCCCTACCGCACGGCACCGCAGCAACACGTAGAACCTTGCATCGTCGGATCACCAGACCTCACACCTCACTTACTCGGACCCGCGAAGATAAGCAACATGACGAGGATGCCGGCTTCCGAAGCGTCGCACACTCGAGCCCCAAGGTGATAGAAGAAGGTGGTGTGATAACAATAGCTGATACAGCTCTCCAGCAGAGTTCAACATATGTAACCGAGCGAGTGTGCGATCTGCTGAAGCCTGGAGACTCGTATCTATGGTATGAGGAAATGACGAAGGGCAGTGGAGTATTCCAAAGTGTGCTCTAGATGCCGTCTACGTAAAGCTGTTCCCCGCCCCTCCTGTCCATTATGGGATGCGATACTGCATAGCAGAATCGTCGTAAAATTCGCAATGATTGAAATGATGATGCGTGCTTGTCGACCGAGGGCAGAGAGGTGTGCTCGGGACAGATTGTCCGCCGACTACATCCTTTGCAATCCTGGTGGCGGAAAAGGGGGGCAGGGGAGATACGGCCATGTGATTGATAAACTGCATTGATGGCATAGCCCTTTAAGGACGCCGCAGCTGCGTCGTTGTCTCCTCTCCCTCGGTACATGGGCCAGTACCCAATGACAGCGGTGTGCTTGATCAAACCAACACTAACTCCTCTCGGCACCATTACGAAGAACCTGTCTAGGTAGATACTTGAATTGTAGTAATAAGCTCATGTCTAGCCTGTAAAATATCTGCTATAGACAGTTTCCACTAGCTCGAGGACCCCGTTCATGGATCTGGATGTAACAGGACACAGAGGTCTGGATGCGCAGTGCAAAAATTAAGATCTGCCTGCCGCTTCTTGCTCGGGATTGGGTACGAATGGGAAGGGTACTTGCAGGATCGGGCAAGACCAGGGCCGGCCCGCTCGGGTCAGGCACTGACATCCAATGGTATAGCAGAAGAAGACCCAGGCGGACAAGGAAGATAGAAGTGGGCATGCTAACATGCGTCTTGCAGGCCGAAGTGACGAGATGACCAACTTGACAAGAACGCGGTTGGCTGGAAGAGAAACGGTCCAGTAATTACTATCTATCACCTCGTCAGGGCGTGCCCTCACCGCACCCAGGCGTGGAGGCATACATGGTATGCATCCAATACCTGGTTATACGATGAGGCAGGACTGCACTGGTGCAAAACGCTGCATGACCAAGCCCGGCCGGACATGTAGACTGAAATAAGCCAGGCGTCGACAGGGGGTTATCGACTTGCATACACGATCGTGCAGATCCAATGTGTAGGAGCAAAGGCCGCTCGGCCATTGGCGACATTGAATGACCATCGATACAAGGACCACATGCAACAGGTGTAGGCGTCCAACGCGCCCCGAAGACGGCTAACGGGATACGGGCCAGCCTTTTGACTGGTACGGAGTCTGCCCCAGGAACAGGGTGGGAGTACTGAGCTATCAGGACTGCAGCCTGACATTGGGTCTTGTCAATAACTAGTATCAGGATTTCTTGGTCTTTCAGCAAGGACGTTGCAGTCGACAACCAAAGTGAGAGGAGCTCAGGGATCTAATCCGGGGGGGAAACGACACACACCGAGGCCCGCGACCTACGTAGAGTTCTGGGCTTGTTCCGAATGCAGCACAAGGAGCGAACTCTGGCAGAAGATGATACATGGTGTGGGTGGTAGGCGCGAGCTTCCATGCCGGCTACTATTGGAGTTCCACTACAATACTCTCCCGCTCTGCTCAAGATGCAACCTATGGAAGGGAGAGAGCGCACGGGGTGCGTGTTCTGGGAGCCAGAGTCGTGCAGGCCCCCGTCTTCCACCGTCCAGACAACACTAACTTGGACAGAACAAAGAATGAAGGCTTGGGATGGCACGGCTCACAACGAGTTACCGCAACGAGGAAGCCGATGCATTGGCTTACTCGTAGGGCAGAGAAGGATCGATGAGAACCGGGCGCCGGCTCTATCGTCCACCAGGCCCCAGCTCGGCCCCAGCTCGAGAGTCGAGCACGGTGGTGCGTGCAAATGCGATGCAATGAATGGGCTTGCCCCAAATTCCGATCCCATGCTCGGTTCTGAGGCCGCCGCGCTAACAGCAAACGGGCCTGACGGCCCACCCCCCGACCCCCACCCTGCGAAACGGATTGCTGGACTCGCCCAGCACTAACAGCAACCCTAGCGCGCCGTACTGGTGCCGTGACCTTCCAACCGTTTCCCCGGCTGCTCCGTCGGCCCAACGTTTTCTGGGCAAGGCAGTTGTACGGTAAACCCCTGCGGCCCTCCAGGGCTAGACAGCGTATCAGGCGGCCACCGTAACACTGTGACTACTGTACTGTACCCGCTGCTGTGCATCGTACACAGTACGTCCGGGACTCGGTGACGCCACACCTGGAGCGCCTCCTCCGTGCCCCATGGGCTCGCATCCCTGTTTCCGTTACCATCAGCCTCGTCTCGACCCAAAGCTTGGGCTTGCGGCGGAACGTCGTCCATCGCGACGCTACATCGGCACGAGCCTCCATCGGATTTTGCGTGTCTCGGGCCTCTAGGAACATCTTTGGCCGACTTGCTACTGGACCTGCGGCCCGTCGTCGGTCAGCGCCTTCAATTTCTGCAGTGCAGCATTTCCCTCCCCGCCCCAGCATGGTGGCCGCGGGCTGCGTTTCTGATTCGTCATGGAGCCGAATGTTCAGCGCCTTTTGAACGACAAGCTATACGACAAAAGAAAGGTCGGCGCCCTCGAGTATGTCTATCCCGCTCGGTGGCCCACCCCTCCATCCGTCCGCGTCCGAGTCGGCTCAACTGACCTGCTGTCTCCAGGTTAGAACGGGTGATTCGTGATCTCGTCACCGTCAAGGACTACTCCCGGGTCCAGGCCGTCCTTGACCAGCTGTGCAACGAGTACGCCTACGCTGTTCATCAACCGCACGCCCGCAATGGAGGTCTTATCGGTCTGGCTGCCGCCGCCATCGCTCTCGGTTCAGTGAGTGACGCTTCTCATCTTTCTGCTTCCCAAACCTGCCACGGGGCTGTCGGTGGGCTGATTCTTTCCCTGTTCGTTCCCCCTCTAAAAGGAGCTGCCGAGATATCTGGAGGTCATCGTGCCACCTGTGCTAGCTTGCTTCACGGACCAGGATGCACGCGTCCGATATTACGCGTGCGAGGCCATGTACAACATAGCCAAAGTCGCCAAGGGAGAGATCCTGCGCTACTTTAACTTCATCTTCGATGCCCTGTGCAAGGTAAGTCGGCTCTCTCAACTAGCAAGCACATGAGAGAACCCATCTAAACTCAAGCGCGCTCTCCTAGCTGGGTGCGGATTCCGAGCTGTCGGTCAAGAACGGGGCAGAGTTGCTGGACCGATTGATCAAGGATATCGTGTCCGAGTCTGCTGCCACCTACGTGTCGGTCCTGGAGAGTCCAGCGTATGACGACAAGGAGTTGGACTCGCTCGATGACCACGCGGAACCTCCCACCGCCTTCTCCCTGCCCAAGTTCATCCCACTGCTCAAGGAGCGGGTCTGGGTCCTGAACCCCTTTACGAGGACCTTCCTCGTAGGCTGGATCACCCTGCTAGACTCGATCCCGGATCTGGAGCTGGTCACCTACCTGCCCGAGTTCCTCGGCGGCTTGTTGAAGTTCCTCGGTGGCCACAATCCTGATGTCCACGCTGCCACCCAGACTTGTCTGGACAAGTTCCTCAATGAGATCAAGCGGATTGCCCGGGTGAAGAAGGGCCTTGCCGACAGCAGGAAATCACGTGCCGATGGGAAACGGAAACGGGAGGAATCCGTAGATAGCGGCAGCATGCGTTTAGGCCCAGATGATATGGAAGAGACCGGGTCTACTACTGTCGCCGACGACGATGACGACGACGGCGAGGTCAGCAGTGAGGACGACTGGGTCCCTGGCCAAGATGTGCAGATCAACTACAAGGCCATCTTGGAGATTCTAACCGCCACTCTCGATTCTCCCCTAGGTGAGTTGGGTTCGACGTTGATAGCACCCCCAGTCAGTCGCGTTGACGCCGTAACAGAGGAAGACAGCCTGCAAGAAAGTCTACGTTGGATCATTGCCTTCCTTGACATTTGCCCCGAAGAGGTCCTCCCTTTTACCCCAAAGATACTAGCCCACCTGCTGCCCGCAATGGCGAGCGGCATGGAGCCAATTCGACAGGCGGCTGCCAGGGTCAACACGTCGCTGATGGAGTACGTTGTGTCGCTGTCTGACGAGCCCGAGACCAACCACAACCACCAAGCCTCTCGGGCCCCCACCTCCCTGGCCGTCGAACGACCAGACGGCGCATCTAGTACGCGTGCCTCTCTTTCGAGTTCGAGAGAGCTGGAGATGCGAAGCCCGACGCCGGCACAGGGCCGACACACGCCCGCGCCGTCAGTCAGCCCGCAGGCCGACCTCGACTACGCCGCAGCCGTCAACTCGTTGACCCTGCTCTTCCTCAACGATCACGAGGCTACGCGCGTTGCTGCTCTGACGTGGCTCATCATGCTTCACCGCAAGGCGCCGCGGAAGATAGTTGCCTTCAACGACGGAACCTTCCCAGCCCTTTTAAAGACCTTGTCCGACCCAGCCGAGGCCGTGGTGACCAAGGACTTGCAGCTGTTGTCCCAGATCTCCCGCAATAGCGAAGACGATTACTTTTCAAACTTCATGGTCAACCTCTTGCAGTTGTTCTCGACAGATCGAAAGCTCTTGGAGACGAGGGGCAACTTGATCATTCGCCAGCTCTGCACCACGCTCAGCGCGGAACGCATCTATCGTATATTGGCCGAATGCATAGAGAAGGAAGAGGATCTCGAGTTTGCCAGCATCATGGTACAGAACCTCAACAACAACCTGATCACGGCGCCCGAGCTTGCTGATTTGAGAAAGCGACTGCGGAATCTCGACACAAAGGTAAGAGGGAGCCGCCATAAATGTTCGAGGGCTGGCACTGACCTTCTACCAGGATGGGCAGACCTTCTTTGTCGCCCTCTTCCGTTCGTGGTGCTACAACGCTGTGGCTACCTTCTCGCTATGTCTCCTTGCACAGGCGTACGAGGCTGCCTACAACTTGCTGCAGATCTTGTAAGCGCGCACCTCATGTGACCTTGACCAACAAATGCTGACGACGGACAGTGCCGAACTCGAAATGACAGTCAATATCTTGATCCAAATCGACAAGCTCGTCCAGCTGATTGAGTCGCCCGTGTTTACCTGTAAGTTCGCCGCCCCTTCTCTCTCCACATGGCGCGGATATTTGCAAGGATGAACTGACGCGTGGATGATGGAGACCTCCGCCTTCAACTTTTAGAGCCGGAAAAGTACCCGTATCTTTACAAGTGCCTGTACGGGTTGTTGATGCTTTTACCCCAGTCCTCTGCATTTGCTGCACTCAAGAACAGGCTCAACAGCGTGAGCTCGATTGGCTACCTGCACATAACACCTCGACCGTATGTAAACTCCCCCAACACACAAGGTTCTCATTCGCGGCAAAGCTCCGTTGCCGATACCGTCTCCTCCTACCAGAGCCACACCCCTCGTTCCAAAAGCGTTCATGACACTCATGCTTTGTTGTCTCCTAGCTCTGCCACTACACCTAGTGCTTCTAATTATGACCGGCCAAACCGCCTGAAGGGCCCCGGGCGGGAGGAGGGCCTGATACGCTGGGATCAGCTGCTGGAGAAGTTCAGGAGCGTCCAGGACAAGGCGAGGCGTGCCCAGAGGCTGGGGGGCGGGCTGGACGAAGGACCGGACTTTAGCGAGCTGCGTATGGAGGCTCCGGGCTTGAGGGACCCGTCTCGGTCGAACCAGGGGCCGCCGGTGCCCCAGAAAGATCCTGCGCCTGCGCCGTCGCCGGCACCGAAGAAGGGAGGGCTGGGCAGGCCGTTTGGACGGCTCGGCGGGGCCGTCGCAGGGAGGGGCAAGAGACCACAGGCCTAGATGAACGAGTAATATCGCTCTCGACCTTTGGGGCCTGCCTATTTACCTGCCTTTCTCCTTTGGTCTCCTCTATCCCACAAACAACCACTTCTCCGTGTTCAGAGGCTTGGCGACAACGGCAGCATTTCCTGGGAGTATATGGCATCAACTAGCATCGGGATGATTTCACTGGTTCGGCCAATGGCCTTCTGTAGTTCGGTTAGCGTAATGAAGCCAATACATGCGTACTATATTTGTTTCCACACATGATGACTTATTATCATGACCAGGCCGTGTTCGGGCATGGCATTGACCGCTGCTCTTGTCATTGAGTACGAGGAGGCAGCAACCTGTGTGACATATCTGCTCGGTTTCCCATCATTATGTATCGTTGACTGCCACTTGCCTAACGGGTGCACGTTCGAGGCAGAGTGGCCGCAGCAGACTCGGGTGGGCTATGTGGCCAGTACGCACTCTTCTTGAACCAGCCATTTCCCATCGAGTCAAGCGCAGGAGTGTGCAGGTGTACCTCGGACCCTTGTTCGGCATTTTCCAAGTATGCGTAGTTCACGGATTGATCGGATGTCAAAAAGCTCCAAGCAGAGTCTTCTACTCAACAAAAGAGAAAAAAAAAATTTCAGGTCGATTATCGCCCATCTATACCCGTTCCTAATGACACAATAGTTTTCTTTGGGAGCAAGACCCCCGGTCTCGGCTCGTCTCGGGAGCACCAAACCCGGTAGGCAGGGACAGAAGAAGCGCCTCGCATCGTCCTCATGCTAGATTTTAATGTACACCTATACACCAATGCTCTGCTTTCGCTCTGCTCTGTGCTCTGTGCTCCATGCCGATGACCGTTTCCCCCTCAGCTCCCCCACCGTCTGTGAAACATATCCCGACCGAGCCATCTAGAAGTGGATGGCCTTGGAGTAGGTGGCCATGGCGGCCTCCTTGAAGGCCTCTGCCAGAGTGGGGTGGGCGTGGCAGGTGCGGGCAATGTCCTCGGTCGAGGCACCGTACTCGAGGGCCAGGGTGGCCTCGGCAATCATCTCGCCAGCGTTGGGGCCAATGATGTGGCAGCCCAGCAGGCGGTCGGTCTCGGGGTCGGCCAGCATCTTGACCATGCCGTCCGTGTCGAGGTTGGTCTTGGCACGCGAGTTGGCGCTGAAGGGGAAGGTGCCGATCTTGTAGGGGATCTTCTTGTCCTTGAGCTCCTGCTCGTTCTGGCCGACCCAGGCGACCTCGGGGTGGGTGTACATGACCGAGGGGATGACGCCGTAGTTGACGTGGCCGTAGCCCTTCTTGATATACTCGATGGCGGCGACGGCCTCCTCCTCGGCCTTGTGGGCCAGCATGGGGCCGAAGGTCACGTCGCCGATGCAGCGGATGTGCGAGGCCTTGGTGCGGTACTCGGAGTCGATGACGACGCGGCCGCGGTCGTCGACCTCGAGGCCGGCGTTCTCCAGGCCGAGGCCGGCCGTGTAGGGGCGGCGGCCGATGGCGACGAGGACGACGTCGGCCTCGAGGGTCTCGGGCTTGCCGCCCTTGGCCGAGTCGACCTCGAGCTTGACCAGCTCGCCCGAGCTCTCGCCGCTGACGACCTTTGTGCCGAGCTTGAACTCCATGCCCTGCTTCTTGAGGAGCTTCTGGGCCTGCTTGGCGATCTCGGTGTCCATGCCGGGGCCGCCGATCTGGTTGAGGAACTCGACGACGGTGACCTTGGCGCCCAGGCGCGACCAGACGGAGCCCATCTCGAGGCCGATGATGCCGCCGCCGATGACGATCATCTTTTCGGGGACCTTGTCGAGGGACAGGGCGCCGGTGCTGGTGATGACGCGCTTCTCGTCGATCTCGAGGCCGGGGAAGGGGGTGGCCTCGCTGCCGGTGGCGATGAGGATGTTCTTGCCGCGGACGCTGGTCTCGCCGCCGTCGGTGAGGGCGACCTTGACCTCGTGCTCGTTGGCGAAGGAGCCGGTGCCCTTGATGTACTCGACGCCGTTCTTCTTGAAGAGGAACTCGATGCCCTTGGTCAGGCCGGTGACGGAGGTGTCCTTGGCCTTCATCATGTCCTTGAGGTTGAGCTTGACGTCGCCGACCTCAATGCCGCGGTTCTTGGTGTCGTGGAGGATCTGGTGGTAGAGATGCGAGTTGTTCAGGAGGGACTTGGAGGGGATGCAGCCGACGTTGAGACAGGTGCCGCCGAGGGCGCCGCGCTTCTCGATACAGGCGACCTAGAATTGTAACCGTAATGGTTAGCGACGGCGAACAGTCCGGATCAAAGCATGTGTATGTGTGTGTGTGGATATATATATATACATATATATCTCTCTCTAGCGCGCGCGGGGAGAGTGTTACCTTGAGGCCCTCCTGTCCGGCCTTGATGGCGGCGACGTATCCTGCCACACCACCTCCGATGATGACGAGGTCCTTCTCCTCTGCGGATGGGTTAGTGTCTCTCGTCCCGGGGCAGTTGAGGGCAGAAGGTGCGGCTGCATACCGGCTTGCGAGGCGTAACCCCTTCTCCATCGCGATAACGGGCTGGTGGTGACTGTGGGAAGACTGGAGGCGAGGGGGGGTCAGCAGACGATCTGGCGATGGTGAAGCCCCCGGCGGGCCCCTCGACGGGGAGCAGCGGGCACAGCCCGTAGAGGCTGCACGCGTCTGCTCGGCCGGGAAAGGGTGGCGGCACAACGCAGCAACGCACGGGAGAAGCAGGACTCACGATGATTGTGTGCGGAAGCCGGAGCGGACGGCGGTCCGCGGTATTAAACGGCTGGCCATCATGGTGGGCTTGTCTGGGAGAGATGGGGAAGAGGGAGAAGGATGAGGATGGAGAGGGAGGGCAGTCTGTCAATGCGAACAGCGAGTCGAGATGAGAGACGGGAGACGGGAGACGGGAGACGGGAGACAGAAGACAGACGAGACGGCGGGTGGATGCCGCGGATCAAGAGAACGGGGCGCGAATTAAAAAATAGAGAGCGACGACACGATGGGGCCTTCAATTGTTCTGCGGAGCTTCCATTGGGTCGCCCACGCCCAGCTGGGCCTTCCGGATTGGCGGTTCTGGCTTTGGCTTTGGCTTTGGTTTTGGTTTTGGGCCCTGGCCCTGGCCCTGGCCCTTCTGAAATTTTGGGAGGTCCGAGCTGCAGGTGGGAAGCCCACCCCAAAAGCCCCCCAAAAGCCCCCCAAAAGCCCCCCTAGGCTGGCGGTAGCAGCAGCAGCCTTAGGTAGCCTTTTGCCAACTTGGGTGATGGCCGGTACTGCTCACTCCCTAGGTAGGTACCGACTGCGACCGGGCCCCAGAAGAAAAAAAGAACGGGACAACAACCTGGTGAAAGCCTCGACTTCCATTGGGGCAGCGGGAATCATCTTCTCGCCCTCCGTTCCCTGCTGCGACTGCTGTCCTGTCCTGTCCTGTCCTGTCCTGTGTAGGTATCATCATCCAATGCTCCGTACCCCGTACCCCGTACCCCGTATCTAACCTAGGTGACTATCTAGTTCTCAGCACGTAGAAGCACGATTGGGTCAACAACGACAACAACACAGACCAACAACACAAAGACCATTCCCGCCCCCGGCAGAGCTCGGAAAGAGCCGGCTCAACGCGGACTGCTGCCGCCGGCCCCGGCCAATGTCCGACGACATACCGTGTCGGCTATGCACCGTCTATCCTCATCCTCATGTAGTTGATGACCATCGTTCTGTCGGCTCTACAAGCTGGACAGATGGCATTGCATCGTTCGCTCATTCATTCTTGCACGGCAGTCTCGAGTGCCGTGGTGAGTGGCCGATCACTCAACTCAAGGGCTTCTCGCTGTCACACAAGTCGGCTCCCAGTCCAGCATCACCACTGATAGCGGCTTCCTGCACGTGTACCCCGTAGCTGGATTGCATTCGACACTTGATCCAAGGTCCAATTTCTCCAGTGCTTATGCTCGCCCGCCACACGGACTCGTCTCTGGCCCATGGGGCAGACTAGATGTTACCACTGCCACGTCTGTGAGACATGAACCCCTACATATCTTCTCTCACGAGTCTACCCACCTGGACAGTTATATCAACTTCACACGCCACACCTCTCCTCCCCTCCCCTTTTTCCTTGTCTATTCCGCCCCCGTAGTCAACGACGCCTCCAGTATCGCACTGGCAGCCTCACACCTCTTCTTGACCCTCTTCTTCTCCTCCCCCGGCACCAGGTCCGTCTTCCTGATGTGCTTCCTGATAAAGTACTGCACGCCCCTGCCCAAGTCCGGGTCCAGCGCCGTCAGCGTCTTGGCCAGCTCCTCCTTGCCCGACTCCAGCAGCACCGTGATCAGCAGCACCTCGACGAACCACTGTGCCTTTTCCTGCAGCGCCGCCAGGTTCCGGTACTTCAGGATGTCGAGCCCCAGGCTCCTGTTGGCCACCAGGTGGCCGTAGAACTTGGCCACGTTGACCACCCGCCGCATGTCGTAGTCCTCCTCCTCCTCCCCCTCGCCCGCATCGTAGTCGTCGTCCCCCGTGTCAATGTCCTCGCCCATCTTGCGGAACCGCTGCGTCAGGCACCGCCGGAACTGGAACGCCAGCTCCCGGTCGCCGCAGAACCGGCTCGCCACCAGCCAGTAGTACCGGTTGAACTCGGCCTGGCCCTCCCCGCTGCGCACAATCACCTCGGCCACTTCTTTCCGCTGGTGCTTGTTGAGCCGCAGCTTGCGCAGGAGGAACTCGGCGTTCTCGTAGTCCGTGGCCGAGTGCAGCGCCACAAAGATCTGCTGCCGCACCTCCGTGTTGAACCCTTGCTGCCGGCCCAGCTGCCAGAGGTCGGGGATGCCGAGGTCGTCGTCGTCCACAAAGTCGGCCGCGTCGTCTACCACGTCGTCGTCGTCGTCGTCCTCCTCCTCCTCCTTGTCGTCATCCGCCCCCGTGCCTTGGCCCGACGGCTTGTCCTCCTCGCGCTTGCCCGACCAGCTTGCGCCTACCACCCACCATTTCCCGTTCTTGTCTGCGTTCTCGATCTCCTTGAGCCCGATGCTCAGCGGCTGCATGTCGCGGCCGCTGTTGAGCGTGCCGATCCGCTTTCGGATCTGGGTACGCATCTCGGCCTGGTCCTTGTTGCGAGCCGCAGCCTTGGACTTGTTGTTCTGCAGCTTCTTCATCTCCTCGATCATGAAGCTCGTCCGGACCGAGGCCTTCTTCAGGTCGGTGGGCTTGACCTGGTTGATGATCTCCTTCAAGGCGTGCGGGTCTTCACGTCTCAGCGACGGGCCGCACGTCTGAATGATCCTCAGCAGGAGTTCCGTGTTCAGTTCCGACAGCTTGCCCAGGAAGAGTCGGACGTAGTCAAAGACCAGCCTGGAGCCCACCACCTGCATGTTGTAGAGCTCGGACAAGAGTGCCATGAGGTGCTTAGATCCCGCGTCCGAATGGTCGCCCGACGCCTGGTCGTAATGCTCCCTGAACACCTGCACAAGCTTCTGCACCATGGTGGCCGACACGTGTATGCCGAGTTCCTTCTGCGCCCCCGCCGTGAATCCCGCAATCATGGTGAAGAAGCCCTCGGGGCGTTTTTCGGGGGAGCAGACCAGGGCAATGACCAGGTCGACCAGGGTCGAGGACACGCTCTGGCGCGGAAACTTGTCGTACAGCCCCGTAAAGTCCTTGAGGATGCCGAGCATGTTCTCGTTTGTGAGCCTGTTGATGAGACCCTGCACGCGCCGGCGTAGCTGGGCGTCTGATTCGGTTGTTGATTCCGCCTTCTTCCGAAGGGACGGCGGAACATACTTGGCGACGTTGGTCGTGGGCGCAACGTAGGGGTTCTCTCTGACACGAGGGGCAGCCTCTTCTGCTGCTTCATCGTCGTCATCTCCCGAGAACCCATCAAAGGCGCCACCATCTTGGTCCTCGTCGTCCTCCATGTCGGATCCAAAGTCTGAATTGCCCAGGTCGGACAGGCCATCGGCGGCCTCGTCGTCTTCGTCCTCGCTCATGCAGTTGTCGTCGTCGTCTCTTGCTTTGGACGCGGCGGCGGCGGCGTTGGCCTTCCTCCTCTTCTGGGCAAGCCACTCATCAGCCTCGGCCTTGCGCTTGCGCTGTGAAGCAGATCCCTCATCCCCGCCCGCCTCGCCGCCATCCAGCCCATCCAATCCGTCGAGCAGATCACCGAAATCGTCGTCCTTGGGCTTCTTACCCTTCTTTAGCCCTAGCTTCTTCTCGAGGGCGGCGATCTCGGCATCCTCCTTTTCGAGCCTCCGTAGCTCGGACTTTGACGGTTGGGGGGTGTCGACGTCAGATTTATCCTCGTCAAAAGCCCCATCTTCGTCCTCGTCCTCATCCTCGTCCTCGTCCTCGTCAAAGATGTCCTCCTCCGAGACGTCGTCTCCGTCCATACCAACGTCCAGGTCTTCGTCCATGTCAATGTCATCCTCGTCGTCCTGGTCACGGGACCGGGCAGGCTCCGGCTTTGGCTTTGACCTTGGCTGCTGTTTCGTCGAAGGCGCCGTCTTGGACTTTTTCAGTTCCGACTGCAGAAGTAGCGAGGCCGGGTGGCGATGAGAGGTAGCCCTCTGCGACTGCTTCTTCTGGACTCGCTGGGCCTTCCTCCGATCTTTCCGGGAGACGTGCTTGGACTGAAAGCGTCTTCCGCCTCCCGAGCTCCCAGGTGCGTCCACGCCCATCTCCTTCAAGAAGGCCGACGGCAGAGCCAGCTTCTTGCCGTTGCGCGGCGCCATGGCGCTGTTGCGTTATACCAAGAAACGCAGAAGAGTGTCACTGGACCCTTCGGGGCTCATGTATGCTGCAGAACCAGTCCTGGATATGGTGCCAAGATTCACCATGCAAAAACCGATGGCGAAACAATCCGGGGGGGCGGCCTGCAGTCGCTTGGATTCCACTACTACAGGATAGTGAGACTGATGGAGAGCCGGGGAGCCGTCGCTCGTTCCAATGAAGCTCCTGTCTTGCTTGGGTATGGAAGGAAACCCGGACTTTCGGTTGTCGAAAGGTATGCCAGAAAATTTATTGGACCCTCTCTCCAACTTACCAGGAGCTTGCTTTCTTGGGGTGTACCTAGGTAGTTAGTAACCAGTTTTTTAGTTTTTATTTTATTTTATTTTATTTTATTATATTTTTTCCAGTAGGCCCAGCGCCCCAGCGCCCACCCCACAGCGGGAGCCCACTTATTTTCCTGGCGCCCATGGCCCACCTGCAGGCAACCTGGAATATTCTGACCTTCTGCGGGGCATTTTCGTGCCCGGACGAGACAGGCAGGACGGACAGGCCGACCGACGAGCGACGAGCGACGAGCGACGACCGACGACAGCCTCGACAGCGATCCCCCCTCCCCACCCCACCCCACACTCGAAAACTGACGACCAACGAACCGACGCAGACATTCTGATTACATTGCACCATCACGACCCAAACCCGCAAGGGATGGTATACTGTCGCAATGGGGCACCTCAGCAATGACGAGGTAAGCCTCGGCAGCCGACCGCTCCTGACTGTCTGTCCCCATCACTGACAACCCCCGGTGTCCACCAGTTCTTCGTCAAGCTCCAGGAGCTCTTCGACGGCCGCAAGGGCAAAGACCACGGCGCCATCTACCTGACCCAGAAGCGATGTACGGCCCCTAACCCCCCTCCCCCCTTTCTGCTGCTGCCTCTCTCTCTGCCCTGTAGCCATATTCTAGGCATGTAGACACAGAGACATATGGCCATATGCCCCGCTGCTCTCTAGAACTTCGGGCCTCGTCCCTGACCCCCTCGCGCAGTGTCCTACAAGCAGCCCATTCCCGAGGCCACCACCGACGCCGTCATCCCCGAGCTGCACCCCCCGCAGCCCCTGCCCATCCTCATCAGGGCCACCAACGGCAAGTCCAAGGAGAAGCGCAAGGAGAAGCTCAAGGTCAAGCTGTCCACCGTCGTCGAGCCTGATGCCCTACCCGCCTTCTTCGCCCGCTACGCCGACGTCTGCAAGGCCAGCATGACCACCCTGAAGCCCAGGGACAGGAGCAAGCGCAAGGGCAAGGCCAAGAAGAAGAAGACCACGGCCGCACCTGCTGCCTGATCGTGTTCGGCCAAGTTTCACCATCCAGTGGACCCCGGGAATTTCACTCTGCCTGCTGCTAGGTCTGGGGTATTCGGAGGATAAGGTGCTGCATGGGCCAGGCAGCGGCAGCGTGGGAGGCAATATGGCGGGTACGTCTCTTTACGCTTTGTAAAGAGCCAAGCGAGACTGGAGTACGTCTCGCCCGTCGAGATGCATGCCTCGTTGAACGCCTCGTCTGGGCCTCGAGTCGAGGTCGGCCTATACGAGCTAGATCTAACTCACGCAAAGGCCAGCCGAGACCTAGCCGAGACCTAGGAAGCAGTAGCAGGGTCAGGGAGCCTCTTGCAACTCCGTCGACCCTAAACATCATAGCTCCCAAGGAATTCAAAAGTTGGAATTCAAAAGTTCAATTTGCTCCCTAGCACCTGTAAATGTATTGCGCCACTTGCCACTCAGCAGCCCCCAATCCCTTACCTTCTCTTAGTTTTCACCCCCATGTTCGACGTTGAGATCTGATCCTCCTCTTGTATCCCTCCTCGGCTACTGGTTATCCTCATCAAACTCCTCCAGCATCTCTCGGACCTCGCGGCAGGCATCGCACTCGCTCTTGGTCGGCTTCTTGGGGTTGCCCACCCACATGCAGAGGCTGAGCGGGCACTCGACACCCGGGTCCTGGCTCTCGCAGCTGGCCAGCTTCTTGTATGCCGTCCAGACCCGCTTGCAGTTGGTGCACTTCAACGGGTGGAGCTCACACATTTGAATGAGAGAAAGGCTTCTTCGCGGGATGGTCGTGGGTTGAAGCGTCCTGTAGGTCAAGTTCAATCCAGTGACTGGAATGGCCGGACGTATACTTTTTCTCCCCGTGCACCGAAACCCTTGAATCGGGGGCTGTGGCCTGTCCTAGTCGTACCGTTTCACTCGCCGCTGTGATCAAGTTGCACGAGAAGTCTATAGATATACCTTTCCTTTCCCGGATTGCGTTCGTACCCTCTGGTCCTGCGTCGTCGTGACTTTGACCGGTCTGTCTCCGGGAAGGATGATCAGGGCGAGCAAGCCGGAGGCCATCGCTCCTGGCCTGATGAGAAAGCGTAGACCGGGACAGAAAACATGCATCTTTTGGGTGGTGCAGACACACCGTGACTCAGTCTGATTTGGGAAATGGCCTGATTGTGTCTTGTAGCTCACGTGTTGTTGGCAGGCAGTACGGCGTGCCCGGAGATGCATCATCTCAAGGTTGATTGTGTGGAAATAATGTGCTGGAGGCAAGCAAGGCAACCCGTGGCATTACAACACTCAGAGAAGCTGAGGGGCCCTCTTGGGCGGCTTTCAGCCAGTCATACACTATCAATCACAGCCGCGGTCAGCCTGCTACAAGAAACAAACCGCCCTGTCGCTTGCCGGCTACTAGAAGCTCCGGGTTCCTTGGCCATCTGCCAACTGCAGTTTCCCAAACGCGAGGGTGCCGGAAGGATCTGTCATTCGCGTCTTCCGAACATCTTATCCTCACGTCTCATACATAGACCAGCACCCTGCTCCACATGTACGCTTCCACTGACCGGAGTTTGGTGGTATACAGTCCATAGTATGAGGTTTCCGGTCGAGTATAGTCGACGAGCGCCTTTGATTATCGAACTCCAACATACCCCAGGTTATCTGTAATGCTGTGGCAGGTTCTTTATGATTCCGAGGGCTTCTGGTATATGTCCAGTATTGGCGTGTCTGATCCCGTTAGACCCTGATCGTTTAACCCCGGATAAGCAGCACGGCGGGAGAGATGTTAGAGGCAGACACTGCGCTCCTTGCCGCTGCTGCGGTGATGCATGGCTAGAATTTTGTTCCGGCCACATGTGCGCCGCTGTAAGTCAGATGGTAGGGTCTAGGCTGTACAGTCTGTCTATAACTTAACCACTAAGCCCTATCATGAAAAGTGCGAGGATGGCGAGGGGCTTGCATATTCGGGCTGGGTGGATCAGATTGGCGAGCATCATGTCGTTGCTTGCGACTCCAAGGCATCCCGATAGCCACCAATGGGCCAGCGGAGAAATTGCCATTCGTACCAAGACCAATCGGCGTGTGCATCTTCAGCCGACAGTCGGTCTGGTGCGACCCTAGATTTCCACAGTCCCCGTCCGGACGGTGGCAGGGGGGGGTCTGAAGAGACTTCGTTACTATCTGGTACAGGACCTTGCTGCTGAGTCTCCGTGTAACCTGAACAGTATTTGCAGATTTCGGTGGAACACCAAACAAATGGGTAGCCATCAGACGACACGCATACGCCGGTAGATCCCACACCACTTCGGCCGCAACGCCATCCCGGTGCTGGAGACGTGCATGCTTGCAATGATCGTCTCTCATGTATCCCCAGCACAACGTGGTCCCGCGCTGGGTCCTGCAGTTTTCCGAGTAACAAACATTTCAATCCTACGCAATGTCACCTTTGCCCGCCCTAACGCCTCTCAACGTGCGCCTGTCGACGAGCGAGCCACCAAGCCAGAGAAAATCAGATGCTATTTCACGATCAATCTAGGTAGAAAGCCTTCCGAAATTCCCTCGTTTTTTTCTTCCACGGTGAACCCTCACAGATGTGAGCCCTCCCATCAAACTGAAATCAGAAGGATCAACTTTTTTGATCGTCACACGCTGAAGCGTCGAGTAGACCGAAGCGACCGCAGAAGCCCTGCGCTCATCCCAGGCTACTTGTATATACCTCTTGTGTGACGGGGAACTTTTCGCCAAGACCGTTGGCGCTTTACTCCCGTGTCCCCTTCCGGTGTCCGGAATGCAACGAGTGACGTCAAGGAAATTTGTAGTACATGAAGAATTATGAGCCAAGCGAACACTGTCGCCCGCTGGTCTCAAGAGTGTCCTAGGAGATGGCGGTAGTATCAGGTGGTTCCATGGGTCCTGCGCTAAATGTTTCCCATACCATCCCGGTGCGTTTGGCCATTGTCGGCAGCTCAAAAGGAAGCCGCCGTGATCTTACATTATCTGATCCTGCGTCAAACCCCCGTGAGAGTCCGTGTCCATGGCGTCACCCCCGCCGCCGGCGGCGCCGGGTGTAAGATACTTGACGAAGCTGAGTCCAAGCGGTCGGCCTCCGTACTGATAGCCTTGGAACTTGGAGATGGCAGTCTCGGCCGTTGCGGTGCTGTCGAACCGCACGACGCCAGTACCGCGGGAGCGGCCGCTGGGTTCATACTGGATCTCGGCCTGCTCGACCTTGCCAATGGTGGTGAACAGCTCGATTAGGTCTTCGTTGCTAGTGGACCAAGGCAGCTGGTAATTCTCGTTAGCAACGGGCTGGCCCGAGCATGCAGAAGTATGAATGAGACTCACATTGCGGACGTAGATGATCTCGTTCGGGTCGGTGCCAGCAGTGGCATAGTCGGTGAACGGGTTTGGCGCAGCCGGAGCACCACCAGCATCGTATCCACCGGGCCCGCCGGCTCCGCCAGGGGGTCCGCCGCCACCGTATCCACCTCGGCCGTAGCCACCGAAGCCTCCGCGACCTCCACCGAAGCCACCTCGACCACCGTAGCCGCCGAAGCCACCGCGGCCACCGAAGCCGCCGCGGCCGCCGTAGCCTCCGCCGAAGCCGCCGCCCATGCCGGGACCGCCTCCAGCGAATCGATCTTCGCGCACCTCAAGCTGGCGACCTTGCCAATCGTAGCCGTTGAATTGCTGAATGGCATTGCGCGCGTCGTCAGGGTGCTCGAACATGACAATACCGGAACCCTTGGGTCGACCATCTTGTCCAAGATGTACATCGGCGCGAATCACGGCGCCGTTGCGAGCTGGAGAGAGGGGATAACGTTAGTGTCACAGGGACAGGGACTGCCTATACAGCAACGCACACCGTTGCGGATAGATCATACCTGCTTGTCTGAAAAGATCCTTAAGGTCCTGCCAGCCGACGGTGTACGGAAGCTGCGAAAGGGTTAATATCGAGGCGCAGGCTAGGTTAGCAGTGGAGAGGGAAATGGGGTTCACAAACGTTGGAGATGTAGATCTGGCGACCGGCACCGCCGCCGCCGCCGCCGCCGCCGCCCATCATTCCTGCGCCATAGCCACCACCTCCGTAGCCTCCCTGCATGCCGCCGCCGAAGCCGCCGCCGCCGCGGTTGGCAGCTGAGGGGGCTCCGCTGAATCGGGGCTCGGCCTCACGATCCTGTCCTCGCCAGTCAGCATAGATAATGATACGTAGGAGGCCCATCGCCGGGGGGGAGGCTTACCTCGCGGACGTAGACGAGTCTGCCCATGAGGTTCTGGTTGCTGAGTGTCGCGACCGCATTTTGGGCTTGATCCCTCGTAGCATATTCCACAATACTATTTACGACAGTCAGCATCATACTAGTTCGCTGGTTTGCTTGGCACCAGTTTGGGTGAATTGGCGACTTACCCGCATCCCTACATAGACCCGTGGACAGATGTCCCACCCGTCAATCCATCAATTCCAACAAGACCAAGAAGGGAGGAGGAACCAGAAAGAAAGAAACCACGCCATGAATCACGTATAGACGCCCACCTTCGACATTCCATTGGGAAGCAGTAAAACATCGGCAAAGAGCACCTCTCCAGCTAAACAATCCACACCCGTCAGCCATCACTCCTATACAGTACAGCCCACTTCGAGCATGACCCACCCTGTCGCATGAAATCCTTGAGGTGATGCCACTTGACGTCGTAGGACAGGTTGCCGACGTAGACGCGGCGGTCCTGTTGGGACGTCTCTCGGATGTTGCTCATCATCTGTTCGCGTGCAGCTTGTCGCTCCTCGTAGCTGCGCTGAGGCGGACCCCCGAAACCCTGACCAGATCCTCCCGATGGAGCCCCGGCGCCAGTCATAGGAGAGCGCGACGAACGTCGATTCGTCCTGCGGTAATCGTCCCTGTCCCGGCTGGGGGAACGGCTGCGAGAATAGGATCGGCGACGACCCGAGCGTCCAGGGCTTCTAGATCTTCCTCGACGTGGGGAGCGAGACCTCTCGCGCTGTGACGTGTCAGCCGCTTGGTCGTTCATGAGCGCTAGTGGCACCCCGCAGAGTAGGGTCGGCTCGGAGAGTGGAAGGGGTGAGAGGTGTATGTGTGCGAGTGAAAGGTATGTGCTGGAGGGCGGCCGGCAGAGCTGGGTCGGCCCTGTGTTGGGTTGCTGCTTGACGTGCGGGGGATTACTGGCGCGTCCAGGTCAAGACCGTGGGTGGTTGCCTCTAGAGGCTTCCCGCGGCGTGTCTGGGAGATTGCGCCTCTCGAGCTGTAGAACTGTACCAGCCGCCTCGCCACTTCCCGTGGCAGGAACTTTTGGGCACGTACGTGGCAGAAACTGGCAGTTCAGAGGCTAGCGAGGTGCAGTGAACCAGGGCACGGAGACGTTTAAGTTGCCCGTCAGCCAGACTAACTCTTGGGGATCACGTCGACTGGCCCCAGCTTATAGAGTTTCGCCTACGCCACCAACTGAGATGAGGTTGGGATGCTGTCGCAATGGGCCCCCGTAGCGTTTGTTTCAAGGCGGAAGAAAAAAAAAGGTGACAGGTTGGCATGATGGATCACACCGTGCTAAGGAATTGGACATGTGGAGAGACCATAAGAGCATACTCACCGGGCGATAGGTATCTCCTGAATCGGCTGACGGATCTGTTAAGCACTTGAGTTAAGAAAGACAACAAAGACACAGAGGGGCGGGTGCGCGGAGAAGGCCGGAGGGGTTCGAGGGTGAATATGAAGGAAAGAGGAGGAGCTGGAGGAGGACGAGGACGAGGAGGAGGCTAAAGCGTGGCAATCCGGCGGGCCGCTGTGCATAAGGGATTTGGTAGATCAGGAAAGGAAAGTGCCTAGGGAGGACGTGTGGGGGAGGGTGCTGCTTAAAGCTCCCGAGTACATATGTGACATACGCCCGGCTCTGTGAGGACGAATACCTACTCCGGCAAGACGAACGAGGGGAGGGGGGTGGACACAGAGAGAGGGGGGAGGGAGAGGAGGAAGACCGACTGCGATGAGGAGATGTGTGGGCGTGTCGAATTGCTGAGAAGAAAGACAAGAGACCAACGACAGAGAGGTAGGCTACAGACAAGCCGAGCGAGCTGATATGCAAGAGACGCGAGAGAAGGGGGAGAGAGAGAGAGAGAGCGCGCGGTTGATGTTGTGGGCTGTTACAATTATGTCTAGTGTGTAGGTGGTGGTAGGCAAAGGCCGCAACACGTCACGGAAGCAGTTGCTTTATGCTCCTGGGTACATGTACGCAGCTTGGGGGAAGAGATTGGTCGACGCAGCCCGTCGTAGGGCAAGCGTGATGCAGTGACCAGGCGAGTGGGATGGAGGGATGGGATGGTGGATGGATGGGTGAATGGGCGGGGGGAACGTCGTTGGGATGGGATGGGATGGGATGGGATGGGAGTCTGACTATCTATGAGACAGAGGGAGAAGGGGGTGTGTCGTTCATGAGGTTGAGGACCGAGTGAATGGTGGATCAAGACTTACCCATGGCTGTATACTTCTTCAGGTGAATCTCTGGAGAGAACCTGACCGGGCCTCGTGTGAAATTTTCTCACTGCTTCCTCCCTTCTCTTCCCTCTGGCACAAGGTCAGAAATGGAGTGTGCCGTTCTTTTTTTTTTTTTTTTTTTCCTTCTTGCCTGGAGGTAATGATGGAGGGGTCAGCTTGGGTCGCATCCAAGGGAGTACGTGGAATCTGGGGGACGGTCAGGTGGGAATCGAGGTACAGCAAGCACCAGGAGTGAAGGAAGGGTACAACTGCACAAGCCCAATGCTGCGCAATTAATAAGAATCAAGGCCGGCCGGGCTGGCTGGTACTGGTATGATGCAGGAAACAACGCCAGTGGCATCGACCGCAACGCGACAGACACACCTAGACGGCGGGCGCACAGCCGAGAAGACGCTACGCGCCGGATCAGGCTCGACGCACTTCTCTCTGCGTCGACCTGCCTGCCTCGCCGGTCTGCAATGCGACGACGCTGGGCTGGTCCTGGGGCCACGGCGGGCGAGCTGCTGGCTGAAGGAGGGAGGGATTGAGGGAGGGAACACTGCGGCGCAAGTCGCACATGGGGCGGGCGCGCAGCATGCAGCAGGCGCAACGTACGTACCTCGTCGTCGATGTGGAGAGATGGGGATCTCTTGGAGGTCGGCTGGCCGTGTTCGCGAACTGCACCTGCGCTGGACGTGTGTCTCTGTCGGTTTGGCTGCTGGTCTGACCTGTTGGAGCGAGCGCAGGAAGGCTTTCTCTGACGCGGACGGGGAAAACGACGAGCTCCTCCAGGTCTGTGTCCTCGGCGGACCCTGGGCTGCCTGGCGCGTTTGCGTTGGTGCTGGGCAATGGCAATGGAGTGTCCGTCCGGGTCCCGCAAAATCCCTACCTTAGTGCCAGGTGAAAAGAGAGGACGCCCCCGGCCTGAAGAGGCAAAGGCCGGGATGAGAACCCGACCAACGCGATGCTGTGCAGTGCATGCAGGGATCACCAGCCGCCCCAATCTGCCATCTGGGTCGAATGCGTCCGTCGGCCGATGCATCACCCACTTTCGAGCTTGGTCCACGGCTGCGGCCTCAAGCTCCCAGGCAACCAGGCGTTTCGATCCACGACAGGCCAGCGCTCGAGGATATTCCCAGGGCATCCTTGGCGTACGGAGTGGGTAGGGGGAAGCACGATGCTTTCATTAGGTGCGGTACGCCGTACTGTACGGTGTTTGTACTGGAGCACGGATGCAGTACGGCCAAACGCCATTTGATCTGTACGAGGTATCTCCTGTACTATCCAACGTACGCCTCCCTTCCTAGTGCAATGCAGCCTCGGGGTTGTATCCTTGGCCTTGATGGAACCCTTGGGCGGTTGAGGAGGCGCCTGCACGCGTTTTGGACAGGCTTGGTCGTCGATCTGCCGACTGTGAGAGAATCTTTTCGGCTGTGCGAAATCTTAAAATCTGCATCCAATACGATGGGGCCAGCACTATCGCCGGGTTGACCGTATCACCGTACGGCATACGGCTGTGTCTTAGCCCCTGGGCTTCACCTTTTGGCATAAGGCTCGCACCGTAGCGCGCCCCTAGGTGCAGAAAAGTGCGTTCCGAGGGCGCGTTCAAGCGCCCTGGTTGGTACAACACCTCGGTGTGGTGATTTGACTATATATGCACCTGGGTGGATCACCGCTCCTGACCCTGGAGCGTACGACGGGTTCTCTGGAGAGATGCGGTTGACCTTCTGTCACCAGTGAGCTCTAGCTATGTAGCTTGGATGCCTTTCCCTTCGTCCTTGATCCCTAGGATTGATAGTGCGCCTTCCGGTGCTGCCCACAAATCTGGCTATGCATGGTTGGTTTGGAGGGCTTGCCTTGTTGGTCTGTACGCGCGCGCTCTCCACCCTATCCCCTGTGGATCCTGTGGCTTCCAGGGTGCAGCTACTGTGGTACAGTATAAGCCAACATGCACTACACTCTGAGCGCCGTGACTGTGAATAGAGTTTGCAGCGTGAGAAGGGCGATCTTCACTTTCATATTCCTTCAACCCATCTGGTATGATTCCGGAAACGTCCTAGATCTTGTTCTGCTATTGTACACGTAGATCGCAAGGCAGAAGGTGTATGCGCCGAATGGTCAGTAAGAGCAAAGATCCGTTATCCTCATGGCTTTCCCACAGTTTGAGACATCGTTATTGTGGTGTGTCTCTGACTGTTGACGGAGCAGGTCCTTTGGCACTTGAACAGGTGGCGTTTATGAATCATTGCTGCAATTGCCAACTCCGTCATCAACGTCGAGCGCAGGCACGAGTGGGCTGGCTACCCTGGACTCGGATCGGTTCCGTCAATGGAGAGACCTCCCACCAGCACCGGCATTTGATCCATACCTCAAGTCACAAGTTTGGCGCATTCTATTCATGGCGGCTACGGACGTTGGCTGCCTTGCTTGACTTGCTTGGCGTCAGGGACAAGGCAACAAAGCTTCTGTGGCTATCCTTGCTGCTTTGGGGTATCTTTCAAGGACTATTGGGTGTTGGTCCTGGAGTCTCTACGGTGACCGGCTCTGAATATGCGAATTCGGTCTGCCTATCCTTGGGTGTCCCCTCGTAGAAGGGGAGTATGCCCCTTGCGTCAATGGGGAAGAGCCAGGGGCTGTGGGTTCGCATGCTATTTGGGTAACCAGTCTGTCACGCTCCAAAAGCAAGCAGAGTCAAGAAGTCAAAGTCTACAGTGCAAAGGTAGAGAAAACTGTCCTTGATATAAGTATCCTCAAATTGAGCAGCCCAAAATGATCTGAGGCTTGCCTGGTGGGGTCGGGGGGGGGGGGCTGATAGCAATACACGCCTGGTCTAATGACCGAGAATCTATACCATATAATGAACAACGGCCCCTGTGCCGCAGACCGCGCGCCATCTTCAACGTTGTACCGAGGAACTGGATCATGGTGGCCGCATCTGAGGCGGCCTAGCTCCTTTGTTGTAGATTCTGTCTTACTGCGTCGAGGTATCCAAACCACCTTGCCAGCCCCTGTCAGATTTCCCCTTAGTGAATGCTAACGGCCCCATGCATTGTGTAGATCGCTCAACTTGCCATTCAGCACTTTAGGACTCCAGCGACTTGGTCAAGTTCTATCAGCATGCCTTATCCTTCGTGTGAAGTTCCAGTGGTCGCCGGTGAAGCCTATCAGATTTTACGACATGTCATTTTGAGCAGTAAACCACCCTGAGTCTAGGAAATGCCGTGATAATTGAATGCATAATGGACCGAAGCCTAAACAGGGGTTGAGTTCTGAGCCCGACTTTGTCACATTCAAAGCCAGGGAGACGCGCCAACGGTACATATCTATAGGGAGGAGATGACATTTGGCGAATCACTGATACGTCTAGTAGTTCAGTCATGTCGAGAAGATCAGTAAACTATCCCCACAGATATGAATACACGTAGCGGTATGACACAGGCAGCGTATATCTATGTACTATACCTACATGTAGGTACCATGAGTTTGATCTGGGGCCATATTGTAAGGGATGTATCAGTGCCAGTACCATTAGCTGTCAAGAGTAACTAGGTAACACGAGAGCAAACCTTCGGTATCTTAGGAGGGGTGTCTTGAAGGAAACGCGGCTCGGCGGTCATTGCCCTGCTCAATTATGAAGGAACGCCCCTGTCTAATAGATTCGCACTGATGGATACCGGATCTGCAGTCTTGATTCTTGATTCGGCAGACGTCGCCAGGAGAGCGCTTGGGTTCGCTGACTTGCAGCAAATTCCCATCCTGCCCATGAATTCCTCTATCAGCTTGTGGTTACACAGCAGCAAGGTACTGTATGTAGGTCACCCAACTAGGCTTTATGAGTCGAGCGTTGGACAGCCGCACGGTGTCTGCTAAAGATCAGCTTCGCATGGCGAGCACGGCGGAGGGTATCTGAGATTCAATGGACACATTTGCTTAGTAGCTGACCAGATAGGTTCAGCCTGTCCAGGAGCTCTACCTGTAAGGCCAGTTTCCCGCCGATTTCAGGTTTGGCCACAGATGTAACCGGTGTGGGCCGAGAGTCAGAAGCCAGGCTGTCTAAACGGAACAATGACTATTTAAGAAATGCAAAGATGGGCGCAGTATGCGAACACCCCCTTTCATAAACGCTAGGTCCCCTTTTTGGAAATTGCCGGAAAAGGCGCAACGTGCTGAACACTGGCAGTGCCATCAGAGCCAGTGCTGGAGAAAGTCAAGTTTCTCGTTGATATCCACCGCAGTCCGACCCTTTCCTGGGTATCGTCGAGTCCGACATGAGAGAAGCTCCCCAGGACTATTCCCGGTGCTCAATGTCGCCAGGACTGCATTAGCTCCCTTGCCTGCATGAGTGCACCAGGGGGGGGGTCTGGCTGGGTCAGCAAGTCAGAACAGGCAGACGACAGAGAAGCCACGCCGAAGAAGCTTGCAATCGCCCTGCCCGGAACGCAGGATGAGCAAGCAAATTTTTATCGACCTGGTCATCGAACGTTCACCTGAGTGGCTCTCCGGAATAGAGTTGGTTGATCGGCACGCAGTTGATCCCTGGCCCCGAGGCTGCCACTCACTCCTTTGGTAACGTGCATGTTCCCTCCTCAAAGCAGTAGGTACTTTCGAGTTGACGTGACAGCCTGAAGACGGGAATCCGACGAGCAGAAAGCCAACTTGCCACCCTCCAATCGCGATGAGGAAGATAGCCACCGTGAGTCTCGTCATGCCTACCCCTGTTGCTGCCGAGGCCTTTCCTAGTTACGAGATGAACTCCACTGTCGTGCGTACCTCGCTTCTTTGGACGCATAGCACTACAACCCAATGGGAACGTGGGCCGCTTACTCCATGAACCCCAAGTCCGTGCCGTTCTGGCTATTGAGGCAGGGGGGAGAGCTTTTGGGCTCTCCCTCTGCGAATTGGCTTAGACGGCCATCAAGTCTGTGATCACGAAGACGCAAGAGGGACCTACAGTATACTATGGCCATACGCCGGCCGCCGGGAGGGTTGCGCAAAACAACCAGAAGATAAAACCCGCTACCGGTAGATACATGCCTATGTAGATCCAACCTATATCCTTGGACATGGACGGAGCCTCAATGCCCTGCTTTGCGGGCTTACTACTGTGTATGTACAATACACCCAATTCCGCAGAGGGTTGCATTCGTAGCGGGAGGGCACCGTCGAACCCCGTTTGCTCTTCCTGTTTCCTTCGGGCACATATGTATCAACCCTTGCCGCCCAGAGCCAGCAAGACTGGCGAAGAATTCCCCGAGTTGTGCTAGTAGTGGGGTCTCGTCATGTCGATGCTGCGTGCAAGGCAAAAACGGCAACGGACGGGAGCGCTTGAGGTGGAGCGGAGCGGGTTAAATAGTAACAAGTTGCACAGTACGTTGGATAGTACCTAGGTACTCAGGCAGGATCCCAACTCACTTTCGGAGTTACCAGGCTCCCAAGCCTCCAGGGTTCCAGTTAGTCAAGTTAGGCGTGACAAGCCCAGACGGGGCCTTGACGGGGCTCAACGGGATCGGCTGCCAGCGCAAACCTGAACTCGGGGCAGATAATCTCGACACTGGGCCTAACTCGATTGGGCAGCATCCCGACGCCCAACCTGGAACGGCCGAGGGGACGCGGTGCATCGCCTGGACCGACAATTTTCCTGCTATCCCAATTCTCGGTTCGCGATAAACCGCAAACCGACCATCAGAAAGCCTGTGCCGTGGTGCTGTATGCAGCTCTCCCAGACGGGGCGCGCAGATCCATCAGACAATGGCACCCTCCAGAGCACTCGCCGGCCTGCTCGCGGCCGGGCGTCGGGCTCCCCAGGCCGCCGGCGCCGGCGCTCATAGCAGCCGCTTCGTTCTGCCCAGGACCTACCACTCGTACGACCACCCGCCGCCCCCCGGCGTCTTCAACGCCGCCGAGAAGGCCATCCTCTCCGCCGCCTACGCCCACGTCCCGGAGCACGGCTTCACTCAGCATGCCCTGTCCCTCGGCGCCCGCGATGCCGGCTACCTGGACATCAGCACGAGCCTGCTGCCCGCCGGCCCCTTCAGCCTGATCAAGTACCACCTCGTCACGAAGCGCGAGGCGCTGGCGCCCAAGAGCGCCGGCATCTTCGGCGGCCCTGCTGCCGCGCAGGCCCAGGCGGTGCCGGTGGAGGCCAAGGTTGAGCGCCTCACCTGGGAGAGGCTGCAGGAGAACCGCGACGTCATTCACCGCTGGCAAGAGGTACGGGCCCATCGCTAGCCCCGCCATCTTTGCTCGAGTAGACTAACATGTGAATCCCACAAAGGCTCTCGCAATCATGGCCCAGCCATCTCTCGTTCCGGCCTCCCTGCACGAGCTTGCCCTCCTGGCCGACGAGATCTACCACCTGTCCGGCGACAAGTCGGTCGACCCGAGCTGGTACACGAAGCGGGCCTCCCTCTCCACCATCTACGCCTCGGCCGAGCTGTTCATGACGAACGACCGGTCCCCCGGCTTCGGCGAGACCCGGGCGTTCCTGCAGAGACGGCTGAAGGAGAGCTCGGGCGTCGGTGCGGTGCTGGGCAACGTTGCACAGTGGGTCAGCTTCACAGCGGCGGCGGGGGTCAACGTGCTCAGAAGCAAGGGCGCCAGGATATAACACTGGAGATCCAGAGTACGGGGTGACCCGACGAGAAATAGATAGACCCGGTCTCTGTGTATTTTACATGTATAAGTCCAAGTGTAGCATATTGTATGTTGTATGCTGGGGGGCAAGCGCAGATTCGCAACAAGCATGGCCGGCCCCCATGTTCTGATTAAATCAAGCGGCGACGCACTAGAAAGAAAAAGACCACTTAACCACACGCCAGATGGCACTGCCGCCCGCGCTCGAGGCGTGAACACGAACTCGGAATCAGAAGGGCACAGATGTCTTTATGAAGATGTGAAATCACAGTCGCCATCGACTCAGGTATATTGCGTTCCACAAATATATGCAGAGAAACCTGCCATGACGCCGCATCTCCTATGTACCAGGCTCTCAATCCATGGCGATATACCGGTGTGGAAAAGCAGTCCGGACCGGGCGGCCCCCAAAGAATTGCCGTGGCCTATCATTGACGCCAGAACCCCCCCCCCCCTTTTTTTATACCTCATGATGTATGCTCCATTGAGCATCGCGCCATTAAGAAAACACGACAGTCCCTTTAACACAATAGGTATCATCAAATAACGAACACAAACAGGTACTAGTCTCTCGCACGTGTAACTCAATCGTCGGTCAAGCGTGTCTGGCGAGGGTCGAGAAGCCTGCACCGGTGCGTCAGCTTCAGTATCAAACTGATAAAGTGGAGCATTGTTTGCACTAACCTGATTATCTTGACATCCTTATCGTGCTTCACTTGGAACTCGATGGCATTTGGCGTGATGAGGATGAACTGCTTTCCGACAGAGCGTCTTGCGGCTTGGACCTAATCATGATCATGTCAGTCAGACTTGAATTGCGCCGGAAGAAAAACAAGGTCTCAAGGGTAACCTACCAACATCCTCGTGCTGATTGCACGGTTCACGTTGTCCATGAAAACGTCGAACTCGTCAAGGCAGCGCAGAGGGGATCCCATGGCGTCCCAGATAGCAAGCAACAGGCAGATGGAGGAGAACGACTTTTCACCACCCGAAAGCGTCTTGGTATTACGCCCCGAGACATTCTCCCTAGTCTGATCTGGCTCGACCTCGATGCCAAGTCTCTTGCCAACATGGTCCAGGAGCAACTTACCACGGAAGCCTCGTTCGCTGAGCAAGTATTCGAAGTTGGCCCGCGCCGCAGCCGATATGTGCCGTTGAAAGTGTCTGTACTTGGCTAAACGTTGAAGCAGCGCCTGCTTCATGTCGTGCACAAGTTCCTCGCAGATCTTCCTCTCCTTCTTGACCTTTTCGTATCTCTCAAGTGTGGCAGCGGCTTCGTCCTCGATGTCCTTCCCACTTTTGTTATGTTTTTTCTCAAACTCCGTAAGCTGTTTGTGGACGGCCTCGAACTTTTTCTCAATGCTGGCGTACGTCTCCCCTTCTGGTATACGTACGCGTTCCGGAGAAACCTGGGACGCTTGGGCAATGAACTCTTCGACTTGAGCTTGTTGGGCATCCCGACTTCGCTCTGCCCTTGTCTTCTGGTCCCTTGCCACCTCGAGATTGTCATGGGCTTCGTTGATTTCGATAAGCACACCGCTTCTTGATTGTTTGAGCCGATCGATCTTATGCTGTGCCTTCTGCACTCGAGCTTCAAAATCAGCGCAGACTTTCTTTGCTTCACTCAAGCCCTGCTTGGCTGCAGAAGAGGCTTGGTTGAGACCTTCTCTGCCCACAGAGAGCTCACCAAACTGGCGGCCATAGTGGTCCTTCTGGTCTTCGGCCCTCCGCAGTTCGTCGCGTAGGTTTTGTAGCCTCGTGTCGGCGCCATCGAACTCGTCCAGCTTTGTCATTGCATGTTCGACCCGGAGGCGAGCTTGAATAACTCCCTGCCCAAGCTTCTTCGCCTGGGATTTGTGCAGCGTCAATGACTGGCTACTTTTCTGGGCGGCTTGCTTCAGCAGTCTCCTCGACGAGTCCAGTTCTTTCAGGTCTGACTGTAATTGGACCAGTATGTCTTTTTGATGGTTGATCTGCACCTCTGCATCGGACTTCATGCGCCTCTTGTTGGATGGGTACACGGGTTCTTGATTAATATCAATGCCTCGGCCGAGTTTCAGTGAAACTCCCTGGCCATTGCGCTTGTTGGCATCGAGAGATATGCTGAGCTTCACATTCTTTGGGCGTTGGTCTGCCGTCATGACGCGCCAAGCGTCGTCCAGGTCTTCGATGAGCAGTATCTGCTCGATCTGGTTTGTGAGCACCAGCTGATCCCTGACGCGATTGTCGTCGAACTTCAACACCCTCAGAATGGTGTCAAAGCGCTCATCAGGTTCGTTTAGCGTTTTGATGGATCTCCCAGGGTGGCTGATGAAGATGGTGGGTTGCTTGGAGACCCCGAGACGGTCAAAATGGTTGGACAGTCGTGCTCGGTCCTTCGCATTTGCTACGATGTACGCGTCGAGGTTGTCACCAACGACCTTCTCAACCATAGCGGACCAAGAGGGCCGCAGCAGTTGTATGTGTAGTCCAAGCGGTCCGATTGGTCTCTGGGAGAACCCTGTGTCCTGCGCGATGAGCTTCGAGAGCTGCCGCGTCTGCGGGATGAAGTGGGCTAGAGGGTCGCCCTTGCTCTGAGACAGATCTCTGATGCGGGTTTCCACGTTGTCAACCTCCTTTCGCTTGGCTTCAAGCGGCCTGCCGGCTTGTTGGTAGACCTTCTCGGCCTCCTCGAACTCCTTCTTCAGTTCGGTTTCTTTCCTGGCGTGGTCATCTACCTCCTCTTCGGCACGCTTGACGGCTTGCTCGGCGTCATCGAGGGCCTTTTGATGTTGAGCAACAGCGCCGCCATTGGCTGCCTCGAGCCGCTTCTCCTCGTCAGTGATCTTTGCCATGAAATCCCTGACTTCGGCATCAGCCGCCCTGATCTGCTCGCGAACTTCACGCTCCTCGTGATGAACCTTTAGTACTGCTTCCTTGGCCTTGTTGTAGACTTCGGCTGCCTGCTCCTTTTTGCCCTCCAGATCAGGCCCTTCTTGTCGCAATTCCTCGGCGGCCTCGGCTGCTGCACTCAGCATCTCGTCGCATTTAGCCAACCTCTCAGCCGCTTGCTGGACAATGTCATCGGAACGCCGAATCGCCTCATCGCAGGCGGCGATGTTGTTCTCCTTCTCCTGCAACATAGTTTCCTGTTCCACGACTTGTGCCCAAGCCAGCTGTCTCGTGTATATCTTCCTCTTGCTTCGCATGTCTTGTGTCTTGGCGAAGGTCTCCTTCAATGCCTGTGCCTTCTCCATGCTGCGCTTGATGTGGTTGAAATCGTCTCTGTAGCCATTCAGCTTTGCCTCTGTGGCGTCGATCATCTCATGGAAAATGGCGAGATCCTGATCCAGCTTTTCCAGCTGGGTCCCCTGTAGAAAGTACCTATACTTGACAGCTGGGGTGGCCGAGTTGAGGAACTGCCTCGCGTTGTCCTGCGACAAGACGTTGAGAGGGTTATCGACCTGGAGACAATAGTACTCGACGACGTCCTGGACCGCATCCCTCTTGTTCGAAATGACTTTCCCAGCAGCGGACTTGAGTTTGAAGCCGCTGCTTCCAGTCCTGTTGAAGTGGCGCTCAACGATGATAGAGTCCCCGAAAAGATCGGGCTTGTATGCGTCCGAGCCTTGGTTCTTGATCTTGACGACAAGGTTACCATGATCGCGACCTTCCTTGATGAAGGACTTCAAACTCCCACCACGGTTTGTCGAGCTGGCCTTGCCACCAAGGCACAGAGTGATAGCCGTCAAGATGGCGCTCTTGCCACTACCATTCTCACCAACAATGAAGTTCAGCAAGGGGCCAAGCTCGACCTTGAGGCGGGTATGGCACATGAAGTTGTAGACCTCGATGCTCTCGATGACGGCGTTCAGGGCGGCATGGTTCTCGCCGATCAGCTGGGGGCGGCTCTTCAGGCGCTGGGTGGCGCGCACGTCGTCCTCTTCGGCATGGTTCAGGTGGTCGAAGTTGGCGTCACGCTGGACCTCGTACTGCGAGGCAGCCGGAAGGGCGGGCTCGGGTGTTGGTTCCTGCATGGGCTGATCGTCCTCTTCCTCCGAGTCGTCGTCGTCGTCGTCGTCGTCGTCTGCAGTCTCATAGGATTGCTCCCGAACGCGCGATGGGCCGCCGGCCTTGTGGCCAGCGGAAAGGCGCACTCTCTTGCCTTGCTGTAGCTGGTTGTCAGGGCACCATGCCTCCGATGTTGGGAGCGAGACTTACACTGACGCCTCGGAGACTGGAGCTCGCCTCGCCAACGACAAGGCCATCTTGATCGTCGGCGTCGAAGGCTATGCGCCGGGATCGCTTGGGGGCGCTAGCTGACGGCATGGCGATGGTAGTGGCAGAGAGCGGGAGCGAGAGCGAGAGCTGGCCCACGAGATTGGCGCGTCGGGTTTGAGCCAGATGTGCCGTCGCCCCCTGGGTCTCGAAGTCATGGACTACGGACAGGCGGGCAGGCAGATACGTTACCCGGGCCGGTCTCTCCCAATAAGTCGACAGGCGGCACTCTACAGGGGAACTCGGAAGGCAAGGCACTCGTGCAGGCGATCGGCTGCGTGCGCGTGCGCGTGCGCTCTTTATCCGGCCGTCTTTCAACCTCGCCGTCGCGGAAGGTCGCACAGAGAAAGATGCGAAACTCCGGCGCTGGCTTCACACAGTACGGTACGTAGCTGAGCGGAGGTTTGGGTCGTCCCCCAAGACGCGCCTTCCTTGCTGCGTCGTTGGCTCAGACGCGCTTTTCAGGGGCGCAGGGTGATCAAAGCACCCGAAATCTTGCGGCTTTCCAGCGCGAACCCAAGCCAACTTAGAAAGATACCCCGCTAACCCCCCAGTGAGCTTCACTCGATACCGCCCCTCCCTCTCCCCGTTACGGTCGGTGTAACTAATTAAATCGTTTGTTTCCATGGTACTATGGTATAGCTTTCCCCGGCGGCCCAGGTCCCAGGTCCCAGGTCCCAGGTCCGAGGTTGCCAGGGTTTCTCTCCCTTTACCTCACGGCAGTTCGTCAAAGGGTTGTGGTTGAGCTAGGCACTTGCGTGGTACCTAGGTACTAACTTAGGTACGCGACTTAGTGGTTGTGGACCACAGCTCGCCGACTGCACCGACGCCATCCCAGCTCACCACGCTACTTTTGAGCCTCTTGCCAAAGGTATCCCGTCCCGTTCAGCACGGACTGGATGCTCCATCTTGGCAGCACCACCACAGGATTTCTGCTGGTGGACAAAGGCTATACGAGCAGCCATGTCGTCCTCTGAAGCCCCGGGCCACCTGCAGCAGGACCCTGCCGAGAAGGGCAACTTCTTTGAAGCCGGATTCGAGGACTTTCCGCGGCAGCTGCCTGAAAACTGTGTCGAGTATGTGCTTCTCATCCTCGACAGCCAATTAGAAGCCCGCAAGCTCCTCTCCGCCCTGGAAACCACCCGCAAGGCTGCGCTCCAGCTCGCCGGTCGCCTGACCAAAGACTACATCTGGCAGCGCGATGGCCTGCAGCTCGAGCTTAAGAGTGGCCAAGGTCTCGCGTACCTCCATGGCCTAAGCTACTATGGCGACTCGGTCGAGGACGAGTGGTTGATCGTTTACTTGCTCCGCGAGCTGACCAAGTCGCACCCAAACCTGTGGCTAAGGGTGTTTGACAGCGATGGCGAATTCCTGCTGGTCGAGGCCGCCAATGTTCTGCCCCCCTGGTTGAGCCCGGAGATTGACGGCAACCGCGTATGGATCCATCAGGAGAAGCTGTATATAATCCCCCTGGGGAAGGGCACCCACGATAGACGACCCTTGACCTTGGCAGACGCTGCTGCCCGTCTCAAGGAAAAGCCATCTTCTCTTGTCCATTCCACCTTCATCGAGGCAGAGGCCTTCTACCGTCTCGAGAAGTACCCTGGCCAGATCAAGGCATCTAGGCACCATTCCTTGGCTACGATCCCGAGAAAGCTCGCATATATCCTACATGAAAAGCCCGCCGCCATTGCCCCGGCCGTCGAGGCCTTTTACCTCCGGGATCCCGTTTCCATGAAATCCCTCCTCTCTACTTCTAGCAAGCTCAATTTTCCACCCCAGGATCTAGTGTCCGTCAGCGTCAAGTTTACCCGAGTGCTCTTTGCGCAGCTCAAGTCCCAGCGGTTCAGCGAGCCGCCCGTGTGGAGCTCGATCATCGAAGCCGCAGAGAACAATGGTTCGGGCGCAGAGAACTCTCAGAAAGAGCTCGATCGTTTGCAGCTGGGCATGAAGGTAACCAGTGGGTTCGAGATGCTGGCCACTAACGCGGAGACCAAGGACAAGCGGATCACCAGGGAAGTCGCTATCCTTCTGCGGGATCTTGCCGAAGACGGCGAGCAGGCTCTCCCAGATGACGCCACCATCCAGTCTTGGCCGGATGCCACCCGAGACGACAGTGATTCCTGGATGGACATTAACTTTGAAGATTTTGAGAAGGAGCTCGACGGCAAAGGCAGACCCAGAGGAGCGGAAACCACGGGGTTTGGAGATTCTGCAACTCAGGCCGATCTCCAGAAGATGGTGTCGCGTTTCGAGGCGTTCCTGAACGACGACTCTGCGGGACTCGAGGGTGCCGAGTTGAACGATATGGATTTTGATGACGACGACGACGGAGACCTTTCCGAGCACGGAGATGATGAGGAGGACGACAGCGAGGACGAAGACCGGGATGTCAGTTTCGATGAGGAGCAGTTTGCCAAGATGATGAGGGAGATGATGGGCATGCCGTCAGACGAGAAACCTACATCAGCATATGGTGCCAAGCGTGCAAACAAGCCCAGAGAAGCACCGCTTGAACTGGTGGAGGGGCCCGATGATGAGGAAGACGAGGCTATCAGGCAGCTCGCTGCGCAGATGGAGGCTGAACTGAATGAACACAAGGCCTTGCAGCTGGACCCGACCCCGGAAAAGCCGAAGGCACTAGAACAAAAGGAAGAGGGCGACTCCACGAGGGACACGCCAGAGGGCAAGGAGCCATCTGTCAACAACGACGACGAGGAGAGCGAGGATGAAGAGGTGGATATTGACTACAACCTGGCCAAGAATCTACTAGAGAGCTTCAAGAGTCAGGCAGGCATGGCCGGGCCTGCTGGCAACATCCTGGCCATGATGGGGATGAAACTTCCTAGAGATGAAGATGAGGACACAAGGGGCTGATTTGAACGAAAGGCACGGGACTGGGCTGGGCTTGTGTGAAGCCATCCTATTACAAAAGCTGGCCGTTATCTTGAGGGACCGGAAGAACCGAGCTACTGCGAGGGCACCTGGGCATTTATTCCTGCCAAAGGAAAGACGCTCAACTTGTCCCCAGCCACGAAGGCCGTAATGTTGAAAATATGCCCAAAGTGCTCTCGCTACGTATAATATAGTCGTGGATGTGCGTGTACTATGTAAGTGCCTAACTAGTCACGCTGGTCAACTTGGGTTACCTATGCTGAAGAACGCCTTACCCAGAGAGCCCAGTGGCGCTAATCCGCCCCTCGTCGAACCCATGGCCGCCCCAGCCACAGGCGCATTGCGAGTCCAACCCCACTAAGAAGAAGGAGAACGACGTCACTGGCTGCGAGCCAATGTCACCGTCGTCCTTGAGCTTGCATTCCCCGGACGCCAGCTTGTTTTCCATTGCGAGCCCGACGTTTGACGGCGATCGACTTGTGCCCTGAAGGCCTGCTTGATGGCTAGATCTCTAGATGTTCCTCTGAAGCTTATTGCCAAGACATTCTGTACAGCGCAGTACACCTGGATTTGAAGCGCGACCAAGAAGTGAAGTCGATAAGTGGCGACTGAGCCGACCATTTGCTGCACCAGGCTGGGACACAACGACCGCGGTAGACGACCGGGTCCGCAATATTACGCACGATAGAGAAGAAAGGCCCGCCTTCCAGGGCCTCCCGCTCGCAGACGGCAGCCTCTCCGTAGACTTGCCATTGTCTGGCTAGCGACGGTGCCTCGTTTGGTCTACATGGTTCCGCTGCCGATCGTACTCCAGAGCAAGCATGTGGCCAAACAAAGGCGTGACCAGCCTGCAAAAGACATACGATGAGAGCTACTTGACGGCCTCCACGGCCGTCTACTATGAGAGCCAGGTGAGAAGCCCCTGGAACCCCCACCGACGAGGCCCAACTCCTGTTGACATGTCTTCACAGAGCAACGAAAAGGAAGCCACGCGGTATTGGAAGACCGCGTTGGACCAGATCGCCCAGAACTCCCCAAACAAGCCCAACTATACCCCCAGGACCGAGACGGAACGCACTTTGGTAGAGAGCTTGAAGACGCTCGAGATACAATGCAAGGAAAGGATTGACCTGCTGGAGGCACTGAGGATATCCCGAGAAGATGAGACCGTGCTGCTCAGTTCGTCCTCGGGAGACCTTGGTGGCTCGTCTGGAGTCGAGCCTGTCGAGAGGGGCTGGATAGGGAATGGTACTATACCAGCCGTTGCGTACCAGGAGCTATCGCGGCCTCCTTTACCGCCAAGACCGTCGTTCATGTCGAGATCTTCGTCAGAACGCGCTGTTGTCGGCCGCAACTCCCTCCACCTTGAGCCCATCTCCGCAGCATCATCTTCGAAACCACAGACCTCGCAGCCCTCGCAGCCCTCACAGCCCTCACAGCCCTCACTACCGCCCTATGCCGCCTCCGCCCCCAGGAAGAAGAGCTCGAGGTCGCCCAGCCCCGATAAGCGTACCATGCGAACAACTCTCAGATCAGGCAAGGCGGATAAGCCATCCAAGTCCTCCCGACGGGTTGTCTCCAAGTCAAGCGAGCCACCAGGAGCAAGCAAGGCAGCTACGTTAGCATGGTCGCAGATTCCGTCACGAGACAACTTCGGCCGGTCGTCTCTACCGGACACCTCTAACCCAAGATCATCGCCGTTGCCGCAATCTCACTGGGATAGACACTCGCGGAGGCTACTGGCATCTCCTGAGAATGGCGGCGTTGGCCCATCCAGTCCCGAATCGCCGACCGCTAGATTTCCCGACGACCATGTCGGCAGCACATCAGCACTTGCTCTTGGCGCAGCCTCGAGCAGTTACTTGTCAGCCCACGAAAGACGGGAGTCCAGCCCCATGCCGAGTCGAGCAGACCGATCTTCAAAGTCGAAGGGCAGTTCCTCAGCCGCTCAGGATGCCGCTCGCAGCTCAATCCTCACTGGCGCTGACGTGCCAAGTTCTGGGAGGAGCTCGAGCGAGGTACCCATCAGGAGGAAACCCGTAGACCACGCCTCTTCTTCTGCACCGAACAGTGCAAGGAAACGCGTGAGTCGTGAGAAGCGAGTTGTCAATCCGAAACATTCGTCTGAGTCGGAGGACGAGCCATCCCCCGCTCAATCATCCCGGCGCAAAGTCAAAGGCAGACAGGAGGAGGACCATGTTCCCGCTGACTTGGAAGTGCAGTCCGAGGAGTCCACGGAGGATGACCAAGCCAAGAAGGCAAAGAGTACTTGGGAGAAGAAGAAGAGGGCTGTCCTAAAGCACTTGCCACCGGGTGTCGACAGCGCTGCCGCCAAAGCGATTTTCAACGAGATCGTGGTGCAGGGAGACGAGGTGCATTGGAATGATGTGGCAGGCTTGACGATTGCCAAGAACGCTCTGCGCGAAGCAGTGGTCTACCCGTTCCTACGCCCTGACCTGTTCATGGGCCTACGCGAACCGGCAAGGGGCATGTTGCTTTTCGGGCCCCCGGGGACCGGCAAGACGATGTTGGCGCGCGCCGTTGCCACGGAGTCAAAGTCGACTTTCTTTTCCATATCCGCTAGCAGCTTGACCAGTAAGTATTTGGGCGAGTCCGAGAAGCTTGTCCGCGCGCTGTTTGCGCTGGCTAAAGCCATGGCGCCAAGTATCATATTTGTGGACGAAATCGATTCGCTACTCTCTCAGCGGTCTGGCTCGGGCGAGCACGAGGCTACACGGCGGATCAAGACCGAATTTTTAATCCAATGGAGTGATCTACAGAGAGCCGCGGCAGGACGTGAGAGTCCAGTTGGTAGCAAGGACGTGCAAGGAGATGCAAATCGGGTCTTGGTGCTTGCGGCGACGAACCTGCCCTGGGCTATTGACGAAGCGGCAAGACGTAGATTTGTGAGGAGACAGTACATACCTCTCCCGGAGCCCGAGACGAGGATGACCCAGATCAAGAACCTACTTGGCCAACAGAAGCACAATTTGACGGACCATGACATGGCCGAGCTGGTGGTGATGACCGATGGTAAGTGCAGCAAGGGCGCACTGGCACACACATAATGGAGGTTGCTAATCAAGGATGCATAGGGTTCTCTGGTTCCGACATCACGGCTCTAGCCAAGGACGCTGCAATGGGACCTCTACGGTCTTTGGGGGAGGCGCTACTCCACATGACAATGGATCAGATCCGGCCTATTGAACTGGTCGACTTCAAAGCCAGTCTTGGCACCATCAGGCCTAGCGTGAGCAAAGAAGGCCTGAAGGAGTATGAAGATTGGGCGAGGCAGTTCGGCGAACGGGGTGGCTAGGGAACGTGTTAACACATTCGGCACGAAAGAGGGCTTGCGGCTGTACATAGGACGGGAGCACAAAGGCATGGGGCTTAGGGAACGACGGAACACTGGCATTGTCAACTTGGCGTTCGATGGATAGATCGTTCTCGGCATCGGGGCACGATACCTGAAAAGGGGAAGGGACAGGGGGTTGGGGCTTTCAAGTGCGATGGAGTTTGATGCATTGATTTGGTCCGAGTCTTGAGACCTTCCGTAGTACAAATATAGTACACTATGTTATATACAGTTCACAAATGGCAGCCGCAGTGCTGCCTCTATCTTCCCAATCAGACCTTCAATGTCTGATAAGAACCGTGTGATCTTGCCAACCGGGCCTTTCTTGGTGCATAGCAACCGGGGTTTCTGCTCCTTAGTCCACCTCCCCTTCCCGGACCTTGCTCTCGATCTCCGCGAGCTTCTTCTCCCTGCGCTCCAGCCTCTCGCGCTCGGCAGCCTCCCAGCGGGCCCTCTTCTCGGCGCGGAGGGCCTTCTCCTGGTCGCGGATGGCGTGGCGCTCGGCGTGGCGCGCCGCCCGCCGCTCGAGCTTGGCCTCGCGTTTGGCGGCGTACTTCTCCAGCAGCTCCTCCTGCGAGAGCACGGGCGGGCGCTCGTCAATGGGCGGGCCGTAGGGGGCGATGATGTGCCGCACGACGTGGCGGACGTGCTGGGCGGCCCGCCAGCCCGACGAGATGTTGATCACGTCGCCTTGGCGCACCGAGTTGTTGGGGTCGTGCACCAGCATGTACGAGGGCACTTGGAAGTTCTGTTCTGGGGCTCGCGCCCGGCGTTGTTAGCTCTGCGGTGCTCCCCTTCCCCCGTCTGCCGTGTCCCGTCTCTCTCTCGCGTGGGCGGCTGTTCACTGACGAACCTTTTGCACGTGCTTCTCCCACCGCTGGCCCCAGAGCCGCACCTTGACTGTCTTGTCCATCTTGCCGGCCGACACGACGACGGCCGTCTTGGAGCCCATGATCTGGCGCCCCGTGTTGCTGGCGTGGGCGAGCACGTTGGCCGCCAGGGACTTGACGGCTGTGCTGGCTGGTGCCGCCATCCTGTGTGCTCGGGCTGTTTTGCGCCCGTCCTGCGGTGGTGTGGAGAGGTGTCGATCTGTCGGGTATCGCTGGCGGACTACGGTCGCATGTCTAGGTTTAGTTTTTGAACCTGTCCCTGGGGTCGCGAAGGTCAAGGTGGTCGCCGCTGGGTGTATCTTGTCTGGTCAATTGCTGGCGCGACTCGACGCTGCTGTCGCGGGCCGCTGAAGTGCGTGGAAGCTCGAAATATTTCGGGGCAGGGATGGCGAGGTCGGATTAACCCCTGCCGGACATGGGGAGGAGGCTGCAGCGGGCCCCGGCACTGGATGACGGTGGGCCCCAGTCCAGTGCCAGTCAAGCCAGTGGCCCTGATTCCAAGTTACCGGTAGTGCAGGTTGTACATGCATAGGTACCTAGGTAGGGAACTAACTTCCATCCATACCTAGGTAGTAGGCAGACTTGACTGCTCACGTCGACAACCCCCTTTCTGGAACTAGATTGGTCTTCTTTCAAGTGACACGCCAAAAACCAGACGAAAAGGTGCATTGTGCAAAGGAACCAGACAAATGAGCTTCCCGTCTGTCCTTCCCTCTGTCCTGTCCGTAGTATTTCTGACATGTCTTCTTCATAAACTAATGCTAGCTGTCTTGCTACACATGCTTCCGGCTGGGTACGCCGGACGTAATCAAACGAATCCGATACGGTGTTCAGGAGAAAAAAATTTATTAGAAAAAAAAAATATGTACAAAAAAGAAGGGGGGGGTGTGGTCGCCTGCTGTCTCGGGCATCACGCGCAAAGTTACTATATACAGCCATTGTCCTTGCTCTACCGAACCATTACAGAATATCCGTGATGCCGGGCTGGATTCTTTCCAACTTCTCGGTGAGCTCCCCCCACAACCTGCGCTGAGTCTCTTGGCCATCTTTGCTCTGCACAAAAGTTGAAACTCTGTTGTCCATGTTCACGTTAGTCTGTGGCAATGGATCGACTGTTCTGGTGACTTACACGCCCACTTTACAATCATCCAAGTACTGCCCCTGGGTTTCTGGCGCGCCCTCGGCAGCATGAACGAGTGTTCTACTCCCTTCTTCGGGCGTCCTGCCGACGCAGCTCATAAAAATCCTTCGGGGTATGCCGAAGATGCCCTTTTGCACATCGCGGTTGAGGTCTGTCACTACTACTCCTGGGTTTACTGAAGTACTCCCGTTAGTCTTCTTCGGCGCGCGTAGGCCCGGGGGGGGGGGGGGGGGGGGTGGACTGACGAATTGACGTTATGATCTTGCCTGGATTGGAGGACTGAGACAGCTTCGCCGAGAACTCTCGGAAAGCAAGGAGCTCCATCAGCTTGGAGACATTGTATCTGGGAACCAGCGTGTCAATAAGCGGTCGACACAGGCATTCAAAGACAGGGCCACAGACCTGTCCATCATCCTCGCCCGTTCTTTCCTCGCAGTTTCCTCTAGGATACTCGCCGCCTTTCTCTCCGGGAACATGGTAATCCAATGAACGAATGACCCCGTGAAGGTGAGCACCGTGGCCCTGCCCAGCCTCGCCGAAGTCTCCCTCAGCTTCGGTACGAGCAGCAGCGCCAGCAGGAATGTGCTCACGACGTTGACAGTGATCGAGATCTCGTTGTCCTCGGCCATGGTAAAGTCTTGCGTCAGCACGCCAGCATTCTCGACAACGGCGTCGAGCCTCCCGAGCTCGTTGCGTGCCCGCGCAGCGAAAGCCTGAACGCTGGCATAGTTTGAGAGATCCAGCTCCCAGACCTCGACAACGCCGGTACGTCCCGTCGACTTCTCAATGGACTCCTTGGCCGCGTTGCCTTTCTCCTGACTGCGCACGGCCAGGACCACCTTGGCTGCGTCCAGGCGCACAAAGTGACGTGCGGCTTCGAGCCCAAGCCCCGTGTTGGAACCCGTCACGATGATTGTCTGGCCTGTGAACGGTTTGCTAGGCACGGGGAGGCTGAGGAAGAAATGAGACCTCCAGAAGGCGAGGAGCGCATGGATAATGCCCATCATTATCTAGGGGGGCGGGGGTGTTGGCATTTGGCACGAGGAAAAGCGAATGATGTAGGGAATGGCAGGTCTCCTGTGCTCAGGCGGCATACATCAACCTCTTATTCAAGGAGATGACACTAATCCACGATCCCAGAACGGGTGGGTGGACGGACACTCGCGAGCTCGGCACGTGGATTGAACTTCTGTGATGTTGGGTCGGTGACGATCGAATGCTCAACCGAGGCGAACTGTCGGCGAGCTATTGACCAGATTCGGATAGGGGATGCCACAGACATATGTTGCCGACGTCTTAACCCAGTACAGTTTAGCGCCTTCATGTATGTATACTATTACGGAGATGCCTCACGAACTACAACTCGACGCCATCATGATAAAAATGGGCTCCCGGCACCTCGCCTTCTGGTATGGAGTAATATTTGTAGTGCTCTCCCGTGAGCTGGATTGATGAAGTCAATTCGCTTCCCGATTGTTATTACCTACCAAGCCAAGCAATCCAAGCTTGGGCTACCTACGGTCGGTCAAGCAGAGCCATTTTCAGTGCTTCAAGCAAGAAACAATAATAGCCAGTGCATCTACGTATTTAAGTATAGTATGCTTACAGTGTCGTTCCAAATTCCTGCGGTTATCCAAGATGGTCCACCAGGATTTCCTGATGCCTACGATTGCGTGCATAGCCCACCCCAATCGAGGGAGTCATTCCATCAATGAGGGCGCACTCGAGTACAGGCGCCCATAGGGCTGAAACCGCTGCTTTTGGGCCGATCGAATTATTCACGGTCATTGTTTGTTCCACTTGACGTGTTGAATATGAGAAAGCTTCCCTACTTCAGCCGTTTGGCAATGCCACCACGCGGCGAACAGCCAGCCAAGTCTCGGTTGTCACCATGACTGCAAGCACGCGAGAACACCAATCTGATCTGCTTTCGTAAATTCTACAGGATGACTTGATCGTACCTCTATAACACATCTTAAGTGCCGAGAAATGTAGGCCACCTAAACCGCTCTGATCATGATCTGAAGGACAGGCTACATTGAGAGAAATGGAAAAATTAAAAGAGCAAGGCCAGTAGAGTGGATCGAACACCCGACCTCTTCCAAGTACGAGAGAACCCAAAGGAAGTGCGCTTACCTCTGCGCCATACCAGCTTTGTTTGCTGTTGAAACATCCTGCAGCTATTGTCCACTTTCCGAGAGCCCGAGGGCGGCAACGACAGCATGCTTGGAAATCACATCAAGGGCCGCGACGGCAAGATACTAAGGCACCCAAATGGAATGCGAAATGATACCTGGGCGCCTTGCGGACGTTTTGGTGGTGGGAGACGAGTGTGAGAGAACCTACTGACTTCCGGACGGTGTATCAGCGTCATGTACGCCTAGGAGCTCTCAGGGTTTACAGCTCATTAAAGCACTGCTTATGGAAGCTCGTCTCGCGGTTTGGCCTTTGTATATCTTGCACTCGAATTGACATCATCTCACATTTGTTAACAGGGCTCAACCAAGCACAAGCCTGTCTCTGTCCGTGTCTTCTTTGCGTGAGTCATCTTTGACTGCGATACAAGAGTGCTAGCGCTCTGCAGAACGAATCGAATACAAGGCTTTCAAAGGTACTTAGAGGAGGACTGTTCAGTAGTCAGCCACTGGCAAACTTCTTCAGGGCCGCCTCATCCCCATTGAAGAGGTCGCTATCACCGCCATAAGGATAGGAGTCATCGTACTGCCAGATAGTCTGGGCACTCCAACCACCTGGAATCGTTCCAACTTCGCTGGCCCAGCGAGCCAACACCAGCGGGTTGGTCTGGGAGAACACCTTCGAGTTGCTCGTGCACTCCTTCCACCATGATGGGTTCGTGTACAACATTGGGTAGCGGCCGGTTTTCTCATGGTACGTATCGCTGAAGTCCTTGATCCATGCCACCATGGCATTCGTTGACAACCCCCAGCACTGTCCAGATGAACCGGCCTCGAGATCTAGCATTCCCGGAAGTGTGATCCCGTCGCCCGTCCAGCCGCCCCCATGGGCCAAGAAGAATGTCGCCTGTGTAGCCCCTGAACTGGAACTGGGCCGCGCGAAGTGGTATCCGCCCCGGATCAGCCCGGCTTGGGTGGCTTGGGTGTAATGGCTTGAGAAGCTGGCATCGATCCAATCTGATCCTTCAGTTGCCTGATGTATATGTCAGTTGTCGATCCCACCAAGTCACAGAAGAGCGGTGGTACCTTGATGATCACAAAGCGAGCACCATTAGAATAAGCCTCCTCGAAGTCCACTGAGGTCTGCCAATTTGATATATCAAACCCCTGTACCGCAGCTTGGACAAGACCCGTCCATGCAAGACTGCTAGCGAGAATAAGTTTGAGACCTTTGGTGGCCATGTTGATCAAAGATCTGGGGGTATAGGACGAATGACTCAACGAGTCTAGCTAGTGATGCCGCTGGTATTATTCGATAATTTCTTCTCTTATGGGAAAGCGTACAGATACAGGTACGAGGTAAGTCCCTTAAATACTTGAATATATCATGGTGAAGTAGTTCCCGTGAGCAGTGGGCTGCTTTCAGCATATGCGCTCAACAATGAGTAGTTCCTTCACCAGCAGGGGCTGAAAGCCAAGGATGTTGATCCTTCCTGATAATGCAGAGCTCAGCCCTGACCACAAGCTTGAAATTTGGTGCAACGTCAATGGCGGCTCTAGGCGGTCGAATTCCAGCCTCACGGGCTCATGTTCCCGAGTGTGGCCGACAATTGTTATTTTAGGAAACGTTTCTCTGGCGTAGGCAAATAAGATTACTTTCCATATAACGAAGTGGATGCTGTGCCAAGCCTGTCTACCCTTTCGGTGTCGTCTCTATTGCTTTATATGGGCCAATTGAAGCCACCAACATAAATGCCGTTGTGCACGCTTGCTGTTAATTCCTAGAGCCGTCATGGGTGTTGAAGGACGCTCGTAAGCGGATAGTTGATCTGTCCGTGTCTGATTCATATGCCTTCGAAAAGTCATCAAGCTTATGGCGTACCTAGATGATTTTTTTGTGGAACTGGTACCCCATTTCAGCAAGTTCTCGATTGTCATATGTTGCGCTGTATGTGCAGGCAAGTACCGATCGATATCCACGCGTTACTTGTCAAGTCTAGCATCGACTTCAGACGCCAATAATCAAAGATGTCGTGCAAATTCCTTGGGGGCTTACGGGAGAAAAGTCCCTGATGCTATCTCCCCTGACGCTTGGTGCGCTTCCTTATAGATCTGTGTCTGGAAATGCAAATGCAGCACTGTTCTCCACATCGTATGTTGGGCTTGTCTGCTTTATTCAAGTACTCGGTGCAGAATGGGACAAGAGTGTGAGCAAGACTTGACACATGGTGCCTGGAAGTTGGAATATCCTGTTCTTAAAGCATTGCAAGACCACATGACCCATTGTGTGCACAGCAACTATATGACTTGAAGAGAAGCGAAGCTACAGGACCTGGGTGCACTCCTGCGGCTTATACTTTCTGAAAGGCTGACAGCCCACCTTGAGTGGGGAAAGTTTACTGTACCCTACATGCAGTGAATGAACAAGCCTCTGGCACTCACATGTATAAATATCATTCAATCCTAGACCTCCGTAATAGAGATCTGGGTCGAATAACGAACTCACCAAAGATGCTGAAGAAGCCGAAGGAAGCTGGCAATCTAGTTCAAGAAATGGTGTCCAGGGTTCAACGAAACCGCATACATGATTACGGTTATCGTACCCGATCCGACTTCAGCTGGGGGACCACGTTTCGCCTCAAAGTGGAGAGGATCGACAATTCAAATTCGACCTGACACCCAGTTAGATATTCTCCAGCATTGACCGTTCCTCGCAGGTTGTCAATGCCGCCGGATGAGAAACGTCGGATTCCTCACCCAGTCTTTTACCCACGGGGTGCAAGAGCTCGGTGCGCAACTCATCCGAGGGAACATGACAAACCCGGGGCCCCTGTCACCTCTCGGCAGTGTTACAGGGGGGAAATCAAACATGTTCGTTCCAAACATCGGGAGCGACAATTTAAGCTTACTTCATTGACGGACTTCATTCAGGTTGTTTCAAAACAACAGGGTCAACCACAGGCACCACTTGAAGAGCATAGCAAAGTATCGTACGGCCGTGTTCTCATTCCCCCTAGTAAAGATGGACTCAATACTCCCCCGCAAGCCGTGCCCAGGAGTTACCATCGCAGCCAGCTCGAGTGGCTAGCCCCTTTTGTTTCGAAGCCTTGATCCCCTGGAGTACGGCTTGGGGGTCCGAATTGGCTAGCAATACAATCAAAAATATCCCATCCCGTCTAAAACAAACAGTCTACGTGCGGTGGATTGCCCCCATCCCGGAGCGTGGTTTGAAATTTCAAACCACCCCCACTGATTAAGTAGAACACCCCGACGACGAGGACCCGCCTACCGGATCTGATAAACACAGCAGTGTTCGTTCGCAACAAACTCAACCCCCCCACCAAAAGTCTACGTATAGTCCCCTTATTTGTCAGATTATGTCAAGTCTCAAGCGACCCATGCGCGGCGCGAGAAGTTGAGGCTGCGAGCTCTTCCGTTGTTTTGGTTCTGCTGTTGTTCATCGTCAGCATTCTGGGGCTAATGTTGTTATTGAAAACTTCGTCCTTGCTCCTAGGTAGGAGTGGAAGGAATGGTCTCGAGGAACTGAATCGTGATTTGACCGTTCATGTTTTAGCGGAAGAGGAATTTCAACTTACCTGCCGCTGCTGCTGACCCTGCTGGCCCTGCTGGCCCTGCTGACCCTGCTGACCCTGCTGACCCTGCTGACCCTGTTGACCCTGTTGACCCTGTTGACCCTGTTGACCCTGTTGGCCCTGTTGGCCCTGTTGACCCTGGTTCTGGTTCTGGCATTTCAAAGTTAACTCAAGGTGTTCCATCTTCCGGAATTCATGTTCACTTCGTACTTGGCAGAACCAAGCACTGATAGTGGTGGTGATTGATAGCAATACTGAGATCGAGACTTGATACTTACGGCGTTGTTCTGGCCGTTCTGACCGTTCTGACCGTTCTGACCGTTCTGACCATTCTGACCGTTCTGACCATTGTTCTGACCGTTCTGACCATTGTTCTGGCCGTTGTTGTTGTTCTGGCCGTTGTTGTTGTTCTGGCCGTTGTTGTTGTTCTGGCCGTTGTTGTTGTTATTGTTGTTCTGGCCTGCAGCAACCACTGTGAATTTCTGGCAATCGTCCTGAGTACCGCGCTGGGCAACAGGCATAATGACAGGCTGGTGGTTGGATGCCGAGGTCAGCGTGCAGACTCGATAGTTACCCGCTGGAAGACCACCCGCAACGTCTGCGGCGAGTAGGCCATTACCATTTCCGGCGTCGTTGATACCCTTGAAAAAAGCAAATTGAGTAGCATCCAGCGGCTGAGTAGGGTTCAGACTGTTGCCTAGATCCTGGACAGTCACATGGGTATGGCCGACGATCTGACCACCCTGAAGATCCTGAGGTGCGGCATAGTACGTGGTGTCGGGGTTGGTGAAGGATCCTGCTACCAAGTTGTCCACCTGGACCTGGATCTGGAAGTCCTGTCCCTCCTCGAGTTGATCATTAGTCTTGGGATTGACGATGATAGACGAGATCATCTGATTTTTGGCGGGAATGTTGCCCATGACTGTTGCCAATTAGTGAGGTGCTGAGACTGCACATCCTCGCTGAACGTACCAATGCCGTTGCAGGAGCCTCCCTGGACTTGAAGTCCGTTAGTCAACGTCTTGCCCTTGCAGAAGTTAATGAAGTTGTCCTGCGATGTCGCAGACGGGGCTTGACCCTCCTCTGCACCTGCGTCTTGAGTGCCATCAACGAATGAGCCAGTTTGGATGACTTCTGGGTCAAGCGTGGCAGTGGCGCCGTTGTTGTTGTTGTTGTTGTTATTATTGTTGTTATTGTTCTGCTGCCCTTGGTTGTTGTTATTATTGTTATTCTGCTGTCCCTGCTGGCCCTGCTGGTTGTTGTTATTGTTATTATTTTGCTGTTGTTGACCTTGCTGGTTTTGCTGGGCAATGGCCAGGCCAAAGAGCGCGGTAGCCCAGAGATACTTCGTGGACACCATGATGAACGAGTTCCAAGGAGCGAACAGAACCAAGAGGCTCCAAGTGCGAGTGAGTGAAATGACCGAAAGCGTCAATTATTCAGATTAAAAGAAATCACGATCAACGTGATTCTTGGCTAGTAAGTTGAAAAGAAGGTGAAAAAAGGGGAGGGGGGGAGGAGGATGAAAGACCAAATTAAGACCTGAGAGAGCGAAATCAATTATAAACTAAAGGGAAGGCAATGTGAAAACCAGAAACGCCACGAAGAAAGGGAACATAGGGATTTATGATGCCCAGCCTTGATCGCCCAGCACCAGAGTGAACAACTTGGCTGCAGTCAACGGGGATCACTATGCCATAAGGATATGGAGATCCCGTGCCCGCATAGAGCATCATGAAACGACCTTTTGAGTAAACTTTGCCACGGCGGTACGCCCTCTGTCATTTTACCCGTGCAGTGAAAGACAGCTATATCACACGAATCGTAAGGGGAGGCAGCCGCAGCTAACACCTCAAGCTACTGGGCACGGTAGCGCGGTGTGACAGCATATGGGGAAGCAAGTGACATACTGCGAAGAGACACCTAAGATAGCCGGTCTTCAAGAATTCATCTGATACCTAGTCGCCAGGTCCACCAAATAAAGCTTGACATTTCTTGGCACGGCATACCATCTGGACTTTTACCGACGACAGGGGTCTAAAACACTCGACTGCATTCTCCGGATGATCACACAGCACGAATGATTGACAGTTGGGAGCAGAGAAGCCTCCACCAAAGGCGGGACGTAGAATCAGGCCATGTTCTGAACAGCTAGAGCAGGGTGCTGTCAGCTCTGAAGCACCCCCAGGACGAGTCGAGAAAGTCCCAAAGCAGATCTTGGAGTTTCTACGATCCGACGACCATGTATCCACAGAAACATCAAACTATAGCCTATCGAAATCAAGCACAAAATACCAAAATACTCCGTACCAGGGTTGATGCTTCTCCATTCATGCAGCGCTCCTATTACCCCCATATTGGGGCCTCGTGGGGTGGAGGACCACCAGCGTAGCGCCTAAGCGCATGTCACTCCAATCGGCGATACTACCGAGTTACTAGATCTGCCAGGAACCTGCAGACAAGATAAGGTTGAAGTCTCGGTGAGCTCTGGGTCCTGTGTGATTGCTGTCCACTGTACCAAAGGGTTGCACAAACTTGAAACACCCAAGCTACCGGGCAGAGAAACAGTTGGACGAGGGTACCCGTGTGCTGGAAGCGGTGGAAAGGTCCAGGGACAAACCAAGCTCGCTAATCGAAGAGGCACTTGTCTCTTGGCGACAGAGTACTTACATTGCGGTCTCACAGATTGGTCGCAGCGGCTACGTTGAATGGTCGCTGCCCGCTCTGAAAGCCCAGGGACAATAAGCAGAGGC